AAGAAGAAGAAGAAGAAGAAGAAGAAGAAGAAGAAGAAGAAGAAGAAGAAGAAGAAGAAGAAGAAGAAGAAGAAGAACAACGGGAGCAACTCCAGCAAGAAGAGCACCAGCAACAAGAACAGGAAGTCCAGCAAAAGAAGGAAGAACTCACTCCAAAGACTTACTCGACAAAGGATACAATTGATGCTATCGACGCCGCTATTGATTTATACAACCAAATTGAAGACTTGGTTTCAATTCCAGCTTACAAAAGCTCTGCAACTTCACTTGAAACCATTACCCCCTTGAATTCTTGCCAAATCGTATATGGAACACCCACCACAAACAATACTGCAACAAGTAATTCCATCAACGATAATATCAGCATCCCAGTATTCCAACTTAAGAACAGATTAAAACATAAAAGAAATTTCGATATTGAATTTGAAGCTACTGTTAATGCTTCTACCGCCGACCACACTAACAAACCTTTTCAAATGCTTTCCTTTGAAGGTTTGAATCTTACAAATTGGAACATATTGCCTTCAACATCATCCAATTTAAAAAAATTCAAGTGTAGAAAGAAGTAGACATAACAGCGTTATATATTTAATACAATTTCTTTAATAAGTATTAGTGTAGTCAGCTATAATACTCTATCAAGTAGTCCTAAAGTTGAAGTAGGCGTAAAGATAAACTTTTGGGTGCAAACTAATTAAAATTTCCTGCATGAAGATTTATGCAGCAATATGAAATTCCTCCTAACGGTTTCTTTACCGAGGAAATAGATCTACCTAGCACTACTAATTGCCGAAACCGACCCCTATGTGTGAAGTGTTATTTAGACGAACTGAGATTGACACAGAAATTAAGTAAACGTGGCTTGACTAATTGTTCCTGTAATTGTCAAGACAATCAGTGCGTCGTTGTTTTGGTGAAATCGAAGGGCAATATCACCAACATGCTGCATCAGGCAAAAAAACACATCATTAGTACTCAAAATAAGTCAATTTTCTAGGAACATTCTGAATCAATACATTCCTCCATTAACAGAATGAGATTCCTGACTAAGACTTGGATACTAGTTATCAAGAATTCGAAACTAGTTTTTAGGTTCTACATCATCACGTCAAACTGAATAGAATCCTGCAGGTACAGAATTTTAATTTTTTTTTATTTTTATTTTTATTTTTTTATTTTTATTTTTTATTTTTATTTATCATCATCTCAAATCAAGAAGACGAAAGCAGTAAAAGAAAAGCACGTAAAGAACCCAGATAGAGCTAGTTAGAAATGGTACAAGAGGCAGTGGATCCCGACTTCTCCACTAGTGCCATAAAGCAGCAATTATCTAGCGTGATAGACAATTTAAGCTCCAAGGTAAATGAGCTACAAGTACAAGAGGGCAAATACGATGAGTTGATGAATAACATTACTGGAGACAAGGTAATAATGTCCATAGGAGACGGATATTTTGCTGAGTATTCTCATACAGATGCTAGATCATTCTTGAGCCGCAGAATAGATAATATAAACAACGGGATCAAAGAAATAGAAGGTAGAATACGTGAGGCTAAGGGCACCTTAAGAAAATTTGAAGAATACTCGAAATTGACCGGACTCCAAGAAGACGGAGCACAGTCCGACGACAAGATACAAGAAAGTGATATAGAGAATGGAAAATATAACGAAGAAGGCTTGCCATATATGGATATACGTGAAGAATTGGACGAGAACGGCAACGTGCTTAACGTGAAGATCAATGATGGACCAATGAGGAAGACAATTGATAGCTTTGATGAGCATGATGATGACGATGGGGAAAGCACACCAGATAATTACGAATCTCCCCATATAGAAAGAGATCTTTCTGGAACAGCAGATGACAAGGATGAAATAGAAGAAACTGGCCCGATACTGTCCAATATAAAGGAATCTGTTGTTCAAGAAGTCGCTGAAGATGAAGGGTCAGCTATAATGGATATAGTTGAAGTTTTAGATGATCTGGGAAATGTTGTATCTAGTAGTGTCAAGCCTGCTAAATCAGAAACGAGTGAGAGTGGAGCTTCAAAATCAAAACTAGTTGAAGGCGGTACTAGAGAACTGATTCCCGAAGGACAAAGTATAAACGGTGATGAAGACGAAGACGAAATGAATCAAGTAAATGAATTGCTTTATGATATGGAAATTATCCAAAACCCGGAAGAAAAGGCCAATGAAGATGAATTGTTAAACAAAATTGACAAATTGGACATTACAGCGGATGATAAGTTTAGATTGAAATTGATTTTACTTGATGAATATAGAAAGATTAACGAAGAAGGTGATGATGCCAAGAAAACGATAACCCTGACACCATCATCTTCTAAGATAGAGGCGATTAAAGAGCTGGATAACTCCGTTGAAGATGATATTGAAAACAATACTTCTTTCACTAATTTTCCTTCAGGTTCATTAGCAATGAATAGCGATGAAATCTTGGAGTTGGAATTGCTCGCTGATGATTTTGATGAAGGTGAAGGAGAGGCAGAGTTTGCTGACGATGAAGAATGGGATTTTGAATTCAGCGAAGATGATGAAGATGAAGAGGAGGATGATGATTTGGCAGATGAATTACTTTACGGAAAGGAAAAACCAGAATTTATTTCTAACAACGGTGTTAATAGTAGACTTTGGGATGAAGTGATGTCAAGAAGACAAAATAGCTCAGAAAAAGATATCGACAAAGAACTGACTAAAACATCCCACGCGTCAAATTCCAAAAAATCTGTTAGGTTTGCAACTGAGTTGGATATATTTGAAATTGAGAATGTTAGTCAAGAATTGAAGAAAATACAACATGTGAATCAAAATTTTTCGAGATTCAAACAGGAAAGAATGGTTAACAAGATTGATGAAATTGATGAGTCTTTCGAAGATGGAGAGCAAGGAGAACAGGAAACAGCTGCTGTAAGCGAATTGGTTATGGAAAAGCTTATTTTGGGAGAACCAGAGCCTATGCAAGATTTATCTAAGAAGAAATCAAGATTTAGGATGATGAGAGAAGAAAATGACTTGAAGAGTGATGTTCAAAAGTGCAATAAAAAGGAAAATATATCGAAAAGCACTTCGACACCTGCAACATCTGCTACTTCTAATAAAATCACAGAACTTGAACAACCTCTGAGTGACATAATCGAAAGGGAGCAACCGGTCAACGATATAATTGAAAGAGAACAACCATTTAGTGACATAATTGAAAGGGAGCAACTAGTCAACAACACAATTGCAAGAGTACAACCATTGAGTGACATCATCGAAAGAGATCCATTGTCTACTGGAGCTATCGAAGATAGAAAAGAAGTAACTGCCGACGCTCCAGCACCACGAAAAGCAGTCAAGAAGAGCAGGTTTAAGATGCAGCGCGATAGCCCTGGTGTGAATGCATCTAATCCACCGCACAGGTCAATTACTACAGAAAAGATTCCTATAGAGGATGATAAACCTTTAGACAGAAGAATGGCTATTGAGCAAAGTATCGCCGATATTGAGGATAAAGATATTGTATCAGAAGAAAATATGTTATCCGATAGAACCGATGGTGTAGCTGAGGACATCGAAGATGAAGGTGATGACATCAAATATGTGGAAACCACTATAGATTATCAATCAATGCAGAATGATATGGATACAATGGCAAAAGCATACGTTCTTGGGATGTATGACGATGATATTGTAACTGAGGGACCAGTTGTCGACAAGCTTCAGGATTTTGAAGAAATAAATAAAATCATTGATGAAAATGAAAAAGCGAACATTGCAGTCTCAGGAGTTTCAGGGGATAATGAGGGTTCGGATGAAGACGAACAAGATGAGGATGAAGATGAGGGTCCAGTTTTACTTGATATTGTGGAAAATGATACCAATTTCAATGCCGCAGATGAGGATGAAGTAGAGGATAACATTATCCAAGACGAAGTGCAGAACAATTACCATAGACTCCGCCGCCAAATGATGCAGGCACGTGAAAGAGGATATCGTAAAACTGAAGAAGAATTGCAGTATGAGCCAATAGACGAGGATGGAAATCCAATTAAAGTTAGTCGGTTCAGAGCTGCGAGGTTCAGATAATATTTTATATAGCATACTTTTATACACTTATGAATAATGACATGATTTTAAACTCCGAGGGAGAATGAAAGTAGCCATATCCATATGAAAACTCTAACAATACCGAATATAAAGCACGAATAAACGGAAAACGCGATTCTACCTGGTGAATTACCCCATACATCTCGAATGGCACACCTCGTATTTGGAATTACTCTCTCGTTAACGTTGCTTGAATTCTTGTTTGCTTCCCAGTTTGGCTCGGGTCCCGAGAAGAATAAGAAATTTTCATGCAGATCACAGAATCCGGGGAAAAGCTCAAAAAATAATAATAATAAAAAAAAAAAAAGAGACATTCCGACTAAGAGTTCCTAATGGTGGTTGAGCTTAACACTACACTCATCATAAACTATATCTCAATCTGTAGAAAAACAGCAAGAAAGAAAACATAACTTATCAGAAGTAAACACGGACTTAGACGTGCGCTTATACGTCAAACAGAGCAGCTTATGCTGCCAATAGATAGGGAAAGAATAAAAAGTCGAAGTACGGACTTTAGCACTAGCCTGTAATTGGCCCACCCCTACCTCGCAAGAGCAAAAAAAAAAAAAAAAAAGAAAAGTTAAACACTGAAGATCTACAAAGGTTGGCTATGCAATGGGACTCTATGTCCGGAGAAAGGAGCTCGGAGGATATAGGTCTATTTCTATTGTGTAGTAGGAAAAGCATAACAAAGAGAAAAGTACCAAGGAACACCTTTCTACAACTTCCACCACCTCAGCTAAGGCTAATCGTACAACTTTTTCGGAACTTCTGGAGCTGGGGCACCACTGGATAGTAGACCACTGGAAATATACCGAAATTTGCGTATTATTAACAATGCAGTGCTCTGTTATTGAAGTCCGGGAATTCCTCACGGAGTGGGTGTGCTAGATATGCGTTTCATTCCGAGTCCGATCCTAAAAGCATAAAAAAAAAAAATTAAATAAGGTTGTCCCGTTGTGCACGAAAACGCAAATGACGCATGAAGAAATGCAGTTGGCCAATCGGAGTCGTTTCTCGGTTTGGACTTTGGAACTGAAAAATCTGGGGGAGAGTGTGGACGTACCATGGCGATCTGTCCTTACAAATACACCGGAGACATATAAATTCAAAGAATCCCCTTTCATTTCTCCTCTTTTTCTTTCCCCCGCAATAGCTGAAAGCAAATTTTAAGTTTCTATTTTTGCTTAATTTTAGAATTTTCCAATTGTTGGATAATAAAATGTATGTGTTAAACGAGAAAAAGAGGGGATTCCATACAGTACACAACAAAAAAATGGAGATCTCTCGAAGCGTGCAAGCGCAGCTCTGCTTCTAACTAAAAATCGGCGCTAGCTATGGTGAGAGAAGGAAAACTACGGAGCCAGAATGAAAAAAAGAAACGGGGACACACCCTAAAAAAAGAAAAATGTGATTTTGGAACCCTCGCCATTGCCCAAAAAAGGACGGAAGGAGCGTAGAGCAGTGTGGAGCATGGAGCATGGAGCATGGAGCACGAAGCGCTAAAACGAAAAATTGAGCGCCAACCGAGAGAACAAAATCAGGCACAAAAATTGAGAGAGCAAAGCACACAGTCAGTCAATCAGTCAATCAGGAAATCATCAAACAGACAGACATACATACATACATACATACATACGATAGCATCACGCCAATGCTTTCCCCGACCATGAAGCAGGTAAGAGGAGAAATACACGTTTGGAGTGATACAATTTAGCCTTTACTTCCTTTCCTACGTTTATTGTCTCGTGCTTGACTGCTCCGACTCAATTGTGCCCTCTCCATCACTCTTGTTCCATGCTGCTCTCGCGCTCGTATAAAGCGCGTTCTGCCCTTGGGGATATTTTGATTTTCTCTCATTTTTTTTTTTCCACTCAATTTTTACTAACAAACCTCGCAGATAACGACCATCTTGAAAAATTTATACGCTATTTTTGTTGAGTCCCCCAAAGTCGCAGCCAAAAAAACCGCAAACCGAAAAGTTTTGAGTAAATTTTATATAAGGTACTCATCCAGTTCATTTAAGGTAGTATAACTATTCCAATTTTATTACATTTTACCGATTTTTTCTTTTATCACTACCGGAAAATATGTCTTCAATTCTTAAACAAAGAGTAAGGTACGCACCTTATCTCAAGAAGCTCCGTACTGCACAAGAATGTGTTGAATTGTTCTCACCTGGCCAGTACTTGGGTTGGTCTGGGTTCACCGGAGTTGGTGCGCCAAAGGCTATCCCAACTGCATTGGCAGATCACGTTGAAGCAAACAACCTCCAAGGGAAATATGCATTCAACTTGTTTGTCGGTGCATCTGCAGGCCCGGAAGAGTCCAGATGGGCTGAAAATTCCATGATCTTAAGAAGACTGCCACATCAAGTTGGTAAGCCAATTGCCCAGGCCATTAACGACGGTAGAACTCAATTCTTCGACAAGCACTTATCCATGTTCCCACAAGATTTGACCTACGGTTACTACACTAGAGAAAAGGAAAATGACTTGTTGGACTACACCATCATTGAGGCCACTGCGATCACTGAAGATGGATCAATTATCCCAGGTCCAGCAGTTGGAGCCACTCCAGAAATGGTTTCCGTTTCCGATAAGATTATTATCGAGGTTAACACCAACACTCCATCATTTGAAGGTTTACATGACATCGATATGCCAATAAATCCTCCACACAGACCCCCATACCCATACATGACTGTGGATCAAAAGAATGGATTAGTCTCCATCCCAGTAGACCCATCCAAGGTTGTTGCTATCGTTGAATCCACCGAACGTGACAAGGTTCCAGCAAACACCCCATCCGATGCCATGTCCCAATCAATTGCACAACATTTAATTGAATTCTTTGAACATGAAGTGAAATTGGGTAGAATGCCTGAAAACTTGCACCCATTGCAATCTGGTATTGGTAATATTGCCAATGCTGTGGTCGAAGGTTTAGCAGCATCTAAGTTCAAAAACTTAAACGTTTGGACTGAAGTTTTACAAGATTCATTCTTGGATTTCTTCGAATCCGGTTCATTGGACTATGCTACTGCCACTTCTATCAGATTAACTGAAGCGGGTTTCGACAAATTCTACGAGAACTGGGATTCATACTCTAAGAAGTTATGTTTGAGATCTCAAGTTGTTTCAAACTCTCCAGAAATCATTAGAAGATTGGGTGTTATTGCCATGAACACTCCAGTGGAAGTTGATATTTACGCTCATGCCAACTCTACTAACGTTATGGGATCCAGAATGCTTAATGGACTTGGTGGTTCGGCCGATTTCCTTAGAAATGCCAAATTATCTGTCATGCATACTCCATCTGCAAGACCAACCAAGACTGACCCAACTGGTCTTTCATGTATTGTTCCAATGTGTTCTCACGTCGATCAAACTGAACACGACTTAGACATTGTTGTCACTGAACAAGGTTTGGCTGATTTAAGAGGATTGTCTCCAAAGGAAAGAGCCAAGCAAATCATAAAGCACGCTGCCCACCCAGATTACAGAGATCAATTGACTGATTACTTCGACAGAGCCGAATTTTTCGCCAGAAAGAAGAAGTCCTTACACGAACCTCATATCTTAAAGGATGCCTTCAAGATGCATACCAACTTCCAAGAAAATGGAACCATGAAATTATCATCATGGGATTAAGAGATTGGAGTATGGAGAAACGTATATATATATAAAGAAAGGTAAAACTGAAAAAAATAAAAAATAAAGATATAAAAATTAAAACAGAGTAAGAAAGAAAGAGAGATAGAGGGGATCATCATTGAAAACTACCTGCTAGTTTGAATCTATATAGATAAAATAATACAAATTGCTTTATTCTAATAGTGTGATATCTCTGTAGTTTGCTTGTACAATCTGCAGTATTCGCAGCCATCACTCAAAGTACAGTGTGCCCCATACAAAACTAAGAGACATGCTTAAATGAAAAGCCATAAGCTATTTTTCGACCTGAAAGTAACTACTAAAGATTGCAACAGATCTCATAAAAGAGCCAAGCTCCTCATACTCAAATCTAACTTGACTGCTTCATTATCTTCTACATACTATTAAACAGCAACAGCCTCTGTATGCAACCCATATCACATCACGTGACCAAGACCTTTCTAGAATTTACTAGAAACTTTTCACAAGGGTAAAATTTTTTCCCTGACAAAAACCACCACAACCGTCAACTTACTTAACCAGAGTCCATACACCGTTTGCTACCGTAACATAGTAGTATACTGTACGTAATTATGATGATAAGTAGTAGATTACAGTTCCTTAAAAGAACGCTGGGTTGTACGAAACGTATACGCCTAAACAATGGGGTCAGATCGAAATTATTGAAACCATGTTCGTTCCAGGTCAGATCGTTCCATTCTTCCTCACCACAATTTATTGATTACGATCCATATCAAACCTTGGGAGTCGAAAAGTCATCGAGTGCAAAGGATATCAAGAAGGCCTACCATCAGTTGGTCAAGAAATATCATCCGGACGTTAACAAAGAGAAGGATGCAGAGAAGAGGTTCCATAAAATCCAGGAATCCTATGAATTGTTGAGCGATAAGGAAAAAAGATCTCAGTACGATCAATTTGGAGCCAGTGCCTTTGATGCCAATGGTAACTCCAACCCTTATGCTGGTAATCCGTTCGGAGGTGGTGGAAACCCATTCGGTGGTGCAGGAAGCCACGGAGGAGGGAACCCATTCGGTGGTATGGGGTTCGATTTTGAAGATTTATTTAAACAAGCATTCAACGGAGGTGCCGGAGGTGCTGGGGGTGGAGCCGGTGGTAGAGGATTTGTAACTGAGCATGTAGGTGACAATATTGAAGTCTTGAAAACTATCTCCTTCAAGGAAGCCATCTTCGGAACCAAGGTTCAGGTCAACTACAAGGCTGTAGATTCATGCGGTACCTGTAGTGGATCTGGAATGAAGAAGGGCAAGAGCAAGACTACATGCCCTCAGTGTCACGGATCTGGTCAAACCACCCACGTCATGGGAGGGTTCCATATGGCATCTACATGTCAGACATGCCATGGAACAGGAGTGCAAATCTCAAAGGAGGACTCTTGTGATTCATGTCATGGTAATGGGGTTGAGGAATCTGCAAAGTCCACATCTGTGGATTTACCACCGGGAATCATGGATGGTTCGAGATTGAGGGTCCCTGGTGCAGGTGATGCTCCCTTCATTACCAAAGACCCATATAATCAAACTAGAAACGGTGATTTGATTATCAGAGTCCATGTTCTGAAGGATCCAGTTTTCACCAGATCTGCTAACAATTTGGTGATACAGAAAGAAATTCCTATGACTGCAGCAGCCTTAGGAGGAGAAATAGTTGTGCCTACTATCGACGGAGAACAGGTCAAGTTGAAGATTAGACCTGGTGTGCAAAATGGACGCAAATTGACTATTCCTGATAAGGGGGTCCCTATCAACCGTAATATTAACAATAGAGGAGATATGGAAATTGTATTGGGCGTAAAGACCCTTGTTCCAGAAACTCCCGTTCAGACCGCCTTATTGGAAGCATTAGCCGATGCGTTCAATGATACTGAAGCCAAGAGAACAGATGCGCACTGGAAATTGGATTTGGATGATACCAGCAACAAAAAGGATAAAGATTCAAAGGTGGCAGATGAAAGCGGTCCAGATCCAAGTAAGACAAACAGAATAGGCAAATATTTAAGTAAGTTCTTCAACATGAAGGATGAAAAGTAGTAATAGAATTTGTACATAGGTAAATTGGGAATAAATTGTATATACATAAGTCAAGATATAGGTATGTAGGAGGCAAAAAACAAAGTATTTGTGTTGACTCAGAGCCAATTGCAGTACTTCCAGCCTGTATGGAGTAGAAACCACCAGCATTGCCAATGCTACAGTACAAATTGCAGCACATTCAGTCTTTCCCACCTAATTCTCTCGAATTTATGATCACCTGACCTAGCACGTGTTAATAATTACGTGCCATTTCTTCTGCAATTCTTTTACACAGTACGACGCCAAACACGATTCTGGGGAATAAAAAAAAAACAATAACATTGCATACTGGTGGAACACATTCTGCGTAGGAACATCTGCAAGCCAAAGAGCTGCTCCTCTCCAGTCCACCAGAGTCTAACCACATTCTGCTAAGCGCAAAATTTTATCGAAGTAGTGCCAAAGTAGTCACTCACTAGACCTGACTGTGAATACAATCATCGTTTCTATTTTAGTACATTGCTGGCTCATCTAAGCTTTCATCTATTAATAGTGGCTAAATTAAGCTTTATTAAGGGACACTAAAAAAAAAAGAAAAAAAATACCCAAATTGGCTACGGCAAGGTTAAAAAATTAGTATACGAACCTGTGGTTAGTTTCGATTTTTCATAAGCCCTTTCGTTTGGGCCAATTTAGTACTGAGATATTGAAATATTTTCTCTCGCTTGTTTTGATACATTACGTATTTTTTCTTCTTTGTCATTGTTTATCGTTTTTTTTCTTGTTCTTCTTCTTGTGTTGTTATTATTGTACGAGAACTGCACTACCGTTTTACTTGGAAGGTTACTTGGATTCCCCAGGTAGACGGAAGATCACCGAATAGACCCTCAGGGAGACACACGCACACACACACACACACACACACACACTAGCATTCATTCGTTTTCAAGATAGTCATGTCATTCGTTTACAAAAAGAAAAAGACCCCAAACTTATCACTAGTGGTTGAAGAAAGTACGCAGACGCCCTTGTCCAACTATGACATCGAGAACTTCGATGAGATAAACATCAAGCGAACCATTAGCAGAATTGGAAGTGTACGGGGACTTCCTCGGCCAATTAGCACAATGACATCGACTGGGGCAGTCGGTGCCCCTGGAGCTGCAATAGCTGCTCCTGTTGAGAGAAGTAGAAGTAGAGGCAATCTGCTTGGTTCCTCCTCCGAATCCATTCTTAATGTGGTGTATGAATCTTCACCTTTAAAGAACCAGGTTCCCCAAAGATCATCCTCAATTACTAGCACGACGTCTAATGTTTCCAATAAGTCCAACAATTCACAGGAATCGAGTTATATAGTCAGTGTGAATAAGACCCCACTGAACTTGACTCCGTCGCAGCGATTAAAGCTCAGAAAGACACAGTTGAACGACTCAATTTCGAAATTCAAAGATTATTCGAATGTAGTTCAGCAGCAACAGCAACAGCAACAGAAACACCAGCAAATTATAGAGCAGAGTCGCCAAACCCAACGCCAGCATCAAACTCGCAACCATCAACAACCCCGGAGACAGAACGGAAACCTGCTGGACAGTTTTCCCTTCAGCACTGGTAACGTTGACGAAGATGACGACGAAGATATTGACAGCGAGATCTGCATGTTCAATGTTCCAATTTCCCAACCTTTATCGGCCATTAGCCAACGAGAAAGATACACATATACAAACAATGATAGAAAATTATCTCTAACTACGGATTCCACAAGATCTTCATCTATACTAAGCCACACGTCTCTAACTGACACCGGCTCAATTACCAGTTATGAAGATGACTTGACTAGAACTGCAAACACAAGTTTTAGTAGTAGTTACATCAATATGGAAGATTTAAAGTTGTCCCAAGATGCAGAACAATTGACTCTTTTATTTAATAAAAACGACTATGTTCAAATTAATGAGGAGTCAAGACAAAAGCAGAAAATGTTGAATAGCTTTAAGAAAGTAAATTTGGCAGGCCAACAAGGGGAACAGGATTTCCACCTGGAAGGCAATGAACCTACAAATTCTGACATTAGTAACAACAATGACAGCTATAAGAATCCAAGCATAAGGGCCCCATCTCCTCAAGTACGTGCATTGTCTACCGCCTCTATCAAGAACAAAAGAGCTACAGGCATATCTCCAGCTTCTTCCATTGATCCAAGGTCACTATCAACATCTACTTTGAAGACCACAACTCCTCCAAATGAAATCCCACTGCCACTTCAAATGGTTGGCCCAGGTAACTCGACTACTAAGTACTTTTCTTTCACTAGACCAACATGGTTGCCTCCAAAATCTTCATCGGACAAGAAGAAACATCAAAAGGAATCAGAGTATCTCATTAAGCAGGCCCTACAAAGAGAAACTGATCAGAAGAATCGAAAAATTGCTGAATTAGAGAGATTGAAAAAACAAAAGCAGAAAGATTTACAAATTTGGGAAGACGAAATTGTACCAGATGGCGGGATAACAGTTCTGGAAGCAGATTATCAAAAGAGATTGAAAACAAACCTAGTAAAGGACATGTACTGGAGGGGTTTACCATCTACATCATTGAGATCAAGACTTTGGTTTAAACAAATTGGAAATGGGGTGCAGCTTTCTGAACATACATGTAATTACTATTTCCAAAAGGCTAGAAAGTTTAGATCTAAAGTCACCAAATTTGATCAGCTCTTACTCACCAAAAATAATAAACCGGTCTTGGACTCATACATCAAAAAAAGTCCTTCAATTCTCAAAATGAAAGGGTATATGGACAAACTTAATGCTGATTTGTTGGACACATTTCCAGATCATAATTTCTTTCAAAATCCGGAGACTATTTCTAGAATTATTGACACTGTAACCAGTTTCATTCTTTATTTGAATGAGACAAATCAAGGAATTGAGATAGACGATGAAAAATTTAGACATATTAACTTGAATTATTATTTCACAGGCTTGAATAATCTCTCGGGGATTTTATTTTACCATTATAACCGAAGTTGTTATAGAACCTTCATTTCACTCTGTAATGTATTCCAGAGACCATTATTAAACTTACTTTTGGGTTTCCAGGTTCACTGTATTCAGGATGAACTAGAGAAAAACTCAGATGGCGCTTTAACAAGTCAACAGAGAAATTTACTTCTCTGTTCATTGAACGACGCTTTCATTGACAACTACGAACAGAAATTCAAAGAAAAGCTTAACAGGTTGGCAGTACACTTTTCTGTAATTAATTTACAGCCGATTGAATACATCTCTAATATTCTTTTAGGAATATTCAGTAATTTTCTCGACTTCCAGTTAAGTTCTCACATTTTGGATGTCTATGCTTTCGAGGGTGACGATTTCTTGGTGAGCTGTCTCTTAGGTGTACTTCTGAAGATACTGTTCAAACTTTATGGTACGAAAAAGGAAAATTTAGAAATTCTAGGTGAACATTATAGATCAGTGTTGAACTCTCAAGGCAAGCAACAAAGACGTACAGCAGAATCATACAAATATTTGAACGTTGGTCTTGAACATGAGTTTATTGAAATTGTTAAGGAGTTACATACCTAATAAAGGAAAGGAAAGGATGTATGGAAATGTAGGATTGTAGAATACTATTACAAGATTTGCTTGATCATCATTACTAATATTAATATTACATCTATTTAGAATCATTAAGTGACTTCAATAATTCGGCACCATCTGCTGGTGTTTTCACTTTTAAAATAAAAGTTTCAATACTTTTGTCTTCTTTAACAGTAGGAACACGAACCATGGAGCCATTGCCAATGGTATCGTATTGAACATCCTTGTTGACTAAAGTGTTCAATAAGACTCTTAAACCACCATCAGCACGGATTAATATTCTCGCTTTTTGAGAATCTTTATTTTTTAAAACCTTGACATCCCCAAGTCCTTTGTTTACATAGGGCTGTTCTTTGTTTGAAGGATCGAAAAGCATCAACTTGGTACGTTTGGTGTAAAGAACTTCTTCATCTTCTTCACCAGTTTGAGCATTTCCAATTTTTTCAGATGCTAATTGTGCAACTGGCTTGAAGTTGACCTTCGGTTCCTCTTCATCTGCAGCTTCATCCTCAGCAGCGGTGGAATCATTGGTACTAGCGGCCGGCGTAGCATTGAAACTAAAGTTGAAAGCACCAGCTGGTTTAGCTTGGGCAGCACCAAATGCATTAGAAGAAGACGAACCGAAAGAAAATGCAGGCTTAGGCTCTGACGAAGGTGGAGTTGCCGAAGGTTGAGATCCAAAAGCGAAAGCAGGCTTGGATCCGGTTGAAGATGCAGGAACAGCTCCAAAAGTGAATGCCGGCTTGGAGTCAGTTGATTTGGCTTCAGAGACAGTACCGAAAGATACGGCTGGCTTAGATTCAGCGGGCTTCACTTCAGGAGTGGCACCAAAGGTGAAAGCTGGCTTGGCTTCGGTGGGCTTGCTCTCAGAAGTGGAAGAGCCAAAACTGAAAGCCGGTTTAGATTCAGTAGGTTTGTTCTCTGAAGTAGAGGAGCCAAAACTGAAAGCAGGTTTTTCAACAGCGGCATCAACAGGCTTCGATCCGAAACTGAATGAAGGTTTTGATTCTTCTACTGGTTTGGTTACAGGAGCACTAGCGCCAAAGTTAAACGATGGCTTAGCACTAGTGGATGTATTAGATGCAAATGAAAATGGTTTGGGCGCTTCGTCCTTTGGTGGTTCATTGGCCTTTGACCCGAAATTGAAACTAGGTGCAGTTGCTGGGGCTGATGATGCTGAAGTAGTACTTCCAAAGCTGAAAGACGACGTGGTTGCAGATGCATTGGTTCCGAAAGTTGGTTTGCTTTCAGATGGAGCAGGAGGGGCTCCAAACGAGAAACCAGTTGGCTTTTCTTCAGTTTTTTTCTCTACAGCTCCAAATGAGAATGCTGGTTTAGGAGGCTCTTCTGCTACTTTGCTGGCTTCCGTACCCTTGACTTTAAAGACACTGTCTTTAATTGTTTTGTTGAATTGGAAAGTTGGTCCCTTGATCTCGATTTCAGATTCTGAATCTGAGTCCGAGTCAGCTTTCTTCTTCTCAACCTTAGGGCCAAACGAAAATGGTGAGCTTTTGACGGTTGGCTTACTGGTCAAGGTGAATTTTGGACCTTCAATCTTTATATCTTCATCAGAATCGGAATCAGAGTCGGAATCAACATCAATGGAATCTGTCTTCGCAGGAGCAGCTGCTTCGACAGGAGCTAAAGTAGCTGCTGGAGCTGCTGCCTGGGAAGTGGTTGCTGCAGGTGCAGGACTAGGCTTGCCAGCCCCGTTGAGCTTGTTTTCTTGGATATTCTTGTAGTATTGTATATACTTTTCAGCAATTGAAGTGAAGTCGACTATTGTATTGGGAGTGTTAGCCTTTACAATTGAATGAACGAAGTTTTCGTTCAAAGCTTTGATTTTCTCGTTAATATCACTCGACGCAGAGGATGTAGTGGAGGGAGTAGAAACCGGAGCTTTTGTTGCACTTGCAGTTGCAGCAGGACTGCTCTTTATAGTTCCAAACCCTCCGAATGCATTGGCGTTTGGTATGGATGGCTTCGTAGTTGCTCCAAAATTGAACCCGTTGCTAACAGGGGCTGATCCATTTGCAGCAATTCCTCCAAATGCATTTCCTCCTAACGAGCCTGCACCTCCCGCTCGGGATCTGGGCTTGATTATCTTTCTCTTCGCTAAAACGGCTTGAGACGCAGTAACTGGTCCCTTGGAAGAAGTGTCCTCTTCGCTATCGGACCCGGTTTGTCTTTCCCAAGGTTCTTTCGTGAGCTGGTCTCTCGCTTGTCTTTTGGACATGATTCTAATCCAATATATGTATGCTATAGACCTGGTTGTTGATATAAATTAGTCAATATACTTCTCCACTTAGTGATGGCCTCTGATTTTTTACGTTTTTTTTGAAACAAAACCAAACCTGGTTCGTTCTGTATGCAGGAAATGGATTATTCCAGCGAGTAATTTACGAAGGTTGGCGGGTGGCCAGCTTTGAGATTAGTGACATTCCGACTTTTGTAGGAGTAAGTTATTCCTGCACATTAGTGGGGTTTGTGCCCTAGTGGGTCAGGCCTATTTTGTATCTTCGCGGTCCAATGTGAACGTGACAGGCACCTTTTACTTAAGGAGAGGTGAGCGAAAAATTTGAGGAAAATCCTTCATTTGTCCTGCATGTAGACTCTCCATACACTCCCATCGCTCGCAAACACCCAGTCTCTGGGCATTCTCTGCCTCCCAGACTCTCCTTTCCCTCTCTCCTACCCTGCTCTGGCACACGCACACACACTCTGGTGCCAACAGCCCAGAGGTGGGAATAATAGTTATATTTTTTTATCATTAACATTTTACTTTTGGATACTTTTGGTATATCAAGAATCCAAAGACAAGTAAGTACATACCAGTAGTAGAAAGTGTCAGTAAGAAGTAGTACAGCATAACTGTAGCCTTAGTATCAAAAACCTTAACAACAAAAGAAAAGGAAGAGGTTCATCAACTTTACTGAATTGGAAAAAAATGGAAAAAGTGATGAAAAGTTTTTAATGGTGTGATAATGTGGATTTAGAGTGATAACAGCTCAAGCATAGCCTAGTGGAGCAATAATCAATAGCCTACTGTTACAAGCTAAACCGAACAAGTATAGTCAATAGTGTTTTATGCTTATAGTGCTCCTATCAAATTGCTATACTTTTTACTTGCTTTTGAAAATTTTTCAAAAAAATTTTAAGATTACGATATTTTCGTTTATAAACTCAGTACTAACATATTTCTTTTAGCATGGCTCCAAAGGTTCAACAAACCAAAGCTGCTAAGGCTGCTGCCGCTTTAGCCGGTGGTAAGAAAGGTAAGAAGAAGTGGAACAAGGGTAAGGTTAAGGATAAGGCCCAACACATCGTCATCTTAGATCAAGAAAAATACGACAGAATCATGAAGGAAGTTCCAACTTTCAAGTACGTTTCCGTCTCCGTTTTAGTTGATAGACTTAAGATTGGTGGTTCCATTGCTAGAATCGCTTTAAGACAATTGGAAAGTGAAGGTATCATCACCCCAGTCTTAAAACACTCTAAGCAAGCCATTTACACTCGTGCCGAATAAATTATTTAATCGATTTACAAAAAAATGATATAATAGGTTAGGTAAATGTATATTTTACGTTAAAATAGGAATGTAAAGAACTGTAGGAGAACCCAGACTGAGAGCTAGAACAAGAAAAAACCAGAATGATACCAGAATGGTGCCAGAAGTAGAAGAAAAAGGGGCCAATTATTGGAGAAATTTGATGAAAATGGGACGAATTCTTCTGAATTTGAAACCTCTTGTATAGATAGACGTCAAGCTGACTCGTTCTTGAAGCTACTTACTTTGAGCCAACCAGAGAAACACGCTCTCTGTCCGTTAATCAAGCAACTTCTTAATTTTTCATTTCGGTTTTTCTCAGCGCTCTTTCCTCTTTGGGCGAAGATATGGATCTCTACAATTTTACTAGTGACGGATTGTATGCTCTTGCTTGATGAATAACACCAAGACAATGCTAGTTCGTGGAAGTAGGTACCCCTTTTTGTCTCGTAGATCTTTCTTTTCATTTCCTGGAACTAATAGTGTTCAGACTTATCAAGTAAAAAAGCGGTTAAACTTCCCCCCCTCCACTCTATTCGAGATTGTATCTAGTGTAGACAAGTATAATGAATTTGTTCCATTCGTAACTGAATCGTTTGTCAACAAGCGAGATAGTAAGACGGGAAATCCTACCGAAGCAGGGTTGAGAGTAGGATGGCAGCAGTTTGATGAAATTTTTACATGCAATCTCAAATGTGAAACCGATAAATGTGTAATTGCGGAATCATTGACTGTGCTGTTGTTTGATAAATTGCATACCGAATGGAAGTTTACACCTATTGAGAACCCCCATATAAAACAGACAAGTTGTCAAGTGGAGTTGAATTTAACATATTCGTTCAAAAATCCTTTGTACAACACTGTAAGTTCACTCTTTTCTGAACAGGTGACCCAATTGATGCTTAGAGCCTTTGAGAGCAGAGCACGAGAATTGAGAGTGAAAGAAGTGAGTAGAAAGTAGCAATGAGAAAGAAGCAACAAGAAAGACGTAATGAGAAAGAAGTAATGAGAAAGAAATAATGAGAAAGAAGTAATGAGAATGAGGTTGAAGGAGTAGAAAACAGTAATGAGAAAGAAGTAATGACAAAAGTCGGACCAGTTTGTATATAAAATAGAATACCAGTGATCCTGATCTTGGCAAATGTCAAATAATAGATCTCCATAGAGTAATTCAATGTAAATAGAAACAGAATCTGTAGATAGAAATACATAGTACTTGAATATAACGTAATTCAAAACCCCTAATGGTAACACGGTATAGACTTGTAGTTTATACAGACCAGAAGCTTTTGGGCTGATTGTTCTATCTTTATGAAGATTCCAAGGTCACTGATCATTGATCCGAGGTCCTTTTGAAAAATCGCAACAGAGCTACTCATCTTCTCTTCTCCAATTCTTTCCCTACTTCTATCTACTTTACTGTATTTAGTTATTAATGTACATTATATGTTCCTATAAATATATGCTCCTATTTATGTATATGATCCTGTGTGCTATTTTCGTTTATTTACACGTGTGGTCCTTAAACTGTCTTTGGAATCAATCCATGGCTACCAACTGTAAATTCCTTCAAAAAATGGTTTGGAGTACGGGGTAAAGAAGCATCAAAATGTGGTATATCCTTGATGGAAAAGCTTCTCTTTCTATATCCTCCGCCCATTACTCCAGTAGAACCTGATGAAAGACTTACTAATGATGTAGAACTTGAACTTGGCGACAATTTACTGGAAGACGAGTTACCGTACTTTATGTTCCTCAAATATGACATATTCAAAGGAGATAAAGTTGTGGGTTTAACTAAAACCTTACCTACCCATAAATCCTCAGCAGTCAATGGCTTGATACAACGAATACAGTTCTTGTAATGTTTAGATAATGAAGGTTGCTTAGACTTCGCAAGTGGATTCCACTTCTTAGAGGAGCCTGTCAAGGTTGAAGGTGCATTTATTATGCCTTGGGGTGAAGAAGGAGAGTTGGGCGACAACTGTAAGCCTTCACCCATGTTTGGATTCTCGATTTCTTCCTTATAATCATCTAAGTCAATGTTCTCCTCGGAATCATCACCTAAGTCTCCATTTTCATCCACCAATTCATCATCTTCATCCAAGTCTTCATCACCTAATTCGTTTCCATACTCATTTTCCATGACTTCACTATCGTCACCTCCTTCATCTGTTTCATCAAGTACATCATCGTAGTCTACGCTAAACGTTGGCCTGCCAACGTCTGACTGCCTTTCTCTTTCTATTTCTGGTAATGTATCCACAAGACTTGAAATCGTAGAGAAAGAACTACTGGCACTAATGCTGGCATTACTGTTTGAGGGAGATGATGACAGTGACAAAGAAAACCTCGACTTGATCTTGATTAAACGACTTTTAATGGAATTTTCTCCGTTAGTCATCAATGACTCAGACTGCGCTCTTTTACGGCCAGTGCTCAATGCACCTACGTTCAAATTCAGCTGGTCTCTTCCAGCACTAGCTGGAAAGAATTCAGTTCTTCCATCATTTGACGTGGTATTTCTTCTCTCTCTGTCTCTATGTCTCCTTCTTCTTGGTACCGTTCTATACTTGGGGATCTCGCGATCTTGAATGTCAATCGCAACGTCTTTCCCGATTCCTAAAGCAAAGTTCCAATCAATCAATGATTTGGTGTCTGGGAATTCCAATAATAACTGTTCACTTTCCACTCTAATGCGCATGACATTCTGCTTCTTCTTATAGTCGGTAGCTAACCCGAGCCTAGAATGTTGCAAAGTATAAGTTCTGAACAAATTTTTGTTCGTAGGAGAAGCAGACGAAGTTATTCCAAGTCTCGAAAGAAATCTATAAAACTCGAGATCTTGGTCCAATGTTAAGTCAGATCTGAGTGTGAATTCAGTTGCGTCGTTCTTTGGACAGGTAGGCTCATTCTCCAGATATGGAGAATATCCTGACAGTTCAGGAGATGAGTTAGACCAATTCCAGAACTGTATGACATGTGCTTCCATATGAGCCGGTATGCTGTAAAAATTTAATTGAGTGGAGTTCAACTCAATGATCATATTCTTCCATGATCTGCCTGTAGAGGGTTCGTAGGGCGAGATCCATTCGGATTTACGAGAAACGAGCCCAATCTTATAAATAGTTGGCGAGTACTCGGGTATTGGTTCATCAACACTAATTTCATGCGAGAGAGGAGACATGACTGGATATTTAGGACAGCCACCGGGAGGTAAAGTGTCATATGAAGGTGGTGATACTGGTGAGGGTTCCAAAAATGTGAGGTACTCTTCTTGGTAGTCAAAGTCCCCTGATCCTGCAGTGGGTAAACTTTGAACTAAAGCAGCTGGAGTTGAAGCCGGGCAGTTTCCTTTTGGGACCCTTTGAAGGGACTGGGGCTTTGGATGAACGATCCTGGGTGGCGTCGTGGGACATGCCTTCGTGGAAGGAAGCTTGTCTGTGGAAATTACCGGCGTGGCAGGTGTTTGTGGGCGTTCATCGCCAGTAACGTTCGTAGGGGAGTTCGACCTAGAAGATGCCGCAGAACTGGCACTCGACGATGAAGAACATGACGCCAAAATGGACTTGGGAGAAGTGTTGGTGGCCAACAATATACCCTGGTCGAAAAACTTGGGATTGTTTGCCTTGTAGTTCCTCAAGGGGAACTGCTTCTCTGGAGGTGGGACAGGGTAGCTCATCTTGAGATGTGCTGGGTACATGGGGTCCTGTATACAGTTAATGCTAATGATTCAAGATCTGTGAGATGGATCAAGGGTAAACCGATAAGAAGTGCAGTCAATAGGAAGGCAGGTAACACTAGAATATTACAAAAATGCTTGCGGTTCCTCCAATAATATATAACAACACAAATCTTTATCTCTTCTTGGTTGTGGGTTGTTCAGTAATGCTATGTGGAACCCACGGATGCCTATGCTGGAACAGCAAAAATCGATAAAAATCTGAAAATAGCTCGGGAAAAATAAAAAACCCGTTTGGAACTTGATAACGGACCGATGATCGTAGCGACGGCGTAAGGGGATAAAATAGTTATCTTTTGGAGCAGGATCCTGAATGAGCCACTACAAAACTAAATAAGTTTAAGGGAAAACGTAAAGAAAAATAACGAAGAAAGTAGGGCTGTATATATAAATGCTATTGCTTTTCCCTTGATCCCTGTGATGTCAATTTCACAGACTCAGTCGGCAGATTGTGAAAGGTAGTGTGATAAGGGCTCAGAAGCCGCAGTTTGTATTTTAGCAATGAAGCAAAAAATAAAAAAGAAATAGTGAGATGTGGTGAGGTGGGAGAAGTTTAGGGAAGCAGACAGAGACGGGGACGGAGGCTACGGCATCATGAAAGATGGGCTCGAGGTGTAGTAACCGGAGCCCATGGAGCTGTATTTCTTCATTTTTATTTTCCAAAGGGCCTGTAAGTCTATCTACTCATGCCTTTCTCTCTCGCTCTCTGCCTCTCTCCTATTTCAGATCACCATTAAGCTTCCGACGTTCCTGGACATAAACTGTTCCACAGATAGGAGTAAAAAATTCGCAACCGCCGTTACATAAGCACACAATAAGCTTTTGCTAATCAAGCCAGATCTCCTATTTCGCATCGAAAGAACAGTGAAATTTGCAATTGGTCCGTTTAGTTCCTTTTCGGCATAAACCATTCGGGACTTCTGGGGCAACCAGATACATCTGTATAGTGTAGGGCCATAATTGGCAAATAATAAATGTCCAGATTGCTCTATGTGCTGTGATGCCTGTGATTTTGCTATATGGAACTGGCTAGGGCAATAGATCGGGTCTATCTTACATGCTATCGGCCAAATGGAACAATTTATAGTTTCTTTTTTTTAGCCTACTTGATACGAAACTACGCCCCGGCTACGATCGGGTTTTGAATATCAGAGAGGACAAGTTTATCTGCACGCATAGAAAAAGAGGATAAGGAGTCTTAGGAGTGTAGACATAAGGCTCACAAGACCCATGACTGCTCTATTTCTCGAGCAATGTCAGGCTAGCAAGATCCAGTTTAGCAATCACTGAATGTTGCAGATGTCAGCACTTCCATTTATTCTCCTCTTTCCTCTTCTGAAAAGAAGAAACTTGTAGTATTTCTTTTTGACACAGTGGGCTTCGCCTCATTACAATTGATTCTCCGCATTAAAATCCTTTCGCTGCATATGCAGCAATTGGGTGCAAATAATTACACTTCCGTAAGAGTACATGAAGAATGTACGGCTTTTTGCTCAGAGTACTAGTAAATGAGTTAGATGCGGAATCTTATAAAAGAAATAAGAAAAACGCATCTGTTTGAATGCATTACTCTTTCAGCAGTTGTATTGAGAACCCTACATCTCCATTCACCAGATAAGCAATAAAAGAAAGAAGCGGACTACAAAAGATTAGGATTCTTTAAGGAGTGAGACTTGCATGTACTTTGTACCGCTCACAATGTGTTATTTAACGAATTGGTTGTAATCGGTATCCCATGTTCCTTTCTATTAACTTGATGCTGAATGTACTCGATCATTTCTTTTAACTCACCTCCGGTACATTCGCATGTAATCTCATATGGATTGTACGACCCTCTAGCATTGTATTCGTCACTGGTTAATACTCGTGACAAGTCTCTTACAAAGTTATAGTTAACCAATTCTTTATACGATTCATGCTGGAATATTGAATGCAAGGAGATCTCCTTGTTCCTCCAAGGAGCTGATTCGTTGTTCACTAGCGACATGATTTCATCTTGATTTTCGATGTATATTTGCTGTTGTGCAACTGGTGAGATCTTCGAAACCGAGTCGTCAGGTCTTGCTGTGCTACCATTACAATTGTTTCTCCCTCGCAAATCACTTCCTTCGTTCTTCAATATTCTCAATATCACCTCTATTAAATCAAAGTAGTATTGATTAAATGTCTTCAAACTTGTTGGATTAAGATAAAATTGAATTTTCTTATTCGTTTTCAAAAAGTTGACAATGTTTTGATTAACTGCAATACAGTTAACACATCTGCAATTGATTATACTTTCACTTTCAATCATTTTCACTGCAATTTCCCAAATATACATCGACTGGTAGTAATCTGGGAAATCTACTTTCTCGATCTGTTTTTTGATACGTATAGCATTAAGTAGTTCTTTACTTTGTAAATGAAATTTAGTAACGATAGTGTGAAACTTTGTATCATTTTGGAATTCATAAAATGGATATATGGTACATTGGGTATCAATGGAAAGTCTCTTCAATTTACTAAATTGCCCACTCCTCTTAAGTAGACTAATGAGCTGATTACGGAAGTAGTACAAACTAAATGGGTTAATCAATATCGTGTGGCCATCTTTAATAATATTGAATGTCTCAACATTAGGCAAGTCCATCTCCACTAAGAAAGTTTTTAAACAGTTGCAGTTTTCATTATCAGATATTTCTGATAATTGATCTTCTAAAACGTCATCCAAATCTCGCCTGCTGTCTCTCAATTGAAGAATGTGGTTGCACCCTATCTTTAACTTTTTCATGCTCTTGATATTCTTGAGATTAAATAGTCTCTTCAATATGGAGAAATCCAATTTCTTTTCTTTACTCAAATCATATCTACTGCTGAAGTTATATCTATCGTTGACAATAGTTTGACCATGAGTATGGTTCAAGCTAATTGTATTTACATTGGGGAGTAATAGCTCGCCCAAGTTTAACTCACTTCTTAGTTCAGCTTCAATGTTTTCCAAGAAGTTTAAACTCAAATTGTGTGTAGATACAATCTCTATAGATTTAAGTCTCCTGAGACATTGAATGATGTTCTGCTTTTCTATTCTTGTCAATGGTTTCACATCTAATGACAGTAAATCAGATATATAAAAGCTGATGTTTCTTAATCTAGTCATCTGAGTAAATTTACGTAAATCGTTAAAATTGAACAACTGCACAGATGTCAAGTTAAGTCCAACAGAGTGTGTGTAAAATTTATCTAAGTCGTCATAAATCGTCATCAAGTGGTTTAAGGGAACATTGGCAAAGAAAATTGAGTGTATTCGGTGACTCAATTGAAATCTCCTATTCCAAGAATTCAATTTAAATAGAATGAATGTGATATCATCACAAACGATATTTCTTATCTTTTTACCTATCGCCTCGTTGCTCTCGGCTAATGTACGTTCCAATAGTTTAATGGGAGAATTCTGCCTCAAATCTGACTTAACTATGGTCCAGTTGTGTAAGTTACCTCGTTTGTCGTCTTCATAGTACTCATACGCCTCTACAATGGGGAACTTTCGTTCTGTGATATATATACTGCTATACAAATTCTCTATACATATATTGAACCAGGCTCTGCACGTGTAAGATAGCTGTACTTTATCAATCTGGTGAAGATTTCCGAGGATCTGATCCTGTATGCTATAAGGAAGGCTGACCGACATAGAAATGGGCATTTATCCTATCATGAAGGTTGTATCTCTTCTGTTCTGTTGTGTATTTGTTTATCTGTGCTCCCCAAAAACAATCCCGATCTGATCCAGACATATTCGCGAAAAGATGGGGGACCCTTTAAATGCCACACATTGAGTCTGGTGATACTCCAGATGATACTTTTAATAGGAATATTGGGATACTTCAAATTTAGTTGTTAGGGGAGACAGTCGAGATGAGTGTTTTTGGGACGAGATTGTGGATGATTTGATCTGAGCCTTTAAACAGCTCAACACTAACCGCAAAGTAGGTGCAGAACGAGTACACTTATTTAGTAGTTTGCAGCAATTCGGAGTGGTTCTCTGGCCCATTACGAATAGATATCAGGAAATAACTTGAAAGACGGATAAAGCTAGTATTGTACGACAGTGGTAGAATATATTTGAAAAGTACTTATCTCTTTACTATATAAGAATCTGCTAGGCTGCTTTGTATCTCTCTAATATAAGTGTATTTCCCTGTCAAACGTAACTTTACGAGCAAAAATTAGGACTAATGAATTTAGTCAATTGCCCCTCTAAGTCAATCTGCTCTCGAAACTATAAGCTATCCCATGAATCAAGGTTGGCATACAAATAAACTAGATACTTCCCGATAATCATAGATAGATTCCCTTAATCTATGAATACGTCTACCAGTGACTTCTATCACACTAGCGCTGCTCTTATTAGGTAGATGCGAACAATATGCAGTCCAATATGATTACAGTATGAGATGAGGTAGATCACAACTACCCCAACATCTACATTCTTCTCCTGCTATTATGTACAACTAGAATATGGAATTAGATCCTATATCATTGCTAATACAGACAAAATCTACTCTTGAAAATCAAACGAGCAATGTTGAAACCTATGGCTACATATTGTCGCAATTAGGTGCGTTGGTTGCACAGTCATCAGCATCGGAACAAGCGAGGTTATCACTTGTTAGTAACCCAAAAGTATCTGCTATACTTTCAGAAATCGTAGAGCCTTGTAAATTCGAGAACTTTGATGAATATAAGTTGAGAATTTTCAGAGGATGTATATTGTTAATTAGAAATTTGGGATCAACAGGGATCTTAGCCAAATCAAGATATATTCATAATTTACTCTCCAGTTTCAGCCAATTGATTGTTTCGGTGGAAGCAAGTCCAATAAGAGCCCAGCTAATTGTGTCATATGTAGAGGCTTTGGCCAATATTGGAGTTAATGCTGACAAAATAAGTGTAGACCTAAAATTGGTGACGAATATGTTAGAATCAGTAAGCTACGAGGCTGATGAAGAGCCCATCAAGTTACCAGTTGCAATCTTCTTGAACAACTTTTTCAATTCCGAGAATTTGTTTAAATTGCTAAACGAAAAGAGTTCTTCATATATTATTATGAAGTGGCTAGTCAGGAAATTCGAAGAAATGGATACCGACAACGAGTTGGACCCATCAGAGAACATTCTATTGGAATTTGCTCAAAATGTGATTTCCCATGAAAGCTATAATAAATGGTTGCACAGAGCTTATGAACAGTCAGAGACCACATTCACATTCTCCCAAATCATGAAGTTCAATCAAATAATAGTAACATCTAAAGAAGAATGGGATTCATTCCAGAGCGCTGCAATACTTGCGTGGGCATTTGATTTCTTCAAGGTATTTGCAACTTTAACTGAGGAGATACTTCCCAAACCTATCCAGGAGATAGACCGAGATCAACTTGAGATTATTCATTCCAATTTGATATCCATTTTGGACTGTATTTCAGATATGGGGAAATTAAATTCTACGAGACAATTCTTAGAACATTATAATGCCATGGAAGAGCTCATAAAGTTATTGAGAGTTGTTCATGAGAATGTTGAGAGAAAGACTTTAAAGAAAGTCGAAGAGGTATCCAAAGATGAGTTGTCCAGGAAAGCTAAAAGATTTCCTCAGATAAAATCATTGATTATAGAAATTATATCATTCATGTGTCACGATTCTTTCAGCATGCAAGAGAAAGTCAGGGAGTACCACGGACTCGAATTAGTCTTATCCAATTGTATGATAGATGACAACGACCCATACATCAAGGAAAGAGCAATTATATGTATAAAGATCTTGTTGGATAAGAACCTGAAGAACCAGCAATTTGTGGCAGATTTGGAAGCTGAACAGACAGTGAACGATGAAGCATTGAGAGAAGTAGGCTATGAAGTGGAAATTGACAATGGCCAGGTAAAGTTGCGGAAGTCAGAGAAGCAAGGTAATTAGTAAAGTGTAATTAGCAAAGTAAATGCCAATAGAGTAAATAGAGATTGAGATTTGATTACAAATTCATCATTTGGCAATGGTTACACTATTATCGTCGATTGTATGATATTATTTTGCATTCGTATTTACGTAAACTATGCCAAGCGAGGTACTCTGCTGCCTTTTTGTTGTTTTTCTTTTATCTGTTTTTTCTATTCTTGATATTCTTTCAACTCATCTTATTTATTCAATTGCTCAATAATTGCAGACTTCACCTTTTCTAAGCTAGGCTCGTCAATAAGTTGTATTCTCTTTTCCTTCAAGGCTAATGCCTTCAAATCCTCAGGAAGAACGTCCTTTTCGAAGCTGTAGCCTTCGAATTCCCCCAAAGATTGATTTACAACATCAGCAAACTTGGCTGGGTGTGCAGTAGACAAGGAGATGTAATAGACACCCTTAGCACCGTTTTGAGCATCCTTTGCGATGTTTCTGTAGGAAGTAGCTACACCAACAGCTGTATGAGGGTCAACAACATACTTTTCTGGGTGATTGGAATAAACTTGCTTAATGGTCTTGGAAGTGTCTTGATCGTCAACTCTTTCAGAGTCAAAATCTACTCTAGCAGCGGCAATGACTTCTTCTGGGACAACAACAGATCCTGTGGTTTTCAATTGAACCATCCACTCGTTTATTATTCCACCAGCCTTGGTATCATCTCCCTGAGCTACAGTATTTCTAACAAGGTACCACAATAATCTCTCGAAGTTAGATGAAATAAGAATATCCATGGCTGGAGAGTAAGTTGCCTTAACTTCAGCTGGTTTGGATAAATCTGCAGCCTTTTCATATCTTCCAGACTTCAAAAACCTGTCCAAGATATCATTTTCGTTGGTGGCGATGATTAACTTGTCGATTGGTAAACCCATTTCTTTGGCATAGTAACCAGCTAAAATATCACCAAAGTTACCGGATGGAACAACATACCTGATCTTGCTTTGTTCGTCACCAAGCTTATTCTTCAATTGGAAGTAAGAATAGAAGTAGTAGGTCATCTGAGCTAAGATTCTTGCCCAGTTGATAGAGTTGACTGCACCTACGTGGTACTTAGAGTTGAATTCTTCATCTCCAAAGATTTGCTTGACAATATCTTGACAATCATCGAAGGTACCCTTGACAGACAAAGTGTGAACGTTTTCATCCTCTACGGTGGTCATTTGTTCTTCTTGGATAGGTGAAATACGACCAGTTGGGTACAAGATGAAGACGTCAACGTCTTGCTTACCTCTTAACCCGTAGATGGCAGCGGAACCGGTGTCTCCAGAGGTAGCACCAACAACGGTGATGGTGTCCCTTTTGCTTGGGTCATCGATACCAGCGTTCTTTCTGGTCAAGAAGTACTCAAATAAGTTTCCGACGAACTGTAAAGCAACATCCTTAAAGGCATACGTTGGTCCATGGAACAACTCCAACAAATACAAGTTGTTGTCAGCGTCGATTGGTTCAAGTGGAGTGACATCCGAGTGTCTGAAGGTGGAGTAAGAGACTTGAATCAAACGGGTCAAGTCGAAGTCTGAGATTTCCTCGGAACTGATGTAGAGTCTCAAGACTTTGAATGCCAACTGGTTGAATGACAAGTCTTTCCATTCAGTAAGAAAGCTGGAAGGTAACTTTGGGATAGATGATGGAACAAATAATCCACCATCCTTAGCGAGACCCATCATGACCGCTTCTTCAAAAGAGAGAGCTTGATCAGAGGAAGTACGCGTGGATCTATACTGTTGAGACATGCTTAGGGAGGATAATAGGCTAGCTACGAGGTGAAGAAGAATCAACAAGGTGCTAAAATTTTAGAGTCGGCGAATTTTCACAAAATGATTCATAGTTGGCAAATTGGAAAATTGGAGAGAGCACGTGACGGGGATGAGATGATGCGAGTGGGTTGGGTGGGGTGAAGGATAACAGCGATCGGCGGAGCAACAGTCGGATGAGATGGCAGTAGTAAAGTGTGGTTGGTGTAGTGGGAAAGAGAATGACAAGTGCGGTGATTTTTAGGCTTTATGGCTAAGCAGGTTCTTTCTGGATACAGAATAGGGTGTGTATTAGTAGGTTGCTGATACAGAGATCCGAAGTGCTGCACTATTTATGAATCTTGCGATGTAAGTGCGCTAGCTGCAGGAACACGAAGCATGGAGATGCAGAGTACCAGAGTAACAGATAGCCTGGGCAGCACTGCCGCTATCGTGCCATGAGCAGCTAGCGGGCTCGAGAAGAAGATTCAGACGAGGCAAATTGGTTCTGCTCCACGGCAGCGTGTCCTACCCCGATCCAGCGGCTACTAGTGCCTTCATTCGATGCCACTACTGCCCCAAATCGATAACTGCTCTTCGCACCCTCTACAGAATTGAGAAATGCAGCATGCCACGACAGAAGTGCAGAGGTGCAGAGGTGCCTGGGAAACCACATCCACTGCGCCCTCACCATCACACTTCAGGACAAATACCAATTCTAAGGTCGCCAGTCTGCCCAGCGGGGTCTACTGCCCCATTCCACTGCAGTCTCCAAGCTGTCCAACCTGAGTATTACGCAGCACCCTTTCCTTTTTTTTCCCTGCTTAGTGAACCCACCCTGCTTCTTACGTAAGCTTTGCAGCCATTTCAGCTCACATCACCCAGCACTAGCTTCGCAAATAGCTAATGTCGCCCGGTGTATGCAGTCCTCTCCACTACAAAAGCGTCCGCTTAACTATAGTCAGATATCGATGGTGCACTCTCCGTAGTAAGCGCACAGGTAGTACGGCGAGTTTCAGTGTGTGAAATTCGAAACAAAAAAAAAAAAAAAAACGCTCCGTTTTAGCTCAGTGAAAATTCAAGGTCGATTCCAAGCAGAGATTGGACTCCAGTACTGTTGGTCAATTCATCGATATTCTTTACGATTGCTCGTATGAAACTACTAAGATCTTTTGTACGACACTACCAATGGACCAATTCCAAGTATAAATCGCTAATAACAAGCGGATCCAGCGGATTGAAGGAGTCGGCGGCAGCGGCCCTTTCTCTGGTGCCTCCCAATGTGGCACTCAATTCTCTACAACCGCTCCGAAACGAACCACTCTTAAAATTGGTGACTTCCAATTTCCCGCCAATCCAGTTTGCCTTTGGATATGGCTCTGGTGTCCTTAAGCAATCAGGGTATTTGCCTGGCGAGGAGCAGCCCCAGATCGACTTGATGTTTGCAATTGAAGAAGGATCCGGTGGTTTGAACTGGCATGCGGAAAACTTGCTCCGCAACGATGGGCATTATTCTGGATTAAAGTACTTTGGGGGTTCCAAAACAATACTGTACGTTCAGAAATTGGGTGCTGGCATTTATTTCAACCCATTGATCCCCGTAGAGCACGATGGTGCGCGGCAGCTTATAAAGTATGGGGTTGTTTCAAAGGAAGACGCATTGAGGGACTTGTGCGAATGGTCGAACTTATATCTCGCAGGAAGACTCCAGAAACCGGTCAATGTGATCCTTGATGAAGGAAAGGAAACCAACCCTTCAATGACTTTGGCTACTGAGTACAACTTGCAGCTGGCGCTTCATCTTGCGACTTTGTTGTTGCACTCAGAGGGAAGGGCTCTGTTTTCTACTAGTTCTTTGTTTGAAACAATCACATCATTGTCATACTTAGGAGATTTCAGGATGATCATTGGTGGTGAAAATCCCAATAAGATCAAAAATATTGTTTCTAAGCAGATAGATCGGTTTGAAGGACTATACGAACCGTACTTGGAAAGGTTGTATGAAGGAAAAGTCATCGAAAGAGTAGGTGACCAGAAGAGGAGTATACGCTTACAAGAGCAAGACGTTCATGATGCTGTTGAGTCGTTGCCCTTGAATTTCCGGACCCACTTTTACAAGTTCCACGACAATAATGATAACTCAGGATTTGCAGATTCAACTGCATTACGCAAAAGTCTACTTAAAACAGTTAAGACAATCGTAAGATATCCATCCATTATTCAATTGATGAAGGGGCTGCTTACAGCAGGAGTTACAAAGAGTGTGAAGTATGCATGGGAGAAGAAAAAGAAGAATTTAAAAAGGTCTTGATGAAGCAATTGGAAATGGGGAGCACTTCAGAGTTTCGAGATAAAGGTAGAATAAACGATATGCTCAGAAAGGAGGAAACAGTTTCAGAAGGTGTTTAAAACATGAAACTCATCTGTAATAGTGATTTGGACTATTTAATTGTTGAACATCACGACAAGACGATATGGGTGTTCCGGAAGACATCTGTTCAATTGTATACTTCAATTGATTGGTGGACAAACTTTGGAACCTAAACTCTATACTGGACTAAGTGCTAAGAGAGTTAAATGCTCAACTAAAGTTGAATATAAGGATATACAATAAATCAAACTACTTCCCAACGCTAACTTTAATTGTATCAAAATTATTACGATGTTTACATGTACCAGTGGAACGCTTTAATTAAATATGTCTTATTTTTTTTATGAATTGAATTATTGATGAGAAGAAACCTTCAGTTGACTTATTCGTCGATTAAGCGATTGGGAAGCAAAATAGCAAAAACCTATATAGCATAATTTAGATTTAGACCCTTTTGGTGAAGCCAAAGACTTCCAATTAGTTGGTTTGACTACTTTTGAAATCATGCGACCAAAATTCAGTCAAAATGACCAATATTAAACAAGTTCGATTAAATCCATATGCTAACTCGACCTAGATGCATAATCAGGTCTCCTTAGTTTCTCATTAGTACTATTTGCAATAAATGCAAACAACTAAGAAGAGAACAAAGATCAAATATCGTGAACTATTTTTTTACTAAATTTCACTTGGGTTTATTAAAATTTCTGTTTAAAGTCAGTAAGATCTTTTGATCATCATCATTGTACCGTCGCCTTGGAGGCGTATCTATAACGTCATGCAAAGTGGGTTTAGTGACTGGAATTATTTGCTGATGTGTATGAAGGTGTGTATGAGAAAGTTGATGTGGGAGCTGGATGAGCTGTGCATTTTGAGACTGAGCTTGACTGTGATGGGGCTGCGACTGTGGGTGAGCTGGGTGCCCAGATTGTAAGTGGATGTGTCCTACAACATGAGGCTGGTGTCCAACAATGGGATGAGGTTGTGGATGAGGTTGTGGATGAGGTTGTGGATGAGACTGTGGATGATGTTGTGGATGGGGTTGCGGATGAGATTGTGGAAGGGGTTGTGGTTGAGGCTGTTGTGGTTGAGGTTGATGTATAAGAGGTTGCTGTATAAGAGGTTGTTGTATGAGAGGTTGCAGATGTTGCTGAGTCTGAATTGGCTGATGTATGGTTTGAGGTGATTGACTGAGTGTTTGAGGTGGTTGAGTGAGTATCTGAGGTTGCCCAAATGAGTTAGTCAGACCTTTCAGGCTCAACAGACTTTGATGCTGCATTGGAGTTGTGGAACCATTGTAAACATAAGAAAGAATATTCTCTTGATAGATATTCGGCGATAAATATAAATGTGCTAAGTTTGAAACAGTGCTTGGGATCTGTGGTGCTTGTAAATTTTCCAGCTCGTCACTCGAGAGGTATGCAATTAAATGGAATCTCTGATTCTGTTTAGTGTTTAGACTGAACGATTGCTTCACTAGACCGTTGTGTTTAGGTTTTGTATCGGCTTTCTTCTCCAATTCAGTATAAATCAAGAATGGTCCCAGTGCCTTGGAAGCACTCCATATTTTCCCATCTGTCCACCTTTTCAATCCACATTCGGTTTCGTTCCAGACATATATCAAGTTGGGTTTAATTAGCTCTCGCTCATATTCATTCAATCTTTTAGTTACGCTGGGAAGCATCCCCAATCTTACCCCTTCGATAAGAAGAACAGCATCCTTTAAAGTATTTACAGTTCCTTGGAAAGTTTCTTTATTCAGGGACATGGAAGTTGGTTCCTTGTGTTTCTATCTTGGACTTTTTTTGGGGGTTTATTCTTTTTCTTTTTTTTTTTAATAGTAATACAATTCGAATAATTTAGGGTGGTGGTATCATACAAGGGAGTACACAAGAGTACTGTGGAACGAGAAATTGGAAATTCGTACTGGAAGTACAACAAAACTCACTTGGTGTTGGTTGGTGTTGGTTGGTGTTTGCTTGCTCGCTTGCTGCTGATATGGATAAGAATTGGAGGTGAAGAGTGCAATTTCCTGGGGGTGATGATGAAGCCAAAGGGAAATGGAGAGGTGTTGAACTCGATAATTGAGTTATGGGTGTTTCTTACTCTTCAATGTTTCTTATTCCTTTGGGCTAACTCTTTGTCTTTCTAAGTTGTTGCAATTACGTAGTGAACAATACTGAAAAAGGGAACCAACTGCAGTGAACCTGGGGTGGTGTTATATATATAAGTGGAGAAAGTGTGCCTAGTATCCTTTCCTCTTGAACCAGATTTCTTTGCAGTACGGAGTTCTTTTTGCTATTCAAACAGTTTTGATTCAATTTCTATCAATGTCTACTGCTAATTAAAGAAAAACTATTATGAAGACAGTATTGCAAGCGTTCCTATTGCCAAGATTCCTATTTGCCGACTGGTGGGAGGGTCAAAGTGGGCGATAAGCGAAATGGCAAACTAAAAGGTAAAGATTATGTCAAAATTAGTTGAACCACTTCTATGATGCCTCGATGTTGCGTTTCTATGTCTTTCTTCGGCAGTGTGAGCTCTTCTCTGTTTCAATATCCGGTTATATATACGCTTCCACTCGTTAACTATGAGGCTATTTTTGCGTTTTTTCGGTACGAGCAATAAGCAATTGATAGTCCTCAGACGCCGACTCAACTAGGTAACTCGATATCAACTCAGAAAGAAGTATAATAGAAACCTACTACTTTTTTAGAATCTAATCTGGACAAAGATTATCAAAGAATTGGAAGAAAAAAATATCAAACCAAAAAAAAAAAAAAGAAAATCAGAGAGAATGAAGAATTTCTGGAACTTCTACATAATGGAAGGTTAAGAGTGCTTAGTAGTAGAAAAAAAAAAAAAAAATAAATTTTTTAAAAAAAGGTAAAATAATAAAATTAGTATAGGAAAAATGCTATTATTCAAAGCTTAATGCATGCAAGAGTGTGCTGTGGAAAAAAAAAAAAAAGAATTAAAATGAAGATGGGTGAAAAATTTCTAGGATGGAAGCAAACGTAAAGGCAAAAAGATTAAAGTGCATTGGATGGAAGGATGGAAAGAGGTACTGGGGGTTGCTAGGAACAATACACAATAGTTTCTCCCACGTACTTTTTTACCCATTTAGCTTATTCCCAGGCGGCCATTCACGAGAAGGTAGCATACACATAAAAATACCTACAAATTAACACACTCAAGCGCATAAACACCAAACCTAACACACACTTTGCAAAAAAAAAAAAATTATATACTCATGTCGAAACCATTGTTGATAGCGCCTCCAAATTGTTGACTGGAAAATGAGTAAGGGTATTGAGGCAGATTCACACGGTGGGTATAAATTCCAATTCCAAGCAAGAAACACTAGGGTATTATTTCCAAATAGAATCTCGAACTGGACTATTTTTTTTTTTTTTTGTTTCGCTTTATGTATGTTTATTTTTGGAGTCTTTAATTTTTTTTTAGTTTATCATCCCGTTCGTACATGATACATATGCACTTCTCACTTTAATGTGCGATTATTTTTTAATTGAACAGGTTATAATTGTATTTAGTTCTCTATTTTGACACATCCGAGGGTAGTTTTAATTTTTCCTTGCTGTTTGTTGCAGCTGTTTCCAGACAAATTTGTCAAAATAAAAATGGCACCTTCCGCTTTGAGCATTGATAGCATCTCTCAGACGAATAAAAGCCGTACCTGCTTGATACCATACTGATGTTTTTAAACTCCCATCGGTTTCTGTATAACACTCTCCGTTTAAGGTTGTTATTTAACTTAAAATTTTCTTTTCTGTTCAGTGCTTCCTTTTCTAAATAACTTAAGTTTTCGTGCTTCTTCTTGCTTTATATTTCATGCATGAGTTGCTAAAAATCGAGAGTCAATGTAAACCCACATCTGAGAAGGCGACAACCATGATTGGAGCGCATAAGCCTAAGATTTAGAACTAAAGGTGTGTCTAAACTATCTATTCTCTCTGCTGATTTCGCTTACGTTTTCGAAACTTAAAAGCAGCATATCTCCTGAAAGAAGTATCCGCTTTCTGCTGATATGAAAGCTTATTTTAGTATAATCAGTTATTTTGTTTTCCATGTTTTTCTGTAAAAAAAATTTTTTGGTTGTTCTACTGAGCCCCACAAGAAGGATTGTGACAAAGAAAATTACTTTAGTTTCCCCGATCGTGACAAAAATGTTCTAGTGCGTGCTTGACAGACGCTTGATCTAAAGTATATATAATATATTATTTAGGGTAGCCAGAAACAATGTGAGTGACATTAGCCCTATGGTGGATTTTACTGCGAGGGCCACAACAACACATCTTTCTTGTTTATATTACACCGATATTATAGTTCAGCTCATGGATTTTTTTCAAAAAAAAATAAATTACCCATTCCATTAGCCTCATTATGGAGATAGTGAACCGGGAACGTACATCAGAAGCCTGTTACACAATATATAGAAGAATTTAAAAATAATCTTTTCTTTTGAAATTTTTTCTTTGTTTTAGCTTCCTACGTATATTGAACCTGCGAGTGGGCCCTTGCATAGAGGAAGCTAATGTGAGAATCAGACTAGCGAGAATTAATATTAACATTATTATTATCATAATTCTCCCGTTTTTAGTTGTCTTTAACTTATTTCCATGTATTAGATTTCCACCTTTGGCCAATTAATCCCACCCTTTTTCCTGTTGTTTCTTTTTTTTTCCAATTTTAGTATTTTTGTTGTTTTTTTCACCTCCTTCTTTCTTTTCTTTTTTTTATATATATATCTTTAACTTCCCCCCTTGTCTTAAAGCCAGAAGCCATTCTAATTACAACAGAAACCGTGATCCATCTTGTTGATGCATGTACTGGCTTGTTCAAACATGGGGCAATGTCCACTTTTACCCAATCCAATTAATTCATTTCGTCGTTTTCTCATCGATGACGACGCAGAAACCTGCGAGTGAGGCTCTCAGCCGCATCACATAGTGTACTAAAGTTACACCACGCACAGCTGGTGTTTCGGCAGACTGGGTAATTATAGATTCTTTGTCAAACACCAAAGCAAGCCTCAATCGTATCGGTGGTCGATGGAAATCACAAATAATAAAATTATACTAATAGCAAGCTCGGGGAACGAGGCTTTATTTTGGTACAGAAAAAGGTACAAACTATAATTTTGATACGCACCAACCTTAAATGCCAAAGACTATTTCCACCACTCCCCACTGAAATAATTAAGCCGGCTAAGGCCAGAGAAGCAAAGGAATTCTTCAGTGAATAAGAAGTGAGCCATCTCATTTGAATAATGCTTCATTAAGGATTATTGCTATTTTCGAATCAAACCCTAGGGTTATCCCTAGTAGCCTAGCGAGCCTAAACTTGTTCATACTTTTCTTTTTTTTTCGTTAGTCTTCGTATTTTAGTACATATAAGGTTTAATTTGCTAAAAGAACAGAAAGATCTAACCATTGTACATCCTGCAATGTGAGTTAAACGAGAGAGCTCTTTAAAGTATATATTGACAGTGAATTTTTATTTCAGCAGGTGTGCAATGTAACTCTCTCATGGTAGAACAGTAGTTGAAATTGGCCAATTTGATGCGTTAGTATTCTTTTCTTTTCTTTTCTTTTGTTCTTTACAAAAGATGCTGCTCACATCACACTAAGACCACCAAGAGGAAGTTGTCTACCCGATAGCAGAAGAATCTCCAGTCTCTTATTTTACTAGCCCAATAGTATTCGCAACAAGAAAGGGGCCCACCTCCGTTCAAAAAATATTTCAAATATTTTTTCAAATTCTTGGTATTATGCAAGATATCACTTAGTCGTGCTTGATTGAACCTGAGGAAAGTTTGATTACAGGTGCAATAGAAAATAAACGCACCATTTAAGGATTTATGAGAATTTTCAATGAGAAAATATTGGTGCATATTATACGAGTAGTTTGATATGAGCAATGTACAACGATAGGATCGACGGTGTTTGAATACGGAGCCGGAGCCACTCGGGAGTAACTGCCGGGACCCTCTTATATTTTGTTTACGTTTTGTTTATGTTTCACCATTATATGTACCCTTCCCTATTTTTACTGCTTTCCACATAACCGATACCTAAAACTCCTATATATAAGTAGCCGAAAAAAAAAGAATAAAAACTTAATCTAGATGGATGTGCACCTCGTGCAGTAGAACTTCTGCAATGAAATATCTGTCTAGCCACACTGGGATGCACCGGCATACTACATGGGACTGCACACAGTCCCGTTTCATGTGAGGTGCGTGCGCAGAAGGTGAAGGGACCAAAAAAAGAAAATCAAGTCGTTTATTATCTTACTTACATCTCACGGTGTACCACATACACATACAAAACATACGTACAGATCAAAGGCATTTCCTTTCACCATGGCCCGTAATAGAGAATCTGCATCCGAATCCGAAGCCAAGACTACGACGTCTCGTGCCTCCGCAAAGGCTAAGAACTCGTCAGTCCAACAGGCCCAACAGGATTACATCGCTAAACACGTTACTTCGAATGGACCATACGATGGGCCAAAAATAAACCCATTGGATTTCGAGAATTTGCCCGTAGAGCTGTTGATAAAGTATAACAGAAAGTTCAATTTAAACTCGGAAAACCCGTACACTATAAATGGCTACATGTTGAAGTCAGAAATCGGTAAAAAGACCATCAGCTATAAGAAGAATTCCAAAAAGAATTCCTCCAAGGAATTAGCTGCGACAGTTAAGAAACACTTCCAGAATTTACCGTGTAGAGAAAATGAAGTGATCACGAACTTTTTGTACAAGGTTAAAAATCAAGACAAGGATTTTAAGTTGTCCTTCAAATAAGCGAGAAGAATATGTATGAAGCAGAAGCCCCCATTAGAGGTGTATAGCTTGTGTAAAGTAAGTAAAGTAAGTTAACGATAGTAATGTGAATGTTTTTTGGTTTAAATATGCAATATTCGTAGATACTGCATATAGTCACACGTAGCTCGTTTCGTGTGACATTTTTGAATCATTTCAAGTATCTTCCGTAGTGATTTAAATCAAGAGTGACACACAGCTTTGCTACCCCTTTCGCCTAACATGGATAGTTCGACGGTGTTATTTATTGTCACTTTGATCGTGGCGTTCGTTTTTATGAGATGGTTGGTTTCCCCTGTTCCTCAAGCCATCACTGATAACGATGTTCCTTCCTTAAGTCAACTGAACAGAAACTCCAGAGCTAATGCTAGTGGTTCGAGAAGGGATCCGCGCGCAGTCACGGATTCCATGATTGAAGTTGTGCAGAGCATAGGTCCACAGTTGACTCCTGGTCAAATTAGAATGGACTTGGAAAGATCTGGCTCTGTACAGGCTACAATCGACAGGTACCTCGAGATGGGATCCCTTCCGGTTCCTCCTAACGAGAGAGCAGCTCCCGTTCTGGTCACCAACACTTCAGCCATATCGGCTTCGGAGAAAGCTGAACCGGAAAACTTAATTGAAAAGTTCGGTTTGAACGACAAGGTCAACGACACAAATGGCGAAGAGATCGGAAATAAGTGGGGAACATCAAAGCAGGAAAGAAGTAGCTTACTTACGAAAAGAAGGGAAGAGATGATTTTAAAGGCAAGAAAGAGATTGGAATCTCAGCTAAAGAATGAAGTAGATATGCCACTCAGATAAGATGAACTTATTACTAGAGGGCAACCATAGGTTTTGATATGCAATTCTTTTTCCGTATGTAGCCATAACCACCTAATATCATAGATTAGATATATATTTAGATATCTATATACAGTGTAGTTATTATCCAACTAATATAGTCCATCTATATATGTAGTTTATCATTCGAGTAAAATGGGCTGGATTCTACGTTTTTTAACAGGGACGTTAGAAACAGTTTCAGATGAGTTGGCATTTGAAACGCCAGCGGCCTTTTTAGCTTCCGTATCATCTGACACAGAGGATACTTGCTTAAGACTTGAGGTGCTTTCGCATGCGCCAGCCAGGTGCAATGTTCCCGTTGGTACATTTGCTAGTTTACTTGGACCTGGATCAAGCTTTTTCACAACGGAATCAGTGAGTTCAGGCTTTGGCTCTTTTCCATCCACTGGCGAGACCACACCTTTTGATTTGGGAATTTCAGCACTTGGCGTCTCTATCTTTGATTCAGCAGCACTTGGTACAGGTTCAACTTTAGATTCAGATTTTGGAGCTTCCGCTACTGATGCCAGCTCTGTCTTTTCCTCTGCAGTTGTCTCAGCTGGTTCATTCGTTTTGTTCATTCGTTTTCCAAATACATTTTCTTTGAAAACAATACTGGAACAGAACCCATCCGTAGAGCTGATCATCAAACTGCCACCATCTGTATCCCAAACAAGGTCGGTTATCGATGAATAATGCAAATTAGATGCATAGCCTAGCGGGGTCAATTTTTCTGTATCGTATACTATCACGGAATCTTGTGTCGCTACAGCGAATACCATTTTATGTGGTACATCGAACGGAACCAAATCAGCTTTCTTACTCTTCTCATATAGTATTGGTGAGAAGGAGATCGCTATTGCTGGTTTCTTTAACCCGGATATGTGACACACCGGTGAATGTCGTAACCCCTTTCTTGTATAGATATAGACTGAATTTGATTCGTCTTCGCTGCTTGTGCTATTGGGATTATTAGTGCTATGCTCTTCTCCCGGAATTGGGAGTGATTTGTCGGTATTTTCGTCAACGCTAACTTCCTGGCCTGATTCTTTACTATTATCTTTTTCATTTTCTTTGTTGCTTTCTCTATATATACCCAGCGGAACCATCAACAAACTCCCGTCAGGACTCCATGCCAACCTTCTGAAAAAACTCTGTAACGTTTCTGAATGATATAAAGTTAAGTTTCGTGGCTTACCTTCCTTCCAATTGAAAGTAGCTTTAGAACTTTTGCTGATCAACTTTGGCTTTGGATCTTCTTCTCCCGCGTCTTCTTCCTGAAACTCATATATATTCACACTTCTATCAGCTGATTGAGTCGCCAAGTACTGATTCAACGGGTCCCACGATATCCCTTGTACGTAATGTGAATGGTCTCTTAATTGGTGCACCTGCCCCTTTACTGCGTCGTAGATCCGGATCACATTGTCCATAGACCCGGTCGCTATATATTTCAGATCCGGTGACCACGAAATGTCATATATTTCAGAATTGGATGATCTAAGCACTCTTTTGGCTATCCAAGATTCTTGACATTCGTCTTCTTCCTCTTCTCGTCCAAATTCTTTTACGATAGTATCTGATTTTTGCCAAAGTATCAATGATCCGTCATCGCCAGCCGAGGCTAACGAGTCCCCCTCTCGATTAAACTTAACGACATTTACCGCCTGGGTGTGCTTACGAAGCGTACTTAAGTAATTTATAGAAACGGGTGTAGTTCCGTACAGGATATTCCATAGTCTAATATTGTTGTCACCACCAGCTGTCGCTAACCGCGGGCTTCTGCTCGTCAGAGTATCAGAATTTGGCTGAAAATCGACCGAATAAATCGGCAGATTCTCCTCGTGCCAATGAACTGTAATAGTTGAAGCGTCCATACTGATAAACCAACCTTAACACTTGATCGAACGCGTGTGGGATATGTTTACGTTTCTGAGACACGCGAATTTTCAAAATCGAAGAGAAGGTGTAGTTGGGTTATATGCAGTATAATCAACATGGAAAGAGATAAGCTGGTGGTTCTGAAGGTAATAAATACGCTGAAAGAACTACTTGACAGGGCCACTCAGATCGGGCCAGAGATGTTGCTTATCTTTCAGTATTTGTGAAATTCTGCTTGAAAGCAATTTTTTTTGGGAGAGGGGGGGAGACTATGAGGTAAGCTTGTAGAAGAGAGTTCACTGGGAAAGCACTAAGTTACACTACAAAATGGTTCACAAAATGTGTAGTTCGCATATTACGTAAGTAATAAGGTGAGATGAGAAGTATTTAGAATAAATCATTATGGAAAATTAAATAAGTAGCTAGTAGGTGACTAGCAATGTCTTTCATTGCAGATCAAAGTAGGTTCAGCTGTGTGCGAATCGAAGAGAGAGATAACGGTGTTATACCTTATAAGACAAGAAATTGTACCCTCACAGTTGTGGAATGTCCTCCCACCTTATTTAAGACTACACCAGGTCGCCTATACACCCTGGCGAATACCAGGCCAGCGCAATGCCTAGTTGTTTCACTCTCGGACTCTGATCGATTCGTGGTCAAGTGCATAGTTTCAGAGATAAGATACACGTGAAAACATTCAAGTTTTGCCGTTCGGATAGTTAAAAATGTCTCACTTTGAGAGTGATTCAGTATAATACTACGCAAAATATTAAGTAATATTTGTAAAATCGTCCCACTTGAATATTCAATCATTTCGAACATGTTCACATATAAATTGATCCAGTTTACTCGAAGAGCAATTAAACACCTTATGGACAAGACAGGCGGCTCAGCTTACATTATACAGTAGAAATTGACAAACTCGACTATTCTTACACAAAGTCAAATGATGTACCCCCCCCTTTGCTTTTTGGCAATTTTTTGAAATGTGGTTTTTTTTCAAACTTGGATCCAAATTTTTTTCAAAAGTCCTAAACTTGTTTAATTTGACAATATCCATATTGAGCACGTCCACGACTCTCATATTGAACAAAAAACGACCTTTTAGTTACACAAAACCCATTTGTGGATAAACCACAAACCAAAAAAAAAAATTTAGAGGTTTCAGAAGGCCATGCATTCATACTACAAATTCCTTAAAACGATAATCTTCTCAAGAAGAAAAGGAGCTCTTCTTCTTCTTGAGAAGATTATCGTTTTAAGGAATTTGTAGTATGAATGCATGGCCTTCTGAAACCTCTACCCCTGTGGCTCGAATTCTCACTCTAAGAAGTTAAAACTAGTATGAATGTTACAGTTATGAGTCTAGCTACCCGATGCTATGCTCAGACCTGTTGACTTCTTACTTTTGATAATTATGTGATCTGCTCGTAAACATCGATAGTAATCCTTGGATAGTACCGTCGTCAGCTCAAGAAGTACATCACTGAATAGGCATCTTCTTCTGCGTGCTTCTCGTACAATTTACAGCCTTTTTACTTTATGCCCAGGTAACTTACTTGTGCTCACTCTATTTTTGCTTGCTTTAGATAGGATGTTTAGGTTTCGAAACTGGTGCATTCCACAAATGGAGAGTAAAAGTGTGAGAGATTATTTGACATATATAATACGTGGATGATTTCTTCTACTTGCTTACATTACTTCTAGCACCCTTAAGTCATTCATTATACTGACTGAGCGCTTAATGTCTTGGAAGGACTACGGCTGCACTTACAGATGGCTTGAAGACAGAGAGACAACCGATTGTTCCTTGTTAAATACTTCCTTTAGTCAATGGTTGCAATTTATTTCATATGCAGTATTTTTGCAACCATTTAGGATATGTTGTCCTGCAGATGACTTGTAGACTAAACAAGAGTGAGATTTGGAGCAGCATGTTCACACAGCTAAATCGACTTGAATTGAGTTAAGATTTCCAATCTCTTTCTTGTGAATCTTCTATCTTTGGCTAATATTTCCACCATTTGCATTAATTTCAACTTTGTTGACCAGCTTTCTTCTTGTTGAAACCGCTATATGTAATGCAGTTTTCCCACTTCTTGGGTGCAACTCCACCCGAACCTAGACGCAGGATATGAGCCGCACTTTTTGATTATAAAATCTTAGCTTATGAAGTCTCTGCCCAAGATACCCAAAAACATTGAGCAAGAGGAGCTACGAGGCAAAAAAAATGAGTGCAATAGTGATATCGAAGGTCATCTAATCATCCGGACAAGCTAATATGGCTCAGCTGATGAGCCCTGCCACTTTTCAACTTCTATTTAATTGACATATTACGGTGCCATTGGAGCCTTCCATTGAAGCCACGCCTGCATATAACTTTGGGCTGGCTCACTGTCTTATCCACTTTCCGTGGTTATAAGTGACATTCCGACTAGCACTCTTCTCCTAGCCACTGTTATTTCATCAGATTGTGCTGAAGATATGTCATTCAACGAGTATTCTGACTTCGAAAACGAACTAACAACCAGTGATGGAGAATTCGACGGAGAATTTTCCGATTTAGATGATCCTCCCGTGATTGTTCAATCTTTCAATTCCAAGCTGTCCTACGATCATTTGGCCGACAAGTTCATTGACTTTACGAACCAGAATCCTACCACTTTTCATACTATTTCTTATTTTAAGACACTCCTCGAGAGCCAAGGATTTCAACTGATCCCAGAATCGAAACCGTTGACTCCTCAGGTAAAGAATGACTTGAAGCTAAATGGAGGACTTTACTATTCTGTCAGGTCTGACTTATCGCTCGTAGCATTCGTCATTGGAGCTGAATGGAAGCCTGAAAACGGTGTGGGAATCATAGGATCCCATGTGGATGCTCTCACAGCTAAGTTGAAACCAATTTCTGTCAAGTCAGATCATGACGGCTACCAATTACTTGGTGTAGCACCCTATTCTGGAACTTTAAATAAATTATGGTTGGATAGAGATTTGGGAATTGGAGGAAAAGTTATTGTAAAAGATCAAAAAACTGGTAGAGTCAGCTCGAGATTTGTTAAGTCAGCGCATCCGATTGCTAAAATCCCATCGATTGCTGAACATTTCATTGATTTTGAACAGCAAAAATACAACAAAGAAACTGGAATGGTCCCGATCATCGGGTTTACAGAAAAAGACGATACTTCAGATGTCACTGATTCCGAGAAAGCATCCCCACTTTATGGGAAGCACTCTATACATCTTCTCAGATACATTTCCAAATTGTCCTCAACGCCAATCTCCCATATCCTCCAGCTCGACTTAGAGCTCTATGATGTTCAAGCTGCTACCAGAGGTGGTCTCTCTAATGAATTCATTTTTGCACCCAGGGTGGATGACAGGCTTTGTTCGTTCGCGGCTATCTATAGCTTAATTCAAGTGAGTAAGTCAGTGGGAGACTTGACTTCTTACGGTGGTTTCCAGCTTGTTAATTTGGTAGACAATGAAGAAATTGGTTCAGCTACAAGAACTGGAGTGAGAGGAAAATTTATGAATTCTACAATAGATAGAGTGCTTTACGCAAGGAACTTGCCTGCAGCCACTTCTAGACAAGTTTATGCCAATTCTTTCATACTTTCAGCAGATGTTACTCATGCGTTAAATCCAAATTTTGCTAGTGCCTATTTGAAGGACCACGCTCCACTTCCAAACGTTGGGTTAACTATAAAGCAAAACGCCAACTGGAAAAATATGACTGATCTGACGGGATTAGACGTCATGCGGAGAATCGCAAAGAAAAACAAGTTAACTTTACAGACTTTTCATATCAAGAATGGGGAACCATCTGGTGGAACTATCGGTCCCATGATTTCCTGTGACACTGGGTCGAGAACGGTAGACGTAGGGTTGAGTCAATTGTCAATGCACAGTATTAGGGCGATGTTTGGGTATAAAGAAGTTGGAATAGGGGTAGAAACATTCAGTGCCTTCTTTAAAGATTGGCAAGAGATCTACAAAGAATATGATGCTTAACCTGCAAAAAACAAAGACGAACTGAAGAAGATAATAATTCTATGAAATTTCAAATGTACTACGTAACCATCCATAGATCATCACTATGAATGTCAAAGAACATAAATAGTTTAATCAGATTAAGCTACGTGATTATCATGGTCCATTGTATAAAAGTCAGTAACGTGAATACATAAACCAAAACACTACATAATCATAAAAGTCGCCTAACATAAGTAAATAAATCAAAACAAACTACGCAATCGACAAAGACCATTACTATAAAAGTCAAAGAACACGAATAGATGTATACATTTGTTGCACGTAAGAAACGTATAAAGTTAATCTTTATAGAATTCGTGATTTACTGAAATGAAAACATCGACTTTAACCTTTTAGTCCAATACGCAATGCTTTTTAAATGTATAACCGTTAGAATGAGGCGTATCACTTACTTACAAAACCTTAAAGGTACTCATCGACCTACTATTTCCGCATTCGACGTCTTTAAGTTAAAATCGCGGGGTATCATAATCATGGGCCTCTCCATTAGGTTAGTTCTAAGAAAGTCTAAATAAACAATAAGCCCGGTAACTAGCTGACTGCTGAAGTTCGGTTTACACTACTATACGCGCTTCCATACAAGTGGTTTATTTTGAATAATTTTTATATATTATTTGGTCATTACATTGAACATATTTATTAAATTGGGTAACATTACCAATTAGAGAAATACGTATTCCCGGGGTTTGGTATCATTAATATTTTTGTTTCACTTAGTACTACTACTTTGGTCATTTACAAAGATGAAACAAATGAAACTGACAAAATTGTAGCAATTAGGAATCCATATTTCCTATTTCCACCTTGCGAGTATGAGCCCGCGCTCAGTGATGACGTAGCGGCGGAAGATGCAGTAGGAGATGAAGATGCTGTTGTTGAGACTTTTAAAGTAGATCCAGTTTCCAAACTGACGGTTTGAATAACTGAAGAGTCCAGGAATGAACCAACGAGATCACTGCCAGTTTCCAGTGCAGCACCACTATCTGAAATAACTTCGAAGTTGGCGTTATTTGTACTTGCAAATGCAGTAACCACCAGGAATCCATCCAATGTGGTAGTTGATGGTGTTGTGGTAGATGTGGAACCTATTTGAGCTGAAGTATCTACTAAAATTGACATGATTATTTATGAATATAATTTATTAGTGTAGATAGGTCAGTGGACTTAGCTTTTAAATAAAATAAAAGAATGACTTGATGAAATGAACGAATGTAAGGGTGGATGTATGCCTGGAAGCTAAGGAAATAATTTAATCGACAAAGTGTGTTGATAAAGAATAAAAGAGAAGAGGAAACAAGAATATCTGAAGATTCATAAAATCACTGGGATCTTCTGTTCCTAAATAGTTTCAGGTACAACGCTGTTTAGCATGATCTACATCAATGGTTACTACCCCTGCGTTTGACTTTGCGAGAGCCGCACTAGTGCATAATAGTTTAAAACAATTTTTTGATGCAAGTATGTAAGAAAGTTGACAATCGGAAACACCAACAAAATGTATTTTTCAGGAGCAATGAATGTCAAAACCGCGACCAATAACCCAGGATCGTCGCCACGCCGTTATATTTTCAACTAAAAGAAGTCAAAATAAGGGATTGTTTAACTAAAATAATTGGTATTGTTCAGCAAACCAAATGCTAACAATAGGATAGGTGCCTATTATAGTGAGAAAATCTGACGTCGAAACATATTATTTTTTTCGCGTTCCACCTCGTTAATGTTATGCTAAACTTCAATTGGTGCCCTAAAATTTTTGCATGTAGGACTCTGGAGCTGTTCGTGATGCATATGGTTTCAAGCTAAATTTGTAGAAGTATAATGGAATTAGGAGCGCTGGAAAAGAAGAGTGCTCGAAACGGGTGCTTCCATTCTTACTCCTAACTTCTTTTCGTGCTTGTCTCGTTAAGTATCAATACTCGATGTAAAAGAAATCTAAGTCACAGGTTTTCCAATTTATTGGACTCTGCCAAATGATCACATTATTTTAAATGAACTATTTTTTAGTTGATATTTTTCAAATATAGTCAATAAATCTTATTCTATGCAAAGATAGAAAATGTGCAACATAGTGCAAGCTAAGATTGTGTGTGGGGTCAAAATGTACAGGAAAAAAATTTCTCACAACCACCAATCCTTGCTCCTTACAATAAGTGGACAGGGAGGCTTATATTTCACCTTCAGCTGTACCATCTCCGATGTAACCTGGCTTAGAGCTTCAGTTTTTTGTAGTATTATTCGCATTACTGTCTTTTCTATGTATCTTTCTTTTTTTAACCATCATTCCACATCAAACTTTGGTGCCGACAACCCACTGAACTACGTCATGTGGAAATCCACTCTCACTAAATATGCAACCCATATCTGTCTCAAACCTGCATTCCATGTCACATATATTGGCATAACTCTACAAATCACCAGGTGATACAACGTTGGTTGAAACTCTATAACAAGCCTTGGCGTGTGGTGTGCCCAAACATTCATACATATGACTACCTCAGGATTTAGTTAAATCACTGTGAATAAGCTTCTGCGTTCCAATTTAAGTTAAATGTCAATAAAACCTAAAAAGCATGAAAAAATAAAGTCTCTTCTGCGCTTTTAGAGTTGAGCAGAATTTTTAGAAGTCAAAATAAGCGATAAGCTATTTAAGCACATGGTAGTACTATAAATTGTGTCAAATATTTGCATAGGACGACTCGCCAAAAGTGTGATACTTTATATTGTATTATTGTTCGTCTACTTCAGAGCAAATTTTCGTGAAAACGCTTCATTGTATATTTACTTATTTTTTTTTTTTCCACTTTTTGTCTTCTAACTTTCTCTACTTAGCCTTTTTTCTAACTTCTGTAATCACCGTTGATTGTTATGTATTCATGGGTTAAATCACACGTCCAGAACTCACAATCTTCACCTCCGCCTGTTCCTAACTCGATCTCAATTCTCAAGTCTTCAAACTCTAAAATCTCTGAAGCTCTTTCTTCATCAACTTGTTGTGGTTCTCCATTTACAAGCAAGTCCAATTTGGCAGAACCATCTGCAGGTACAAAGCTCACATTAGTACGCTCTGGGATAATGGCTTCAACTTCAGAGTACCCAATGGAACATAAAATTCTACCCCAGTTAGCGTCCTTTCCGTACATGGCTGTCTTAACCAATGAAGAGTTAGAAATGGTCTTGGCAACTGTATGTGCATCTGAATAACTTTGCGCATCTTTAACGTTAATAGTAATAAATTTTGTAGCACCTTCACCGTCTCTAACCACTAATTGGGCTAATTGTTGAGCAAAACTTGTAAATTCCTCTTGCAACTTGTCAAACTTTGGTTTAGATTCTTTGCTGAGATCAATGAGTTGGCCACCAGCAGCCCCATTAGCAATCCCAACTATAGTGTCATTGGTTGACATATCGCCGTCAACTGAAATACTGTTAAATGATCTGGCCACTGCATTTGCAACCAATACTTTAATGGCATCTTCGCTAATTGGCGCATCAGTCGCGAAAAAGCCTAAAAGAGTGGCCATATTAGGACAGATCATCCCTGCACCTTTAGCTAACCCAGCCAAAGTGTAGGTGATTCCATCAATTTCAAAATTTTTACTAACTAATTTTGGGAAAGTATCAGTAGTACATATTGCCTTAGCGCAGGCAATCCAGTGGTCATGAGATGAGCCTAAGTCGCTTTCTGCCAACTTGGGGATCCCCAGTAAGATATTGTCTATTGGCAATAAATTACCGATCACACCTGTAGACATAACCAATGTCGAGTTTGACTCAGAATTACCAGCTGCCTTATCAGTAGCATCGACCATAGCCTGGGCGTCTTCGTAACCTTTCTTCCCAGTGACTGCATTTGCATTTCCACTATTGACAATTATCGAATTAATATGGTTACCATTGTTATTATCCAAAATTTTTCTAGAAACTTGCACTGGTGCAGCTTTAAACTTATTCTTTGTGAAAACTGCAGAGGCAGTTGCTGGTTCGTGATAAACATTCTTAAGCATAGCGAGGTCCAAAGATTTTCCATCCTTTTTTACTCCACAGTGGATTCCACCAACAACAAACCCTTTGGGGTAAACTCCGGAAGTGGGAACATATTTAGCAGCCTTCGAGGAAGTAAATCTTACAAAACTGAGCATGGTAGATAAGCTTATTGTATGGAGCAATTGATCTAAAAGAAAATAGAAAGTCACCCTAAAGTACAATTTTCATGTCCGAGATGAGTAATTTGAAAAATTAGCCGCGATGTTGAATCGAGTCACAATTACCTGCAGGAAAACTTTGGCTAGTAGAAAGCACTCATCTCAAACAGAAGAATGGAGATGGGAACAACTAGTAAAGCAGGAAGACATATATGTGTTCATGAAAAATCCTAGCAACAACCGGTAGATGTGATTGCTTGTTTATGTTGGTGTCAAATTACATATTTTTTTCTCTGTGTGAGCTAACAAGCGTCTTCCAATCCCGAATTGCTAATATGGGCAGGTAGTCATTCTGAAGTAAACTCCCATTTTTTGCTGCTTTGTTTTACCACATATTAGGATACATTCGTTGGTCAAAGTTAACAATCATGAGCTACTCACACAGAATTAGATTTCCTATTTGCAGTAGCATCACTAACACTAATTTGAGACAAAATATGAATATCCTGCACACAGATCAGTCAATTTTTCACTACTCGTATGCAAAATCAAAAATTTTCATTTCTGGTTAGACTTCAATAGCCAGTGAGCTGTTTCCTACCCCATACAGCCCCAGTTTTATAGTTTCCTTTACTCAAATTAAGCATGTCTAACCCTGTTATGTTTAGAAACCTTCCTAAGTCAAGGATCGCCAAACAGGCGGCTCGTTTGAACCAGATAGCTGGTACATCCGAGAATGCATATAAACTAGGACCTAAATATTCGAAAATGGAAATCTTCTTAATAAATCAAACGCCACAGAGGGCTTCTGTCGGGTTGAAACAATTCTGGAGACAACACTTACCCACTCTTAAGTTCCATAATGACGATTTTGAATTTATAATGAAGAGAATAAAAGTGGAGGACACTAAAGAAGCTGAACAATGTCCAGTTAAGATCGATTTGTACGAAGCACAAAACCAAAATAAATTAACCATAGACTGTAGTTTTAAATCTGAGTCAGAAATCTTAGAAGAAATCATCAAGAGTACAGAAGCAGCCCCTGTTGATTCTAAGGATATTCCAAAGCTCGAACTTAAGAAGAAATCAGTTGAAGAGTGGGCATAGACTCATCATAAGTAACACTACCCATAGAGAAGCACATTTCATACTGTATATAGCGCCATCCTAATAAAAGAAAGAACATAGACAACAGCGTATGCTTGTAGTTGATACTCTTTGTTGGGCACAACAGACCATTCCAGAAAGTTTGAAAATGAAAGGAATTGAATTAAAGTAAAAACGAATTGCATTAATATTATTACTAAAAAAACATGAAGAAGAAGAGCCAAAGAGAATAAGTTCTATGTACTTTATGTTTCAACTGTGAATAACCCTATCCTCGTAAGAACTTCATTAACGCATCTCTGCCTTTTATTTCCATCAACTGTTTTACCTTTAACAATTCTTCGTATTCTTCCAGGTCTATATTATCTTTAAATTTGACGTTATTCTCACTATCATCTCTCTCCAACTTAACCTTATCAGCTAGCGCTACCTTGATAAGCTCATCCAAGTTTAGTTCATTATTGGGGACTTTATTCTTTATCAGGAATAGACTATCAACGACCATTGCTTCATCTGGATTTGTTTCTAGTCGACTATTAACCTCATAATCTTCAATTGTGTCTAAGATGCTTCGTTTAGTATTCTGTTTACTTTCCTCTTTAGATTTCCAAATGAAATCAAGTAAGATCAGTTCTTCAGGAACTCTGTACACAAACAACCCGGTGGAGTTTGATCCTAAAATCCGTGAAAGTTTTGGGTTTGCATTTGCACTTATGCCAGTCGGAGTAGCCACTGAATTTTGGAAATAATCTGGCACCACATAGTTTGGATGAATTTCCGAGTCAGCATCATCAATTGACACCTTTAATTTTTCAGCTTCATCTTCTACGTATAGTTTCAATTTGACATCAGTCTCATCTTTTATGTAAGGTTGATCAACTTGCTTGATTACAAAGTTATTGGCATTTGCAATCTTAAGAAATTGATTTTGAAGTGAAACATCTATCACCAGCAGAGACATGAGCTGTCTACATTTGGAAGCCAACCCAAGCATCATCAAGTCATCTACATGGTTTGGGCACTTCCATTTGCTCCCTAAAGTCTTTGGAGCAAGTAAGGGAGGATCAAGACAGTCTATATGCCAGGTAAGTGGACAATAGTCACAGTGGGAAATCACCTTACCGTCCGACCCAGACATTCCACAACGATGGCACAAGTAAGGCTTCCCATTATTATCATAGAGGCTATCGATTGCAAGATCACGATTATAGTTGTAGCCTTGTATTTGGTTCGATTGCTGTTGGCGCTGTCTAACTGTGAGCTCAGGCTTTAAAGTGCTATCCTTGTATTCACCATTTTCTCCTGTGCAAACCCCAATGAAAGTATGGTTTCTTATATTCAGAGGTAGCCTAAATTCTTTTGGATTTCTGTAACTTTGTTGCTTAAGTAATTGAGAAAATATTGTTACTGGAGCAGGTGCTTTGCCATTTGTTTTACTCCTGACTTGTTTAGACAAACACTCCAAACAATTCCAATTATCCTCAGGACATTCTTCGAGTGGAGGTTCGCAGCAAGTAAAATGGAATGATTTGGGACATGTATCACAGCAAATGAAGACACCAGGTCCACCACATGTTGTACAGAAATCATCATTGTCCTTAGTAGAGTCATCCGAATCTACCTGCGGTACATCCTCTGCTTGCCCCAGCTTCCTACTTGTAGTAACATTGCTAGTATTATTTGAGTTATTGGGAGCAAGATTTGTACTCGGTTGTTTTTTAGGTGATATCACCTTTATTCTTTTAATTTTGTGTTCATCTCTAGCGTCTCCTCCCAGCAAAGTTCTAGTGTATGAGATTTGGTTATTAGTGCTAGTATTTTTCTTAGGTTGCTTTGGGGTTTGAAGAGATGATTTATTCCTTCTTGGTCTTATTGGAGCTCGTATATCACTCGGACTAGTAAGCGAGTCAGATTGAGTTGTCCGCAATAGAGGTACATATTTATCTTCAGGTGGAGGGCTGGGCAGCACATTGTCTATATTTGATGAATTTAACTCCGACTCTGAGTCTCCAGTCGAAGAAACGGACTCGGAACCAACACCATTGGAAACCGCATCGTTGCCGTTGGGTTTTCTTCTTTTTAGTATCTGCAATTGCTTTTTCCTGTTCAAACTCCATAAAGAGTCTTTTTTTATCTTTGCGTTAGGAAAAGACTCGAGTGGTAGCCCAGTGTATGCAAGAGAGGGAGTAGCCAACTCAGGCTCAGTGAAAGTGCCTGGTTTTGTAATACTAACGGGTTTCAATTTCAAATCCTCTTCCTTTCCCTCCTGCTCATCGTGGGCAGATTTAGCAGGTGATTTGGACCTCGATTTCGACTTCCCTCTCGGTTTATCTCTGGATGGCGACGGGGACTCAATTCTCACAAAATTGAATGGCTCAGCTAATGACTTCAATGCCTTAGTTCTAGCTTCTCGAGCAGGAAATCGTCTGGACAGCACTGCTGTTCCATTTTCACCGTTACCATCTTTGCCAATTACCTTTCCGTTAGCATTCGAACGGGTTTCCACATCGATCTGCATCGTGTCTTGCGTTACTGATTCCGAGCTATCTCGCGAACCGTTCTTTGGCTCGATGGAGTCAGCATTTGTACCCAGTGCCATTTTAATATTCCAGCAAGCAAATCAGCACTCTACCCGTATCTACTCCTTCTTCTATTAAGGACCCCCTTTGCTAAAAAAAAAAGGAATTCTATAGCTTCAATACGACGTTATACAACTGACAAAAGGAAAGTGTCTACTCATATTGAAAGCGAAAATCGAGAATTTTTGAAAATCATCAAAAAATCGAAAATTCCCAAAACATGAAAATTCCCAAAACGCAAAATCTTGCTCAAGAGGAAAAGCCCTGACGTATAAAACGGGGCAATTGGCACTAGATGTTCAAATCAGAATGATCATTAGCGAAGATTAGAAATGTAGCTAGTAAAATACTTTGTAAACACTAGAAAAAAACTCATGTCTACTTCCATTAATACTAGTAGTGAGCTGTATTCGCTTCTGTTGGTCTACACTCAGACACCCAGGAACTGGTGTTGAATTTGATATATATTTTATATGATAGTGTTTAATTTTTATAATCTTTTTAATATAAGTCCTTCTTTTTTTTTTTTTTTGAACTATTGTTCTGGTTCTAAACTTTTCTTTTTTATATTTCAGTTGTCGAGCTTCTTAGCCTTCTTCTTCTTCTGTACCTTTAACGGTTGTTCAAGAAGTTTGCTTGTATCTTCATCCAAAACCTTGTCAGTCTTGTATAAGTCAACATCAAATGATGGTGAGGTGAATTTAACAATACCGTTCTTGGTAATGGCAAAAGTGGTGAAGTACTGGGCAATGAACTCTCCTTCCTTTTCAGTCATGACCTTGTAATCAAGCATAACTTGATGGTTACAACATTCAATGAGTCCCATTCTTGCCTTTCTGGCATCCTCTAAGTTTTTGATATTGTATGGGAATGGCCCACCGCATTTTTCTTTGAACTCACCCAATACCTGATGCGATGACTTCATTTTCAATGCATATGAGTTACCAGTGATTTTGTATAATGAAGTCTTGTAAGACGATTCCTTAACTTTCCCTTCAGCAGAAGTAGAAACTAAGATATCCATACCGTATACTTCGTTTTCTTCGAATTTGAATGTATCGACTTGGGTCTTGTTTTCCTTAGATGGGTTTAAAATAATTTCCTTTGGTCCATACAAGACATTACGCTCTTGGTTGTGAGTTAACATACTTTCCAATGGAGTACAGCCGTACTGATTAGCAACCTTCTCAACAATATTGGTAACGTCCCAGTTTCTGTGCTTAGTAGTAAAAGTTCTAATAGCGGCTTCAGATGCTTTCCAGGTACCGACAACCAAGTCAGCCGTCTTACCGCTAACTGGTGATTCCTTGGAGGCACCGATAACAACAGTCTCGGCAATAATAGAAGGAAACCCATCGATTTGAATACCTAACATAACCTTAACTACATCACCCTTTGCCAATTTTAAGTTGGCTTCGTCTTCAGCATTGACTGGTGACAAGTGTGCAGGAATGTGGTTTGGACTGATAGTAGTAGGGAAGGCAATACCCTTTGGAATCTTGGATGTTTTCTTGGAATTGTAAATCTTGGACAATTCCTCGGTCATCAATTCATCTCCCTTTTGACAGATATCAAAACTTTGAGCATTTTCTATACATAAAGCCTTCACTTGTTCTATGACTCTACCAGCAATTTCTCCAGCAGTCTTATATTTTGCAATGACATCGGAGTTCGCAATTGTGTAATCTACAGCAGGAGCTAAAATTAGGAAAAAATTAGTATAAACATCGGAAAAGAAGGCAATCTTTGTCTTTCATCATGATTACTTACCTTTGGTAGTGGTGGACATTTTAAATTCTATTTACAAACGACCTATTTAAGTAGTTCAAGCAAAGAGAAAGATACTCATTAAAAATCCAGCGACGTCTTCTCCAGCTCACAATAGTGAAAAAAAAAGTTACATACAGGATCCATCTCGACCTATACAGTTAGGTCTATGGGTCCGAGCTAAAGTTGCTAATATCTACATCATCACCAACTAAGTCGTCGTCGTCCCCTTCAGAGCCACTCTCAGCGTAAAACACATCCTTCTTACTTCTGTTACTCTTTCTTGATGGTTCTGTTAATGCAGGATTTTTAGTCTTCTTCATTCCTTTCTTGGCTACCTTCACACTGGTACCAATTTGCAGCCTTCTTTTGTGGGGTGCAGCACTTGATATTTGACTTCTTTCTCTTTTTCTCTTTTTGCCAATTAGCTTATACTTCAATAAGAGCTTCAATTTCAGAACGATTTCATCTGATATATATACCTTAGTAATAATAGCATGTGCTTCCTGAGTACTCTTCATTGGCGCAAACAAGTCATTGGCTAGTTTCACTTTGCCTGGCCAGGTTTGCATAGCCCAGCCACGAAGTTCACAAAATTCTTTAATGATTAATTGAGCCAATTCAGAAACACAGTACAAATTGTTTGCAGTTTGAACCAGAGTTCCTCTTTCATAAATTTCGTCACTTATACTTGCATCTCTGTATTGCTTCACTCTACTAGCAAAATAGTAAAGTAACGAGACATTTTCAGGTTTTGCGATAGCCCTTAAAAAAAATACAAGATATTCCAGCGCATAAGAGTATGCCTTAATATGTTCATCTTGATTATCACCTTCTATAAGCTGTTTAAACTCAGAAGTATGACTAATCATGTGAATTAGTCTCAGAATGGATGCCTCAAATTTAATAATGTTAGCAGTTGAATGCCTTTTGTACATTGACTTGATGGTTACCTCAGCTCTCAGTTTCAAATCAGAGCTCGGTTCATGTGCCATAAAGAAAATCAACGGTAAAAACCGTTCACTGATAGACTCTTCAGACAAGTAGTGTTCCAATTTATATAAAAATTTGCCTCTGACATCTGCATTAGAATCCTGCAATAAGTATATCAATCTATTGATAGTTTCTTGAGTTAAAATGTCGTTGAAAAGTGAAATCTTTGCCAACTTGAGGATGTAAAATCCAGCATAAAGTCTTAAATAGCTTTGGAATTGATTTGGAGTGGAATTATCACTAACAATCTCCCCTCCATTTCCTATAAGCGATACAAATAATTTCAAGACAGGCTGACATATAGTTGTGATGTCTTCATTAGCAGTAGAAGATCTTAGCCTGTTCGTAAATATTCTTAATGATAAGATTTTTTCATTAAGAATTGGAATATTCCAAACATCATTGAAATCTTTGTCATCGTTTGTTGTAGCACTTTGTCTATTTGTCAATAAGACTTCCTTAATAAGAAAACTAGTTATATCAGTTGCCTTTTCCTCAACTACCAAAGGATCCTTTAAGAACAATTCCGCAATTGTAGATAAATGAGTTGCAAACCTTTCATTTCCTTCCAACCTTAAAGGGTAAATTGAATTAAAGATATTCGTGTAGTGGATCTCTTTACTGTTGCTTAACGAAAGGATTTTAATAGAGTATTTTGCCTCAACTGGACTTCCATTAACCGCAAAAACTTTCAATGATTCATGAAAATTAGATCCCTCAATATTTTTAGGAAAAGCATCAGGTATTTTATGGATATAGTGATAGATAATTCTAAGTATGGATTCGTTTCCTTCTTCTTCTCTATTAAGAAGGTCCACCAAATCCTTAACTTGATTATTGAAGACTTCTGGAACGATATTTGAAATATTTTCTAATAGTTCATTAGCCACTTCTCTCCGTTGATGGTCTTTGCTCTTTGAATAGTTGAGCAATTCAGCAACATTAGACTTACTAAATATAATCATGGATGACCTATACATGAGCAATTTGAAGTTTGATATCATGTCAGTTGTGGAGATGTTTGTCTTATCCGTCTCTAATTTCAAATTCTTTGGGTTATTTAGTCTAGTTAACAATTCTTTCATCGAATTTTTCACTGATACATAGTCAGAATCATAAGAAATAGCAACTTTTAAGAGATAATACAGCCTAAAATTGGACAACTTGTAAAACCTTTCTAAACATTGTCTAGAGTTGTAGCCATCTGGCAAAGTCTGACATAACCAATCAATTGTTTTGTCTAATTTCGTTACTAATGAAGCTTGATTTTCTTTGTCATCACTATCTCCTTGTTCCTGTTGCAGTTTTGCCAAACTACTAGCCAAGTCTAGAAATTTCTCTAAGACTCCAGCAATTTGTCTCTGTCTTTTGTTTATAGCCAAGAAGGAACTTTTACTCTTAGAATCCAATTTAGAATATGTTTCCATTAGTCTATCCACACGTTTGATATCATTTGTTTCGAAGGGTAACAATTGTTCGAAGATTGCAGTATCTACCGTTGATGTAATACTTAAATCATTAATATAAATCAATGAAAGTATTTGATTGGGAATTTCAAATATTATAGAGTCATGTCCATTAGTCTTACCCAAAGTACCATCTGCCATTTGAATTGAATATTCATTGTACACACTCGACAAAACTTTCATTACTTGATTTCTGATATCGGGGTTCTTCTCACGAAGTAGTTGGAAGAGTGTAGTTAATATTTTATCGTCACATATTTTACTCATAAAGGAACTGAAAGAAATTTTATCAATTGACTTGACAGCAGTGAATCTCACCCTCTCATCTGTATCTAGTAAACATTTCAATAGACCTTTCACAATTTCATTGAGTGCTTCAGAACCCCCCAAGCTAGTACTTGAGCTAGGGTTAGCGGATGAATTCTCCAGAACATAGGCTTCCACGATATGTGGTACTTGTTCCACCCATTTACATCTGACAACTGGTGATACATCTAGCGTCTTCTTAATCCAATTTAGCCATATATCTCTGTGTGTCACAATAAAATTCACCTTGTGTACTATAGAGCCACCACTTGTACTACCAATAATCTTACCGATAGTTTCGGTAGCTAAAACTCGTATCTTTTCATCCTCTGCTTTCAACTCATCATCAATTAACCCAATTAATGAAATAAGCATTTCGGGAATAAACCTCCAAATTTGAATGGTAATTCTATGGATTTTTTTCAAATTTTCAATTAACAAAGAAGACTTGATTCGATCATCACCGTCAATTACATCCTTATCCTTTGCTTCATATAACATTTCGGAAAACAATTTAGCAATTTGTCTTGACATCCGATCCACGTTTGCTTCGCAAATTGCTACTGAAAAGTTGAAGGCAGGATTAGAGATATTTGATTTCCCACCAACTAACCCAAGCGAGTCAGAAGAGCTTGCTATATCTTTGGTTATCAATTTATTGAGTATTTTCTTCAATACTGAATTTGAAATATTATCACTCTCCAGTATAATTTCGCTCAAGATATTACTGGCCAAAGGTTCCAACTTAGTTGGGAAATTTTTACTTGAAGCTAATTCATATAATATATCAAAAGTCTGCAGAATCATTGCTTCACTATCTGGTAGATCTGTTATCAATATAATGGATCTAAATTCAGATAATATTTTAAGCAAATATGCTTGTTGTTGGAAGTACGGATTTTCCTGATCATTCAATTTCTTGAATTGTTGGAACATAGTTTTGAAAATGGTCGACAACTCAATTCCAGTGAACGGAGCGTCTGGTGCACATATCCTTAAAATATCAGCTATACAGCAGCATACATAAGCTTGCACTCCGACGTTGGAGTGCTTCAATAGTTTACGGTTTACCAAGTCATCCTTCACCGCCATCAAATCGGATTTTTCGATCGCATCTTGATCTATTGCAGAAAGCTCATCCAGAAGAGTTTGAAGTCTGGAAAGAAGATCCCTTGTGGGAATAGGTGCATTCACTGATGATACAATCGGCTTATTAAACAGCAAAGAAGTCATTATTCTTGCACTTTCAAGTAGACTGGTGTTATATCTAGCTTTCATGATGCTTGTGTTTACAGTTTGAATCATTTATTTTTGTTTTTTCTTCACGCGTCGCGATTGCAAAATTATGTCGCTCTGATGGTTTAGATAAGCTAGGCGGGAGCTAGATGATTGGCTGCTAGGGTGGAAGTAGATTGCTATACTATACCAGCTTATCCAGTTGTTTTAAGTGGCGGGTGTCCTTAGTGTCAAAAGTCTAGAATTTATTGTGAAATTAGTCAGTTCTGACTTTGGACGCTGATATGTGGTGTGTTAGAAACGCTACATAGTGCTGCATTCTTGCTAAAACAAATTTTCATTCCCATATACTAGAAACTGTAGTTTTAACTAGTTCTAAATCTATATATTCTTAAATCTGTACATAATTTAGCTTCATTTCATACTTAATACTTATTCTTGCTCATGCTCATGCTCATGCTCTCCTTTGTTAATTCTCAATCTTTTCTAGCATCTCTCTCAACGTAGGTACTAGGTACCAACCCAACTCTCTTTAAGCCCTCCGAGTTTCTAACCCCGACGAGCCAGCTGCTCTCTTCATGACTATCGACGAAATCAAACAAAATTTGAATCTTGTCGTTCTTTTTAAATGACAAATCACCTACATTCTCACCTTTAAAATCATGCTTGGCGGTTACGTAGATCTTTTCCTTTTTCCCATTTTTCTTCTCAACTTCATTGAAAAATTCATTAAACTTCCAAATCTTGTAGCTTAAACTGGTTGTGTCTTCAAACAAAATTGGATTCAAATGGTCTGCTAATGATATATTGTACTCCTGAGTAGAAATATCAACTGGACTCTTAGTGATATTATTTTTGGCTGAGTTGTATATCTTCGTTAAATTCCTATCCAAAGTTTCATTGGAGAACTTATCATACATAGTCGATGATAACGATGATACTGAATGAGTAGATGTTGCCAGTGATATTGAAGTCATTTCCGATGCATCTTCAGAATCATCATCGGAATCTGAGAGATTATCAGTAGTGGAGCCATTGAAGTAAGGTGGAGGTGGTGAAAAAATTGGGGAAAATACAGGAGTAGACCCAGATCTAGGCGTAGATGTGGGTAATGCCATATTGGAGCGAGGAGGTAATGGTGGCGCTAAGGTTGGTGTCGTTACTAAGCGAGACACTGGAGGTGCTAAGTTAGAACCACGAGGAGGTAAAGGGGGAGGTGACACAGTAAGAGGAGTAGCTGGAGGAGATGTTGGGTCATATGCTACTGCTCCAATAGAAACAGGCAGTGATATAACTTCCGATTCCACAAGAGTTTCCTTGTTTTCTTCCGGTGAAACGGGTGAGGTCGGGCTGGTTTTAACTGGGGAAGTGATGACACTTGGGATCACGGAAGGTACTCCGGAATTCAATTGGGAGCCAGGAACTACTACATCATCTATACCAATCATCACCGGTTTATATTGTCTTGGAACATTTAATTCAAGGTCTTTGTAACGCTCAAAGCTCACCAATGGATCAGCCACCTGATGTTCATTGAAAATACCATCCTTCGAATCCCTTGGCTTTACTGGGTTTTTCTTATCAAAGGTATGGCCCACTTTGTGCACCATCTTTCCAATTTTCAGGTCCGCAACCACTTCTGTGCTAATCTCTGTATCAACCAACTCAGGCTTTTTATCATAAATGATTTTTACCGAAGTTTCAATTTGCTTTCTAATCGGTTCAATGGCCATTTTCCAAGACTCATTTATCAATTCGTAGTCCTTCTCCGTACTGAGTCCATGAAAAATTGAATAGTACTTGAAACTTGCTTGGATAGTCTTATATATATCATGTTGTTTGCAAATTATCAATTTGGTAATGCTATCAATGAACTCTTCCAAGAATGAGAGTGCATGTGGTAAGATCTTCTTAACTTTGTCATTGACTTTATTATAATTTATGTTCAACTCTTTCAATTTATGTTCCTTGTCATTTAATTCAATGTGTTCTTTATCAGTCAAGGGCGAAGTCTTGGACAGCAATTTGGAGACTTTCTTGTAAAGTTTATCATGTGCATTTTTCTTTCTCTTCCTTAATTTTAACACCTTAAGAATATCTTTCAAAAACTTATTCATTTGCGTTATCTTAAGTTTTACAACATCGTCAACAAAATATGTCCAATCCCCTAACACCCTGTCTTGTAACTCTTTCATGGTGTTTAAATAGTTATCCAATTCTGAGCATACACTACCAATAAGGAATTGTCTCTCCTTAGGGTGCACCATTGGAACTTCCTGCTCGGACTGCCATTGAGAAAATTTTTGATAATATTGATTAATATCTTTGAATTGAAGTGAGGAGGCACCAATTATGCTTATAAACCTTTCTGCAATTTTAATATTTTTTTTGAATAGTAGGGGCCAATAGCTCTTCTTCATATGATTAAGTTGCGACAATAAATATTTTAAACCGGCAATGGAAGTAGAAATGTCAGATTCGTATATTTCAATTAAATCATCATCAACATCATAGGCTTTCTTTTTGAATAACATCTTGTCCTTGACAGAGTTTGTTTTATCTAGACCATCCTGGAATTTATTACCTATCTCATGAGATATTCCTATTGTTCCATCCTTTACAGTATGGCTAATTGAACTAATCCCTGAAACCCCTTTGTTAACAATATTCATATTTACCGAACATGTAACTTAAACAGCTTAAAACAAGGCTTTCCATTAATAAGTCAATTCAATAACTGGTCTAGTAAACACCAAGTTCCAACTGAGACGGAAATTGCGGAACATCTTGCAAGCGCACCTAAAAAAAGGCTATCGAGATCTGCGCCTGCGGCAATGCGTGATGAAAAAATTGACGTGTGATCATGCGCCTACATGCAGTGCCAACCTTAATTAGTTCATTAGGCAATTGAAGGTTGGTCTAAGGATGAGTTCGGAGGTAATAGAAACAGGTTAAGAGTTAATCATTGCACTTCAAACAAGAAAAAACAGGCGGCTATAATTGGAGAACTATGATTTCAAAAAGTTTGGAGCTGGTAAGAGGAAAATTGGCCTATTATTAGGTGACATGTCCAAGTCCTTTAGTTTGGCCCAATCTTAATCTCTAATCAGTGGCTGCAAATTAGATGCTCGCGTAATGCTCCACATACACTAGGTGTTTATCTACTCAATTTCTAATCATATCTACTCCAATATTAATTTATTCCATGTATGGCCATTCGGTGTCTTTGAAACAAATTTGAAGTTCCATTTACTTTCACAACATTATTGCACTATACAAACCGAAGACAAATACAGTGACAGTCAAAAATGTACTACATGTATACAGAGAGTGAAACAAGAGGGCTGAATTCATGGTTTGCTTCCACTATTTTGTCTTAAATCACAGTAGTTACCAGGAGGAGATGGTGCTGTTGACAATGCAGAATCTAGATCAGAATAATAAAATATAGTACACATTACTTCAGAAATCCATAGTGCGTACAGTTGGCTAACCGTTGAGAATCCACTATTTATAGATACACCTTAAGATTCTGCTGCTTAAGTTATAGATTACATCTCAGCAAAGACACCAGTTGCTCATAAATCAACGGCACTTAGTTGGGATCCAAGATTCCAAGAGAAGAAGTGTACCAGGAAAAATGAAATGATCTGGATAACATCAGCCACTGAGTCGTCAAGCAAGAAGTCACTATTAAAGAGAAGATTCCATTACACATTAGAGAAGAATTGTACAACAAGTAAAAATACATTAGAGGGAAATGAAGCGCTCCTAAACGAAGAATGCTTGTCAGTCCATAAATGCTTGTCAATCCCCCATTACTGGCTAAAATTTATTCAACTGAATGCCCTACGCGTGGTACGGATCAAGAAATTTAGGTGAAGTAATGCACCCCATGTCTCACCCCCACAATATTTGTTAGTCTCAATTGCAAATAAGGCACTAGCGAAGCGAGCGCAGGGTCCAAAGAAAGAATCTTACAAGAAAGTAAAATGAATAGCAAGAGGTACAATTCTTAATGATCGAATTTAAAGCAGCCCAACGATTTACTCGACCCCCAGTTCACCCCATTTGCCAAGTTACTTACACCGATAGCCAATAATTATTTTTCAAGTGGATTTCCATAAAGGAGAAGGATGATCAAATGTTTGCGGGGCGGTCAAAGTATACCCGCATTAAGGAAACATGAGACAATGTATCATCACAAGGAGTCCCCGGAACCTCCCAGCAGCTGGATCAAATGATTTCATACTAGATGTTTCATTTCTCTCCATTCAGCGTTGAATTTGGTTTCATCAAGGAATAAACAATTTGTGTCTCAGGTAGAACAATAAGAACAATGAACAGGCGGAATATTATTTTTTTATTTAAACATACCCCTTAAATGCTTTTAGTAACCTTAATTGTTAGCGGTGCTATGTTTCTTCAACCCTATTGTGCGCGCAAGCGCTACCGACTATCGTTCCCAGAAGCGAGGGGTATCGTAGGGCTTCTGTTCTGCGCATCGCCACATAGAGAAAAAACTGGCTAAAACTTCCATAACTTCGACTATCCAATACGCCGAAAATACACTCGGGCAAAAATTGGGTTGGGTTATCGGAGATAGAGATTATAGAATAGGAAAAAGGCTAACTAGCTTGTTAACGACCGAACTTCTTACAAATATTTTCCAAGCTTCATTATTTTTTGTTTTGTAGACTTAAATCCCTTTCCTTCTTGAATTTTCTTTCTCTCTTCCTTTCTTCCTGCATTACTTCCATTCTATGGTAAACCTTTCACATTTTACATTCACGCATATTTACGTAAACCATCCTGAAGTTGCATAGCTAGCAAATTTATAACCAGGATAGTTACTTTAATAAACTTTTTTGGTATTTTGGCTTTGGGGATATTGGAAATTTTTTTTTCATCAATATCGAATTGTCAACCGAACTGAAAAGAATTTCACTTCAGTGAAGAAGGGTAAACAGGAGTGAAGTGAATATTGAAAATAAAAACAATAAGGATTGTTTAGAAAATAGCGATCTCTTTAACCTTCTGTAAATAAAGGAAAGATCAAAAATAGTGGTGTGAAGAGGAAAAGTGATAACAATTAAAATTTACACCTATCTTATCCAAAGGGCACTTCAGACTATTAAGAGTGGAGATAGTGTTTTTGTTGAAAACTGTCATTTTTTTTTGTTGAAGTGAGCAATAATGCTAAAATCAGGAAATGCACTCTCAATATTTGTAGATAAAACCATGCAAAAGACAAAATCGAGGTCGAGAGAAAATAGTAATGGAAGTGGCAGTGGACCATTGAAAACTCCCACATCTTCAACTTACCCGATAAGCACAAGTAACAGTGCGACTAACTTGTCTGTTCGGGATTCACCGCACATAATGAGAAGACTGTCACAAACTTCAACCCCAACATGCCCCTCACCACATATCATGTCAACTCCATCTTATCATAGCACGCCATCGAACAACAACAGACTGCCATCATCCAAGACCTACATATCTCTGGATAATACTACTACCTACACCAGGCTCTCAAAGCCGATATTTGAGAGTAATAATGGGATCATATATAAGGGCCTCATGAAGGACAAGACGCCAGTGGTAATGAAAAGTTGGAAACTGACTTCTCTGTCGTATGAGCTCTCAATTCGAAACGAGTATAATAATCTCAAAGCCTGCCAACATAAAAATATAGTTGAAATATTTGACTTAATAACTGAGGTTGAACAAGAAGAAGAAGAGGACAAGGCTGACTTGGTAGACCAACTAGATGGGCTTGCTCTTGAATCTGAAGGGGATACAGTACTGAAAAAGCTGTCGAGCACTCCTCCTCCACGTAAGACTTTTTACATGGTGTTTCCCTTTTACCAAAGAGGTGATTTACTCAACTACCTTTCTATTTTAAGGAAGAATAAAATCACACTTTCGAACACCCATAAAGATTGCATATTCAAACAAATATTGAAGGGTGTGAGCTACCTTCATGGCAAAAACATTGCCCATAGAGACCTCAAACCTGAAAATTTCCTAATTGATAACACTGGTACCATCAAAGTTGCTGATTTCGGCTACAGTTTGGATTTAGAGAATGAAAGTTCTAAATTGCTCTTGGCTAATAACTTTAATGATATATACTGTGGTACCCCGTCATTCAAGGCACCTGAATTGTTTACGATTGAGAAACAACTCGAAGACCAATGTCCAGAAACGAAGATTAACAAAATCGTCCATGGAATTGACTTTAAAGCATTAGATTGCTGGTCACTAGGCATGGTATATCTCAATATCTCAATAATGCTTATTCCATGGACGACAGCGCTGCCTGATAACATTAATTATACCAAGTACCAACAAAACTATCCCAAGGAGGAGAAATTGTTTACATCGTTCATCAAACTGTTCGACAACAACTTGCAACACAGGAGCATGTCAAACGATAACCCAGCATTGTCTTGTTTCAAGAAATTGAATTATGACTGCCGTGCATTCATTTTAAAATTGTTGAACCCTCAGCCACTGGAGAGAATAACTCCACTGGAGGTTTTGAAATCGAAATGGTTGGTGCTGGTGTACTCAAATCCAAAGGAATTGATTGAAATAATAGAACAAATAAAGTAAACACTCTCAGAAAGGGAACAGGTTAAAGGGACGGCGATCTTGTATAATAATAATATGACGATAAGATATGTACAATAACAGAGACTTCTTAAATGTAGACTCCGTATTTCTGCGAACTGTTTATGGGTGTATCTTTCATTACATGGGACAGTTATCTTGCCCGCTTACTATCCAACAAATATAATGTCGTTACGCTTACATTTCGATATAAAGTCACTAAATATAATACACGTAAATTAAAACGATACGATAGAGAATCATACAAAAAATATAAATACAATTATTATTTAATCCTTTAATCAAGCCTTGTGAAATCCCAGGTATCCATAATTGCCAATACCATTGGAATTCACACTGGCAGGTTGTTGCTGCAGTTGTTGCAGTTGTGGTTGTTGCGACTGCTGAGGTTGCTGCAGTTGAGGCTGCTGCAGAGCGGGATTACCTGATTGTCCATTTCCAGTTCCACTAGAACTGGTTGGGGAGCTTCCATTTAATACTTGGCTGGAGCTAGTCCTTCTAGGATTTCCTGGACCTCTAACACCCAATGGGTTCTTGGAAAATGACAATCTAATACCCCCTTTTCCATTACTTCCACCAGGTCTTGGTAATGCTCTTCCGTATAATTCGGCCAAAGCTCTAGTGGCATGGGCAACATCTTCAAACTCTACAAAACACATAGGCCCGTGATTGTGACTGTTGGCATTAGGATTGGATTGCGATTGTGTCTTAGTACGGAACGATAAACGACGGAAACCCTTTTGAGGCGAAAACAACGCTCTAAGTTCAACTTCAGTGGCATCAGGGGGTAAGTTACCGACATACAACGTATTACATGGTGGATTTTGATCAGCTGGGTTTGCTGGTGGAGGTACTCTAGCCAAAAGTGATAAATCAGGAACATCCTTCAGTTGTCTTGCCCCACCAGATGCTTGAGATTGTGGAGACTGCTGATTCGATGAAGTTTGAGCCTGTGACTGTGGGGGTGATTGAGATGTAGGCTGCTGGTTAGATTGCTGCTGTTGCTGCTGTTGCACAGGAATCTGACTTGGAGTAGGGGCTTGAGGTTGCAGTTGCTGTTGCAGTTGTTGTTGTTGTTGCAGCTGCTGTGGAGTCTGACTAGACAATCCATGACTCAATGACATTTGCTGAATTGGTTGGTGCATTGGAATATTGCCACTAGCAGTTGACGATAAGGAATTGCTTGGTGGCAATTGTGATGGATTGCTGTTGAAAAATGCCGACGATGTTCTTCTGCGGTCTGCATTTGATGCTGCTGCTGAAGCAGCACTGGCCCAATCAAATGGTCCCTGGGGTTGTACAGTAGTAGACGAAGCCTGGGGAGTTGAGTTTGTTAATGTGCTTTGGCTACCATTGATTTGGTCTTGACTACTTGGATTTTCGGAAGGAGATGACCCAGATGGGGTGGATGCAGCGTTTACGTTTGTACCGGTACTCCATGGATCTCTAACAAGCTGTTCATATTCCCTCGCATCGTTTTGAGATTCCATCAACAACAATGACTTCCCGCTCAAATCAGACAAGTCAATACGCTGACCACCAGCGCCAGTGCTACCAGCAGCCGCTTGGCTGCCACCACTTGCTGAAGACGCACTATTTGGCGCCATGGCTGAAGTTGGTGTAGTGCTACCGCTAAATGGATCACTAAACAAGAACCTAGAGCGTTGGTTCCCAATAGACTGCCTCTTCTGGTACTCCGATGTGTTTGTGTTCACATGAGGTGGTGAAATATTGGCACTGGAAAGCCTCAATGAATTGAATACTGGGCCCAGGAAATGGTTATCATAGTCAACTTTAATAGGCAACAGGTCTGAACCGAAAAGGTACTTCCCTTCTAACAATTTACCAGTAGTAATGCACGTGTTTAAGGTTTTGAAGTAGGCCACTATATCTTCACCGTTCTGCTCGATGTTGATGATATCATCAATTACCAATGCAAACATCAATGAGGATTCTCTTTTGGTTAAGTCCTGGGGGAGATTCGAGAGACGGAGCGTGAATGGCTCGGTAGGAGCCTGTTGCTGTTGCTGCTGCTGCTGCTGCTGTTGTTGCAGCTGGCCCTGCACTTGGGACAGTCCTTGTTGCTGAACCTGGGGAGGGGCCTGTTGTTGGACCAGGGGTGGAAGTTGCTGCTGCTGTTGTTGATGCTGTTGCTGAGCCTGTGGTTGAACCTGAGGCTGTTGCGAGTGGGAAACTGGCGGTACTCCACTATTTCCTAAAGACAACCCAGCTATGGACAAGTCTCCTAGCACCATATTACCATTAGACAGGTGGTGTTGAAGACGAGGTTGTTGGTGTTGCTGGACTACATGGGGCGGTGGTGGGCCCTGGTGATGTATCTGATGAGGCTGGTGATGTGATATTGGTACAGAGAATGCGATATTATTTTCAGATGACATGATGAATAAATGACAAGGGTGTAATGATGATGCTTTTGGAGGTGTTTGAATTCTTTAATAAATATGAATACTTAATGACGATGATGCAAGTGTATTAATGCAGGCCAGTAGTAGCGTTACGGAAATACGTATGTGTTTTTACAGCTGGATGAGGATGGGGGAGTACTAAGTAGATAAGTAAGTAACAAAGTGAACTATTATAAACTGATTGTGTGGGTTCGCTTGTTCTTTTTGTCCTTCTTTCTTGATGTATTGATCGATGTTATCACTTTCTACAGAATCTCTCTCTCTCTCTCTCGTTCTCTAGCTCCTCTTGTCGGTGTCTTGACTACGTTGTGGGGTCTCTTTGTGGTTTTTCGTTTTTTTTTTGCTTGTCGAATTTTCTCTTCTCTCTCGTGGATTTAACAAAGTTTCAATTTGGTTCAAGGTCGGTCGTTTTTGAGGTTAAGTGGACGGATGTTTGGTCGACGGTGACTAAAAGTGCGTGAACTAACAGAAAATATGCTTTTCAAAGAATAATTTTACGGGATATGTGTTGGTAACGTTGGTGTTTGTTGAGAATAAACGGTGTGTATGGACGTTGTCTTTTCTGATTTTTCTTCTTCATTATAAAAAAAAATAAAAAAAAAAAGTGCGAAACACAAAGTGAGAGACTTTGCGATCACAAAACCACTGCACCAGAGAGTAGTGGCGACTTAAGTTCGGTATAAAGGGGGGTTAGGAGTAAAATTGGCGCAAAGGTTGCGAGCGCGTGTGCTACGTAACTGCTTGTGATTGGATGATATATGCTGGTTAATGTACGAAAAAAAAATATTCTGGACAAGGTGCTGGACGGGATGAAGACTGGCGAGGAGGATATCAACCACACCATAACTACTGAAGAGCGTTGAGTAGTGAGAGGAGGGGAGGGCAAGGGTGAGAGTGAAGAGGGAAGAGGGAAGTGGGAAGTGGGAAGTGGGATGAAAGAAGGCCCGACTTGAGATATAATGTCAGGCGACCGACAGCTTCGTTAGCTGCAATTGACTTCAGTGCAGCGGTGCGTGCGGTGGGTGTAGTCGAGTCGACCTGAGATAGGCGGTTCATGAATATGGGTGAATGCTCAATGCTTTATTATTAATGGTGTAAGCTTTTTTAGTGCCATAATTTACTCTGTATATAATTTTTATTTTCGAGTACGCTGAATTTTTAGGCTCCACTAATTGGGGGTGCACCGTAGACAGTGGAACACCTAAACACTAGAACGCTGAAAACGGAACATACTTCTACTCTTTCACTTTATTTCCTTTTTGTTTGTTGTTGTATGATGCCCCGCAGGTCATATGAGGAACAGAGAGCCTAGTTGTACCTTAGTACCGAACTGCTTGGTGTCTCTCTTATCCTTCCATCTCCTACTTGCTAGCGCCTAACGGAGAAATAATAAGCCTAAAAAAAATAATAGACGAAAAACAAAATAAAATAAAAATACTCCAAAAAATTCAAAACAGGCTCTGGGGAATATTAAGACGTGAAACAGTATCAACAAAGGGTTAGACTGGAAATCCCTTCTTTGAACTTGCTTACCGAGGAGCGCCTCTATCGTTATTTGTCATGCTATCCTTGTAATTTAAACTTTTCCGCCCTTGAGTGGACCTCTTTGTTCTAGATCCGAAAGAGACAGGACTAGCAAATTGTAAATTGTAGAGCACATGTCTTGGTCACGTGATACTTTTCAAGCACCTAAACTTCCTATCTCTCACTCACACACCCACTGCAATCACAACTGTTGTGTATTGTATTCTCGATAGAGTATCGTTTTAACTCTGTAGTATTTCGTCTTGTTTCCTTTCTGATATCTTCTCCTTGTTCACCATGGCGGAATTTGATTCAATTGATAATGTGAAGCGAGTGAATGCTCGCTGCTTGGACTTCTTGTTGATGGAAATGATCTCTACCTCGATCAGACTGACCAACCATAAGGAAAATCAGGAAACTAAGAATACTGATGAAATGAACACAAGCAATAAAGGCAACGAAAATGACAATATTGACGAACTAGATGACGTACCAGGAAGTGTGACTATTTTAGACCACCCTTCCATCAACTCAGATGACGTTACCCTTAGGAACGAAAACTACGGATTCCAAGTTGGAATACGACTTTGCGAGCTTTTGATGTACAAGAATTTACAATCCTCTAAAATCACAAATATTTTAGATATCATGAAATTTGTGTGTAGAGATGTGTGGAGGTGTCTCTATGGGAAGCAAATGGATAACTTAAGAACAAATCACAGAGGAATATTCGTCTTGGTGGACAACAATTGTAGGTTAATCTCTTCTATGAATAGTAGTAAAGGATTACCAGATACCATTAGTAGGGCCAGATCATTTTTATGGTTTCCATGTGGAGTTATACGGGGGATCCTCTTGAGTTTCGGGATCGAAAGTTTAGTCAATGCGGAAATCAACAACTACCCGAGTGTTATATTTAGTATTCAAACGTCGATCAACAACTAACTAACGAAGTAGCGATCTCTCAAGCTGCATTTCAATGGATTTGAGATGATATTTCGATATCTCAATGAATTTCATAAGTTTTCTTATTTAATACACATGCATTTTCACCTTAAATACTTTGTAGAACGTGAGTAAAAATCCCTATAATACAAGTATATACCGGTATACATACTCTTCCATAGAGAACAAATTATCAAAACAGTGTATCTCATCCCTATTCACCAGCCTTCTGCTCTCAGCTCATCAAGCTGCTTCGATTTTTCACTTTTTCATATTGGAGCGTACAGGCACATTTTTTCTACTTCTCCACAACGTTTGTTCTACAGCTCTTTCTTTTTTATCTCTACGACAGTGCCCATGTACTAATACTAATGTTAAGGCGAAGGTTTCCAGCAAGATGCTATAGGTATATTTCCAATCAATCCAGTGCGTTGGATTTGAACTCTTTTAAGGTGAACGAAACGTTATCCAGTCGATCTGCCTATCAGCCAAAGTTAACTGAGAGAAGCTCATTGCAGTTTAACTTTTTCTTGCAGGCGATATCGAATAATGATATACCCTTGGGCTTTAAAATCATTAAAAAGTTTGAAAAATCCGATTCCCGTTACTTTGATTCAATATACTATCAATGCTTGAGTCTATTATTCTTTCTGTTGGTTTCAAATAGAGATCATTTAAACATTCGTATGGTGAAGACATTCATCGACATGGTGCAACAAAAAGATGCAGCACATATCAAAACGCTCTTCAGGGAAGAAAAGTCCTATGACATGCTAGTTATGAAGGCAAACATATTGAAATGCTTGGTATATTGCTATTTAAACACCCCATCAAAGCTGATTATAAGATACTCAAATAAAGTATTTGAGGGACTTGATATAAACGTAAATGAATTGGTGAATATTTTGAAAGAGGAGGATTTAAAACACTTTGAAGATGTATTCAATTATAGTGTAGACAGATCAGGGAAGCTGGGAGTAGAAGAACCGAATACGGTTGTAGGAAAGGATCCAGTAACACTCAATAAGCTATTTGAAATCATCAAAGGAAAATCTGACGACACTCTCGAAGGTGAGAAGAAGAAGAAACCACTTTATGAAGTGTATGAGGAATTACCTGAGAGTCAAAAGCTCTCATTTTGGGATAATTATAACAGAAAGAATACAGCTAAACAATTCCAGATAGAGGCTTCTTGCGAAGAGGTCAAGCCAGACTTCAACAACAGATTCTCCAAGAAAGGTACAAGAAAAGGAAGACGAGAGATATTCAAATTTCAGGACGCAAATTACATTATGATGAACAAATGGATACTGGATACTACTGATCATATAATAAAGATATTGGAAGAGAATACTGTGGAAGACCGTGCACATCCCGTGTACATATTTGGGTTTGTTCTAAGAGATATAAAAATCGACCAGGTTGTTCTGACCATACTCTCTCATTTACTTTCGGCTGTACTAACTAATGAGAATGGGTTCTATAAATTAACTCATCTTGTAGATACTTGTTCAGAAACAATATTAAGATACTTTAAAGCAAGCTCTAAGACGAAGATATCTGGTAAGTTTCTAAATAAAGAAACTAGTATGAAACTTAGCGAATCGATCTTGCAAATACTTGTGACAAATAGTCATATCGGGTCAGAAGCATTACGAGAATATGATTTGCACAAGAGTGGTACTACTTACAGAATGCCACATACACTTGAATACGAATCTAGCTTTGCTGGTCTTGGATTTAAAACATGCAAACTAAGTGACCTCACTCCTAGTGTCAACTCCATAAAAACACCAAAAATTGTAAGGAGTCATCCTTATTTATTGGATACATTCACTGAATTTGATTTACAGTTGTTGAATAAGAAAGTCTATCTACCAATGTTAGTGCCCCCTAATCCCTGGGTTTCTGTACTGCAAGGAGGATACTTGACTAACATTAGACCATTTATGCTAACAGAAGAAAAAGACTCTCATCTGCTCTACCTAGAAAGAGCCCAAAATTCTGGTCAATTAGCTTCTATTTTCAAATGTTTAAATCAGTTGGGAGAAATTCCATGGGCTATTAATCCAGATGTTTTGAATGCTTTCTCCGAGTGTATGAAGTTGCCTTCGGGGTTTTTAACAATCCCTCCACCCTTAGATTCACTTAAAGTTGAGCCCCCATCTAGCCCATATCCAGTACATGATCTAAATGATCTGTCAAGTGACCTTAAATCAGCGAGAGCAGCTTATTGGAGAGAATATAAGAAGAATCGACAAAAATATTTTGACAGTAGAAGCGAAAGATTTAAGTACTTTTATCTTGAAACTTCTTCATTGGCATTTGCAGAAAATGGTGATACTTTGTATTTCCCACATGGAGTTGACTTTCGAGGTCGTATCTATCCGCTAAATTCCGTTTTGTCCCATCACCTGGAGGATTTGGTCCGTGGTCTTTTAATGTTTTGGCATTCCAAACCCTTAGGTGAAAATGGCTTTGCGTGGTTGAAATATCAATTAGCTGGTGTTTATGGTCATGATAAGTTGCCATTTGATGCAAGGATTAAATGGGTTGATAATAACATTAGCAATATATTGAACTTGGGGAGCTCTCCTACTCCTTGGAGTGAAAGCGATGAAAGTTTTACCTGGTGGATGGAGAGTGAGAAGCCATGGCAAACGTATGCCATATGCAAGGAATTTGTAAAAATTCATGAGTATAATGGTGACATATCTTTATATAAGTGTAGAATTCCAATCCATCAAGATGGATCTTGCAATGGCTTACAACACTATGCAGCGTTGAGTTTGGATTATGAAGGCGGCAAATCTGTCAACCTAGTCCCACTGAAGGAACGCCAAGATGTTTATTCAACAGTTTTAGATCTAGTACGTGATCAAATAGAGAAGGATTGTGCTGATGGGCATGAAATCTCACAGCATGCCTTGAAATTAGTTTCGAGGAGTGTAGTTAAGAGAACTGTGATGACTAGCGTATATGGTGTCACAAAAACTGGTGCCTATAAGCAAATACAAGAAGTTGTTAAGGCATCACTTGAAAAAAATAAAAAACATAGGAGGGAATTACTATCTGATCATGATCTTATATTTATTGAATCGAATCTTCCGAATTTGATTGAATATTTAACAAATTTAACATTACATTCAATTACAAAGTTGTTCTCAGGGGCTAAGCTAATTGAAAATTGGTTAAGACTTGCATGTGTATTTGTTATTAAATCATTTGATGCGGATTCAATAAAGCATAAGGCGAGCCTTACCAAAGTTGGCGTCCCTGATTTCTTTGACTTGCAATTTTATAAACCAATGATGTGGAGTTCGTTATCAGGGTTACCAATTATCCAAACATATAAGCACTACAAGTATAAAAATTTGAAAGTAATGTCGGGAACATTGAGATTGAGGGAATATGACGAAATAGGTGCAATTGATCTAAGAAAACAAAAGAATGGAATTGCTCCTAATTTTATTCACTCGATCGATTCAATCCATTTGCAAATGACTTGCATGAGTGCTAATTCAGCGCAGTTGAGCTTTGCTGCTGTACATGATTCCTTTTGGACTCATCCCTGTGACGTGAACGTGCTCAATAAAATAATTCGTGAAGAATTTGTTGAACTCCATACGTCGAATGTATTAGAATCCTTGCGTTCCGACTTGTTGTATATTACGCGTCATTCCTTGCAGCTATGTTGGATTTCAAAATCTGAAAATAAAAGATTTTATGAATCCTTGAGACTAAGAAGGGTAAAGGAGTTTGGAGGTATTTATTCTAAGCGTCAATCGCTCAATATAATCTTATTCGAAGAATCAAAGAAGTTATTGAATCCTGATGAAAATAGACACTTTGTCGATGATTACTATAAACTTTTAGAAGATTTTAAGCCAAAACTTTACTTTCAGTTGAATAAAGGGACGTTGATTCCTTACGATGGTAACTCGAGTATTGAAAATGATCTCATGGATGAAGAAGTTACATTCAATCACAAAGAACCGATACTTGTACCTGTAAATATAACCCAATGCCCACCAAAGGGGAACCTAGATGTTACCAAAGTAACAGAAAGTGAGCACTTTTTTTCGTGATCCCTAGGCCCATGTATATATAATTGTGTAAATAAATGTATCATAGTAAATAATATAGAACAGTCCTACTAGCACACCACCCATCGACGCTAGTGTACTGGTTTGTTATTTGCAGCCTACTGAAAGCTGAAGCCTTCATGCAGCGTAATTTCGCTACATATTTTCTTTTGCAAGTTTCAAGGGTAAAAATAGCTCTTTGAATTAACTTATAAAAGTATATGATATGGAACTGTCCAGCTGAGACACCGTCAATGTGTCCTTCGGAGCCAGTGTAGACGCTTGATATTCGCAGCCTAATGGAACCTTCATGCAGCATGATTTCGCCTGCAGCGTACTTTTTTTGCATATTTCTATCTCATCGACCTGCATACGGGCTACAATTTTTCACTCATCTCATCAAGTACTAAAAAATGGTTACTGTTAAATTTCACTTCTTTGTCTACTATTGTATCTTTAACTTTCGTATATCAAATAATGGCTAGACAAACTAGAGCAAAGGCTGCCGCTCCAGCTGCCGAAAAGGTTAGTGAAAGATCTGTAGAAGAAATCGAAGCAGATTTACAATTGCCATCATCCAGTGACGAGGAACTTTCTGTGGAGGAAGGTTCTGATGTAGAAGAATTAAGTGAGGATTCCGATGAGGACATAGCTTCAGAATCAGAATCAGAATCTGAAGGATTAGAAGGATCAGAAGAGCCAGAACAAGAACAAGAACAAGAAATAGTGCACAAGGTTACCAAATCAAAGCCAAGTACATCAGCATCAGCATCATCCAAATCAAATAAATCTAAAGGTGTTATCTACCTTGGTAGAATTCCACATGGGTTCCATGAAAATGAAATGAAAAAGTATTTCGATCAATTTGGTGATATTAGTAGATTAAGATTATCAAGAAACAAAAAGACTGGTAAATCTAAGCATTATGGGTTTATTGAATTCACTGAAAGTGAAGTTGCAAAGGTTGCAGCCGAAACCATGAATAACTATCTTCTTTTCGGACATTTATTGAAATGTCATGTAGTTCCAAAGGAAGATGTTCATGATGATTTGTTCAAGGGCAGTGCCACCACTTATAAGGCCATCCCATGGCTGAAGGTTTCAAAAAACAAGCATGATTCTGCGAAAAGTAAGCTCCAATGGGAAAAACTTTCCAAGAAGCACCAACAAGCTCAAAAGACCAAAATTGACAAGTTGAAAGCGAAGGGAATCGATTTTGATTTAACCAGCATTGTATAATAAGACTAATTAGTATATAAAAAAACAAAGTAAAGTAAAAAAAAATGGCTAAAATTATAGCGTAGAGCGTAGAACTGAACTAACTAAACTGAACCAATTAAACTAAGTGAAGAAACTAGCTAACTAATTGATAAGTGAAATGGAACTAGCTATATTAAGTGAAGAGAAATGGAACCAACGGAAGTGGAGAGTGGAGAGTGGAGTGGACCGCACAGAAAGTGCCGTGAAAGGTAAATTATGGTGTGGATAAATTGAAATTTCGTACGAAATGAAATTATATGTTTCAGTTCAGACATTTGGTTTTTAGCATCCATGGCGGAGTACTCCTGCACTTCACTGTGTGCTATGAAGTCTCTGTCCCTGTCCCTCTCTATACCTTTACTTGGCTATTTCTTTTCTTTTTTTTTTTTTTTTTTTTTCTTTTTAATTTTTTTCATAGCGCATCCATCAGCTGCTTCCCTCCGGCATGTACGACCGTATAAAGGACCCCCAGCTATCAAAATCGCCTAGCCGTTTTGTTGAGAAATCACACGTAAGGTTCAACAGAGTCAAGAAATTGGCAAAAAGGCAAAACAAACATGAAACACATCCAAACCATCCCACGGAACAAGGGCCCTCCGGTAGCCTGTAGGTTGCTAAATGGATCTAATTATACCCACAATGCATAGATCTCTCCTCCCCACCACTACTCCTCCTCTTTCAATGAAACAATCTTGTGCTTACTCGGGTCAAATTATCTCTTCCCTCCCATCTCTCAACGAACATGTGATAAGGATTTCTCTACCAGATGAAGTAAATCTGTCCACCAAAACTTGCGATTATGTACCGTGTGCTTACCAAATCGTCCCTATGATTGGTGAGTGAGAACATGAAAGTTCAACTGATTTTGATCTCGGAAGCTAAAAAAAAAAAAAATTCAATTTACTTTCTTTTTAATCTAACACACTTTCCTCCTGTGTAAACCTATATACTATTTATTGCATAAAACATGTCTGAAATCAAAACTTACACATTTGACGAAATTTCTCAACACAACACCGTTGACGATCTTTGGGTTGTTTACGACGGGAAGGTGTACGACGTTACCCTGTACGTTGACGAGCATCCTGGTGGTGAAGAAGTTGTGGTAGATTGTGCTGGACAAGATGCCACTGAAGCTTTTGATGACATTGGACACTCGGACGATGCCAAAGAAATCTTGGAAGGTTTATTGATTGGTACCTTGGAAGGTGCTGTTCCAAGGAAGGTGGAAACATCTACTGCCTCTTCTTCGGACTCTGGCTTACCAGTTCCATTAATAGCTGCTGTTGTCTTGGGAGCCGCTGTAGGTGCTTACTTTTACTTAAACTAGACACTTTATCATATAAAATTGTTTGAATGAGACTGCAAACGTCATTGAAGGTGTTGGAGAGTGGGATATAATTGGGATAGATGAAGTCTGAGGAATGAAATAAATTTAATGAGTACAAATATAATTTAGCTACGTGTTGTATAGAATTTCTCAATAAAATGTAATTTACGGAACCCATCGCATTGCCTGGATGCTCTCAATGTAAGAACCAGCGTATCTCTACCTGTACCATACCGATTTTCTCTGATAGCATTGAGCTTCGTACCGTATCGAGGTCGAGGCCCTCTAACTGTCGCGTACTGCATATAGACACATATGCTTCTTCAGGCACGGGATTTGGCATTTGTAACTCTTCACCTCTGCCTCGGAGTTCGTCAGTGTTCTTCTTCTGTAGTTAACAAGAATATGGATAAGAAGTCGCTCAAGGACTTGCTTTCGAGCAATATCAACAAAGAGGAGCTGAGCTCATCTTCAGATGAAGACGAAGACCTTTTGTTTGATGAGCTGAATGCTCAAACTGGCGAGAGCTCGGTTGACTTCGATAAATTTTGCATAGAATGCACAGACATGCCCATTGAATTATTGTGTGAACCATGTGACGAGAAGTTTTGTAAAGTTTGTTGGGAAGTGGTCCATAGATCAGGAAAGAGAAAGGACCACAAAACCGTAGATTTAAAGACCGAAGGGGACCCATCGCAGCTGAATGGCAAGGTGAGAGAGAATGAGTCGAAGAAGAGCATGGCGAATGGAGAAAGTCACCATGAATCCACTGAGCTTACTCTTGATGATTCCGATATTGAATCTTCTGGATCTTCATCCGGTTCAGAAACCTTGGCCGCTCTCAGATCGTCAATTACCTATATCCCTTTGCGATTGACCCACGAGGAACGTAGGTTGCTTCGTCTTCTTGAAGCTGCTCTAAACGTTTCTGAGTATACCGACAAAATCGATATAATATCGTATAAATCCAAATCTAAACGTATTATTGCAGAAATCAAAGAGATATGTTCGATATTGGCAGGTTTGGTTGTTGCTCAAGACTTCAAAATTGGCCAGAAGTTTGTAGAAGACAAGAACTTCAGCGATAACGCTGAATGGTATAAGAACATTTTCGAAATAGGCCGCAGGTATAAAGTAATGAACCCAGAAAAGATGAGAGACTCGTTTGGGAAGCTCTGCTTTATGATCATGGACTCGAGGTACCCAGAAGTAAAGGACCAGTTGGAGTTTGATTTATATAAACCAATGAAGACCATCGAACTGTTCTTATTAGAAAGAGATCCGCAATTGTTGGAGAAACTTTTCAGCAACGACTTGGTCTTGACCGCAACTGCTGAAATTGTAGTATCTGAGGGTAAATCAAGATTTCAATTGAATAGAGAAAAGAAAATGAAGGACATGGCCATTGAGAGATTGGCCAACAAGTACCACTCGGTAAAGTTGACTAAAGAAGAAATTCGTCAACTCCTTTATTCCATAGGAGATTTCCATTCATATATCAATTTCAACAGATCCCCTATAAATCGTATATTAAACCACTTGGAATCCAATTTCCTGCCTCAACAGGAACTGAGTCAATTTTCACTAGGAATTCACATTGGTAAAGGTGGTGCAAGGTTATCACACAACCATGAAACTCAATACTATTTCTGTCATCAATCGCTCACAATGTGGTCAATTATTCAAAGAGATTTTATAAAACTTTGGAAAATTGCCGATGAAGACCTTTTATCCAAAGTTAACTATAAATTGGCAGACACCGGACAAGGTTTGCAAAGAATCAAGGCAGCGCCACAAACCCAGAGATGGATGTATAAGATTATCCTGGAAGTGCAAAGAAAGACTCCAGTGTCATTCATTGGATCGCTGGCTGTTCATATTGCTGATACTGCAGTACCTCTGGCTCTCAATTTCTTGGATAAATATATCCAAGTACCACGTATCTTGATTCCGGTTGACAGATGTTTGAACATGATTGACGAAATCGCCAAAGATTCTTTCATGAGATCCTCTATTGAAAACGAATTTGGTGGCTGTTCGGAATTGAAGTTGGTTATTTTGGCCGATTTTTTTAGACATGCATTCAATGGAAGTGGTGGGCAGGATTACTTTAATGCAGGCTCATGCATCGATGGAAGATTGACCAGTGCATGGAATTGGGCAAATTTAATTAGCAAAAAGAGCTACTATAAGTACTTCCTATTGAGTGGATTTGTTGGGTTTAATGGAAGCGATGGCTGGTAAGAAATGGTGAATGTTATTTTACTTGTTGTACTATTCTTGTTTCCTTAGATTTGGAAGCATCTGATGCTCACTTTACACATAAGACTTTAGAGAAATGGTTTGTAAAACATTTTGTTTTATTAGCTTGTATAGATCTATAGATGCATTTTTTTTTTATTTGTAATATATTGTAAACAATGTCGTTTGTAGATTTTGTTCGTACTGCTTATTAAATTATCTACTTTTGCTTACCATAGTTCTCTGAGTTGTATAAAATGTAAGGTATAGTCATGTATGTTAGGAGCATCAAACAACTCATAAATGAATAACATCCACCTATTCCCATAGTCGAAACCATCTTACTAAGTGCAGCAATGAAGACTGCAGCTGTCCAGCATCTAGTTAAGTTAACACAGCTCGAAGAACACGAAAATTGGCTAGGGTAAAGATCTGCTAAGAAGGTTGTTGAAATTGTTAAATAGTTCATAGCTGCGTAACTGACGAGGAAAGAACCCACAAGTGCTACCAGTGGATGAGCGTGAAGGTTTAAGGACCAGCTAAATAGTAAAGCTCCAAAGACAGTTGTGAATGTGGGGAAAATGGCCAAGTTCAATCTAGCTTTGTAAATATTGAAAGTATGGTTGCCCCCAGAAGCTTCTTTATTGTGACTGAACTTTCTATACTCTTTTCTGTAGTAAAGATCAAGAAATTTGCCAATCGTAATGGAACCAAGAAGTCCACCAATTCCACTTGGTATATATGCCAAACCAATATCTAAGGTACTGTAATTATATGACTTAGACAACGATGTAGACAACGTAGTAAGCATCATCAACCAAATGGCGTACGATATTGAACTTGGTATTAATGTTAAGTACACAGGTTGGTTTAAAAGGATTTTAAATGGAGATAAAAACCTAAATGGCTTCTTTGGCTCAATTGTTAAATTGAGTTCCGAATCCACATTTCTTCTTCTACTATACCTTGGTAATAGCAATACAGGAGCTACCAAGACCAATTTATTTGATTGTGGTAGAGTTGCCCCATTCCCCACGAGAGTTCTGCTTGTTTCTGGTAAAAGCAAATAAACCACCATGAAAGTTACTCCAGATGATATTGCCAAAAACCAAAAGATGGCTCTCCACCCCAAGGAATTTTCTATTATACCACCAATAAATGCACCGAAGGCCTGACCCATTAGTGAAATTCCAGAAGATAAACCGATAAATGAAGCTCTTTGTGATTTGATGGCTAAATCACCAGCGATACCAGATGCCACAGAGATTGTCAGCGATATACCAAATGCTTGCAAACATCTCAATAGAATCAATCCGATATATGAATCGTTCAAGGCTAGACCAACATTTGCAGCCAAGTAAATTATTAAAGAGTTCATAACGATAATTCTTCTACCGAACTTATCTGCTAGGTTTGAGAATATGACCGGTGAAAAGCCTTGAAAAATGGAATACACCACCACCGATACATTAAGCTTTTCTTCCGAAACCTTAAACTTCTTCTCGAGAATAGGTAAAACTGGAAGATAGATCGGAGAAGATATTGGTGACCAAAACGCAGCCATGGCTGCAAGGAACACTATGACATACTTTTCATTCTGTGTGTAAATAGAATATGAGTTCTTGGGATTTGTATGTTCGGTTGAAATCGATGAGAATGTTGTGGTTCCTCTAACCATATCTGTTCCTCTAAGAACTTCTGTTGTAAAATTATCAGTTAGTTCAATAACTTCGACCGATGCAGGTTCAAGATCTGATTCTGTGTCTATTTCTGTTTCTGTTTCTGACATCTTCTCATAGATTGGGTTATAAAAAAGTTATATATTTAGGTTTAGATAAGAATTAAACTAAAGCAACCCGGATCAATTATATGCGGTTCTTCTGGTTATAAATGCATCTCTTGGGTACACACCAGACGTCATTAGTCACATTATGCATACGGATATGCAGCAGGATGTGAATATGCAGACATGCATAATATTATTTTTCAGTGACAAAAAAGAAACGCTGAGCGTCCGGATGAAGGGCTGCGAATTTTTCAAAAGAGTTTGAAGTATCCGGGGACCCCACACTTTTATTCTTCTCTAGATCTAATGGCTAGGAGCTGAAGTAGAAACACCTTGATACTGTTATTTATTTATTATCGTCCACATACTATATAGAGGGAAAAAATGTTAGGATTAAAGTATCCAATTTTCCAGTCTCCAATGGCAGGTATCAGTACTATCAAGCTTGCATCAGCAATCACTAATCTGGGTGGACTCGGCGCTATCCCATTGGCAGCTGTTGATTTGAGAAACCCTGATGCAATTGAGCTGATCAGGGGGCAACTAGATTCCTTCCGCTCTCATTTAGATAATCCTGAGCTTTCTAGGAATGTCAATTTAAATTTCTTCTGCCATGACAGATCCATTCAAGCGTCCAGTCCAACTGCGAAACAAATTGCCAATTGGAAAACAGTCTTCACACCAGCATTCAATAACCATGATCTTTCGAAGATCGAATTTCCAATTTCGAATGTTTCCTTCCAAGAGTTAGAAGAATCTGGGCCCCAAAAGAATTATAATTCATTGTTGGAATTGTTAGCAGAGTATAGACCAAAAGTAGTTAGTTTCCATTTCGGAGTTCCCTCGCAAAAGACTATTGATAGCTTGCAGAGTAATGGAATAGATGTATTTGTTAGTGTTACTTCTCTTGCAGAAGCAAAATTTGCCGCTTCAAAGGGTGTTCGTGGGTTGACCTGTCAAGGTTTCGAAGCAGGGGGTCACAGAGGAAACTTCTTAGAATCAACAAGTAATGATGAAAACTTGTCCACTTATGTCTTAACCAATTTGGTGGCCAGAGAATTTGGTAAGCAGTTGTATGTTGTACCCGCGGGTGGAATTATGAATGGAAGGGATATTGACAATTACTTGTCATTGCCAGGAGTCTCGGCAGTTCAAGTGGGAACGGTATTTTTAGATACAAAGGAAAGTTTATCCAATGGCTACATATCTAAGCACAGAGAGTTACCAACAACCATGATTTCGCTGATATCCGGGAAGACTGCTAGATGTTTAAGAACTCCGTTTATTGAGAGCGTGATCAAGAACAATAAGGATGATCTCGATTTGCCTCCTTACGGGTACACGTATTCTGCGTTCAAGTCTGCAGTTAAAGCTGCTGGTAACCCAGACAATGGGTTCTTTTTGGCTGGCCAAGGCTTTCCAGTGTTGAAGGGAAATGGCGCTGGGGCTGCGGAAGTTTTCCAAGAGCTAGTAGACGAAATGAAAGGTAAATTATAAAAAAATTAGTGACACAAGAAAATTTAAAAGGGAGCCTAAGTATGGAAAAGTGATGAGCTTACATCAATATATACAAATAAATCATTTTGCCTTCCACCAAGTGCCACTTTAGAGTGGTAACAGTAGTCTGCTGAACGTACTTACCAATCTCTAGCCTTGTTTTGTCATATCCTGCACATCTCTTGCGCTTCTGTGCATTAAAAATAATTCCTCAACTCGAGAGAAACCGTTATCGCGTAAATCCAATCTTGATATAAACAAGATGGGATCCCTGTCATACTGATTTAAGAAGACAGAAATATAGATCATATCGCCCGAATCCGCAATGATATTTAGCTCGGATCATCGCATTTTTATAGCATTTTTCCTTTTTGGACTCCTTAATAACATTCTTTATGTAGTAATCTTATCTGCGGCAATTGATCTTGTGGGGTCACTGACTCCCAAGGCCATTGTGTTATTGGCAGATGTTCTGCCCTCATTCTTGGTTAAGTTGACGGCCCCATTCTTCATACACCTTATTCCATACCATTTTAGGGTGTGGTCATTGGTTGGGATGTCAACCTTGGGGATGCTTATAGTCAGTTTGGCGCCCTTCATTAGCTGGAAGATTGGTGGTATAATATTAGCCTCTGTGTCATCTGGTTTGGGTGAATTGACATTTTTGCAATTGACTCATTATTACAAGGAAACCACTTCAATTTCTGGATTTTCTTCAGGAACAGGAGGTGCTGGGTTAGCTGGGAGCTTCATATTTATGGTGTTGACCAATTTATTGGGATTGAACGTACAGACCACGTTACTTTTGTTTTCAGTAGTTCCCTTTGCCTTTTTATTTGGGTACTACGTTTTGTTGCCTCTGCCGATTATAGGTGGGTACGCACGAATTGGCGATGAGGAATTGACTTTACATCTGGCCAATCCCGATGTGAATGTAGATGTGAATCTGGAAGTGCGTCCGGTTGTTGAACATAGCGAAGTGTATGTTCCTTCAGAAGATTTGGCCTTGAAACTCAAAGCTCACATATTACATACCATTTCGGAAATAAAGCCACTTCTCGTGCCTTATATGATACCCTTGTGCTCGGTGTATATATCTGAATACGTTATAAATCAAGGTATCTCGCCAACTTTACTCTTTCCATTAGATGATCTCCCTCACTGGTTGTTCCTGAGTTACAGAGATATCTATGTCGTGTACGGGTTTCTCTACCAACTTGGAGTTTTCATTTCCAGATCTTCAATTCATTACATACGATTAAAGAATTTGTACTGGCTCTCAATTCTTCAATTTATCAACGTTATCATAACGATAATTCAGTCCACCAGTTTCACATTCCCCTTCAGTAACATATGGCTCCTTTTGGTGTTAATTTTCTACGAAGGTTTATTAGGTGGTTTCCTGTATGTCAACACCTTTATGTCGGTAAGCGAAGAGGTGCCTAAGCTGAAACGTGAATTCTCCATGGGTTGCGTTGGAATTAGTGACAGTTTTGGTGTCGTAGTGGCCGGGTGTCTCAACTGGTGGTTGGAAGGAAAGTTGTGTGAGTACCAAGTAGGAAAGGGAAGGAATTGGTGTAGAACAGGTTAGAGAGGATTATGGTTATCGAGAATTGACTATAGCTGGACCATGTTTGGAAAATGAGCAGCTATGCTGCATCTTGCAGCCAATGCATTAACTGGCTGGTACACCCAATAACCCTACTGGAGTACAACCCAAGGCCCCAAGGGCCCAAGAGATCAAATGGTAAAGAATTTTATTAAATAGATAGATAGCAGTACTATGATAGACTTTAATTCTTTAAGAAGAGAAGTTCTGTAAGATATATGTTGTTCATATCATAGGTTTGCATCCTATGGCCTGTATACATTTCTGTCCAGATTGTCAAATACAAGCTGAGTTATAAAAGATTGCAGCTGATACGCATCGAATTTAATAAGGTATATAATTATTTAGAAAGTAGTAGAACTATCATGTCCTTAATCTTTCAAGAATGGACATTTTGTAAGATATATGTTTCTTACAGCGTAAGTTTTGCAAATTTAACTTCATTTAAATGCAGCTACAATTTCTCTCTAGATTAACAAAAACTCAGTGAAAAATAATACTTTCATAAAATTCACCTTTTACACATCAAAATTAATAGAGAGAACAAGAAATTAGGAAACAAAGGGGCCAAGCAAGAGCAGGCCATAAAGCGCTAACGATTCTCCCACTTTGTCTACACATATATCTCTACTATAGGCATTGCTACCTCTGTCTCTATTTATCTACGCAGTATGCAAAATGGTTGCATCTCATGTATGACACAAAAAATATGCACCTAATCACTATATCTTGTCCAACTGTGTCATGTCCGCTTCCGGCCAAAGTCCCACATACTCTTCTCTGCTCTTCTCTGCGCTCCCTATGCATAGCATCTCATGTAGCTTTAACGAGTCTCGAGAGAGGCATCCCACTAGTACTAAAACATAATACTGTGATTCGCCAGATTCCCTATCTGGCATTCGTAATTTCTCACATCAGTTTGTATGTGAATTCCGTTATCTGATTTCACGTGCCGCCACACCTACTGATAGACACTGCGATTACTCATAAACTTCCGATTGAGTGGGTCCGCTTACCGGTGTTCATGATTCTCAACGTTTCATTCGTGCCGTTTATTAGTATTATTATTCTTTCTTCAAATCCCCTTTTATGCTAAGAATTTCTCGTCGCCTAATGTCTACAGTATCTAAAACCAATCCCGCAGGCCTTCACAATCCTTACTTCACCATCAAGCATGGATCCAAAGATGTTTGGTCTCTTATCAACGAAACGGCTGCCGCTGCCCAAGAAGAGTTAGGGAAACCAATTGTTAACTTGGGACAAGGGTTTTTCTCGTACAACCCACCGGATTTTGCCCTTCAGGCTGTTAACGAAACAATTCAAACTCCTCAGTACAACCAGTATGCCCACGCCAAGGGTAACCCAAATCTTTTAAACCAGTTGTCTAAGTTTTACACTGAACATTTGGGAAGACCAGTACCCAAGGAGGAAATCCAAGTCACCACTGGTGCCAACGAAGGGATGTTCTCCATATTCTTTGGATTTTTAGAACCCGAAGACGAAGTCATAGTCTTTGAACCATTTTTCGACCAGTACATACCAAATGTGGAAATGACCGGTGCCAAGGTGAAGTACGTTCAATTAAACTACCCAGCCAAGTTGGACAAGGAGAATGTAACTGGGGATGACTGGCAAGTCGACTGGGAAGGATTGAAAGCTGCAATTACCCCAAAGACCAAGATCATTGTCATAAACACTCCTCACAATCCAATTGGAAAGGTGTTCAATGAAGAAGAATTGTACAAGATTGGAAAATTGTGTATTGAAAATAATTTAATTCTTGTTAGTGACGAAGTTTATGAAAACTTGTACTACGGACCTTCTTTCCCGAGACCTGCTACGTTGAAGTCCTTACCCGAGTTGAGTGAAAGAACTTTAACTGTGGGTTCAGCCGGGAAATCATTTGCTGCTACCGGATGGAGAGTTGGTTGGGTGCAAGGACCTGCTAGTCTTATTCAGTATGTCGCTGCAGCCCATACTAGAATATGCTTCTCGACGCCAGCTCCATTACAACAGGCCGTGAGCGAAGCCTTTATTGCTGCATCAGAGAATGGATACTTTGAAAAGACTAGACAAGAATACTTGAAGAAGTATGAAATCTTCACCAAAGTATTTGAAGAATTAGATTTACCTTATACCAAAGCTGACGGAGGTTACTTCCTCCTTGTGAACTTGCTGAAAGTTAATATACCTGAATCATATGTATTCCCAGAGGATATCTTGGGCCGTGGAACTGAGGACTTTAAGCTTGCCTACTGGTTAATCAAGGAAATCGGAGTTGTTGGAATCCCACCAACGGAATTCTTGGTTCCTTCCCACAGAAAGGGGAACGGCTTAGAGAAATGTCTCAGATTTGCCGTCTGTAAAGATAATTCCGTCTTAGAAGATGCCGTTGAGAGATTGAGAAAGTTAAAGGACTACTTTTGATCTACCAGAAGAAGCGGGACCTTTGAATTAATATTTATTAGATTTAGATTATTATGCTAATATATGCAAGCCCTCAAAGGAATGCCAGTGTCCTTTTAATATTGTTCTCCCTTATCTTGTTCATCTCTCTGTTTACGCTTCAACTGTTTGAAGCAAAACTTCATTTCTCCGAAATCATCGAACCCATCTTCTATTTCTTCCTCTTGCGCTACAAACCCACTCTTGTCGAGCAAGCGCCAAAGCAACGCTCTTTCCTGCTCATATTTAGGCCTGAGCGGGATTTGAATCAATACTCTGGCGTTGGGCTCCACAGATAAGAACACGCTGATCATGTCTACCACCCAGTATGGATGCTGAGACAGATATATCGGATCACTTAGTATGATTGTCTTGTAGGAGTTCTTTCTCAGCGGAGCTTTCAGTACAAATGGAGCTGGGTTCGTCCAATCCAATTCCTCAACCTGTGCCTTTGGAGCAGCACCATCCTCATTTAGGTCTATATTGGCCTGAAGGTTGGGCACTATCTCTTTCAAGTCTGTAAGAATCGTTTCATAGCCAAGTAGACTAGCCACTATTCCGACCAAGCCAGTACCTGAACCCAATTCTAGAATTGGTTCAATCATGTACTTCGACTTACCACTGGTACAAGATTTCACTAACCTTGAAGATAGGATGAGAGATGAACCCCAGGTTTTCAACCCGAGGTTATCACTGGTCAATGAAGGTTCCCTTAATGAGATGTACGACTTGCCAAACTTTTCTAAGTCTGGAATAGTTATCTTACGAATTATTTCTGGCTGGGCTGTCCTACCGCAGTTTTCCGAAATTCTAAGCGACCCTTGCTTTAAGACATCATCTGAAGCCGTTGGCGTGGAGATTACCTTGGTCAACCACGAGTTGTAGCTGGGTTGCAGCTTCAATGAGCCCGATAACAGGGGAAGGCGTATTAATTTCTCAGCGCTGTTGAACCTCGGGCAGTATTGACAGAGCCAGGGTAAGGCAGCAGGAACAAGCGCCTCGACATCTTTCTCCGTGAAGATGTCCGAGCTGAGCGGAGGGTCTTCAATAGCTGTAGTTGCAGTGGATTCCTTTGAGAAGTTATGAACTTGTTCTGGCGCCAAGAGCTTTAGAAATAAAAGAAGAACTTCATTAGGAGGGCTTAGTTGAAGTAAGGGTAAGTCTAGGAAATGAACTGGCTCATCTAGAGCTTCTTCCAGTTCAGACTCGGACTCAACTTCTGGTCCAGAATCTACACGGTATATACTTGCGGAAGGCTCTGCGATATTCAACAATTCTTGCTCTTCATCCTCTACTGTAGCCACTGCAGGAGTGAACAAGCTCAAAGGATCGAAGTCCATAGCAGCCACTACGATATCGGAGCTCACAAAGATGGCGATGAGCTGATGGTTGGGCTTATTTCTGCGAGAATTGGGTGCAAAAAAAAAAAAAGAAACACAGAGTGAAAAATTCCTACGAAGGAACCAGTGGGATGCTGAAGAAGAAGCAACCCTGTGCACAGGGGAGCGACTGGGAAGCGAGTGACGCGGAAATGTACTACTAGGTCGAGAAATTCTTGAGTATGGCTCAAATCGTCGGACTTTTTGCCGGCCTTTGCAGTGTGGGACCCTTAGAGCATCGGTCTAGTAGATCACATCGGCTTTCCTTCATATAACCTCAACAGCAGATCAAGTAGATAATATCCCGATACTTTGCCATGCACGGAATTGTTCCTACACTCTTTCTTTCGCCACTAAGAGTACCTACCACGCCTAAAATGCTCCGGTTCAACCCCAGACCCCTTCTCCGTTTACCTGCAACAAGACTATACAGTGTGAAACTTGGGGAAGTCACTCCCGGCCCTCCAAGGCTTCCACAGGAAGAGCAAGAGGAATTCGAGAGATTGCAGAAGATTGCGACATCTCAGGCTGCTATCGATGAGTTCAACAGCAACTTACAGAACAAGGAAACCATCGGTGTGACCTCGCCAGCTGCATTCAAGACGATACCAGAATTTGAGGGCGACACCAACCCGGTGACGGGCGAAGTTGGTGGACCCAAGCAGGATCCATTGAGATTCAACGACTGGTCTTTCAATGGTAGAGTGACCGATTTCTAGCCAAGCCCAATATTAGTATACAGACTAAATACATGAATTATGATATGGTGAACGTGTGAATAAATGCTTATATATTAGTACATACAAATGTAGAGGGGTCCCATGCCAGTCTACCCGACCCATTTCGACCCTGTTTCAGCGACCGTAGCAGTGCCCAGTGCCTTATATCGTTCCTCCTACCTGGCCCACGGCTTCTCCGCGGATCGCTTTTCTTAATCTTAAGAATTTCGTTTTCGATTTTTCACCACGGTGCGTTTTCACTCTTGAGCTCATCACTCTTTGGAGATTGCTGTACGTACTCCAAGTGTCACTTAGCAAACATGCCTTCCATTCCAGAAGCAAAGGACAGTAAGCTGGGTCCTGAGACACCTGCCCACAAAAAACCAGAACTCCCCGAGTTCACTTTAAAGAATGTGTCGCTTGACATCTTACATGGGGTGCAGGCTCTAGTCGTCAGCCCAAAGGCTACCTTGATTGTGGCCCCAATGTTGGTGGCAGTGACCTCAATTCTCTGCAAGGTCATAATTGCAAGGGTCCCCTACACGGAGATCGACTTTTCCACGTATATGCAACAGGTGGAGCTCATTAACGACGGTGAATTGGACTACGCACAGATCTACGGTGACTCTGGCCCCATAGTCTACCCAGCAGGGTTCGTTCAAGTGTACCAGTTTTTGTATTCGATGACCGACGGAGGTCAGCAATTGAGAACAGCCCAGTACATATTCAGCTTGTTACTCACCCTGACCACCTTTTTAACATCAGCAGTATACATCACTGCTGGCGCAGGGTCTATCCCACCTTGGCCCTTCTACTTGTTGGTGTTGTCGAAGAGACTCTTCTCCATCTACTTGCTCAGATTGTTCAACGACTGCTTCACCACTATTGCTATGATTGGTGTTACTTTGATGCTTCAACAAGCCTCCTACTGGTACTCTACCGCTGGTACTTTGATCCCCTACCTCTTGACATTGGTCGCTGCGGACCTCTTCTCTTTGGCCATCAGCGTGAAGATGAATGCCTTACTTTATTTACCAGGCTTCGTGATCGTTAGTTACTTTCTAGTAGGCGAAAACTTGGTTAAGTTGGTCTCCGTTTTGGCTGTCATCCCCATAGTCCAGGTGCTAGTTGGTTGGAAGTTCCTCTTGCCATTGTTCTTAGGAAGCGATGATGTTGATGCTTCGAACATCAGATGGAACTATATCAATCAAGCTTTTGACTTTCTGAGAAAGTTTTTATACAAATGGACAGTCAACTGGAAGTTTATACTGGAGGATACTTTCCTTTCAGATACGTTTGCCAACACTTTACTCATCCTTAATGTCGCTACCTTGTTGGTGTTTATATTCACCAGATTCTTGTCACCTAAGGTGACTGGTAAGCCATTGACTGAACTCATCGGTGCTGCCATCACGAAACCATTCTCCTCCACGGCAATTAAGCAGAAGAACTTGTACCTCAACTCCACCCATGGCCCAAGACTTATCTTGTTGACTCTTGCTTGTTCTAATGTTATCGGGGTGTTGTTTGCGAGATCTTTACACTATCAGTTCCTCTCTTGGTACTGCTGGCAACTACCATACCTTTTGTACCTGACAGGTTGGAACTTTGCTATATGTGGAGCAATCTGGGCCGCTCACGAATACTCTTGGAACGTTTTCCCTGCCACTGCAGCCAGCTCAGGACTCTTGGTATCCATCTTGCTGGTTGTTCTTTTTGGTGTGTGGAATAACAGAGCCAACTGGTTTGTCGAAGAAGACTTAAATAAGAAGAACCAGTAGCTTGATATACCACTACTAGCTACACTATCATAAAATCTTTTTGAACATTAATTACTAATAATACAAAATTATACATATTCGAAGAAATGAAGCATTTCTTTAGCCCCGTAATCCTTTTCCAGTTCTCCGAAAACCACCATCCACCATCTTTCAACTGGTTACCTTTCTGATTTCTCTTTTAACTTCCATCATTGCCCCAATTGAATCCACCCATTCCATCCTGATCTACTCCTCCATCCAAAAACAGATTGAAGTCAAAATCGATTCCATCAATGCCTCCAGGGTTATTAGTGGAACCAAAGAAATTACTGTCAGCTGCACCATGATTTCCTCCAATGATATCCACTGGGAAAATGTGATCAGCAGAAGGGTCCAAAGTGTCAGCAAATGCTCCAAATTCTTCCACCTTTTTCTTGGAAGCATCTGAAGTAGAATTGGCATTAGAGTTAGCATTGACGTTAGTGGCAGTACTTGTATCAGTAGCACTGCTGACTCTAGGCTGCTTCTTGTTAAGTTTCTCCGGAGATTCAGATGAAATAGTATTCTTTCTCTTCTTTTTACCAGGTACACCGTTAATTGGAGTTTCAGAAACAGGTGTCAATGGAACTGAATCATCTCTAGGATTAGTGTTATTGTTAGAATTATTGTTATTACCGAATGAATCATTATTTGCCCCAGTTTCCTCATTATCATTGTTATTGCTTGGAGTTGCAGCTCCGGTGACGGATTTCCTATTCTTTCTGGGAGCTGGCTCCTTCTTCTTTTTCCCAGCTGAATTAGCAGCACCAGACGGTGATGGTTTATTGTTTATTATGGGTGAATTATTTGCCTGTCCCTTCACTTGCACCCCTGAAGTTGGTGGTAACATGTTGCTATTTATAGTTGAAATGGAATCTGGAACACCACTATTTCTTGCAATGTCTAATCTTTTCTTGTTTTGTTTCTCCAAGAGCATAAGTTGCATTTGATAATCTTGGAGAGCATTCAAGTTCCTACTGTTCGGAGCTGGCCCGCCGGCAGTAACTGCGTTATTGGTGTTGTTGTTAACTCCATTAGGGGTACCATTGGGCTTCCCATTATTAAGACGCGATTGAGCAAGATGAATTTGAGCCTGCTGTTGCGCTTGAGTTTGCTGGTGCTGATGCTCTTGTTGCATCTGTGCTTGCTGTTGCTGCTGATGGAGTTGCTGCTGGTGAAGTTGTTGCTGGTGGAGCATTTGCTGTTGTGGTGTCTGTTGTTGTTGTTGTTGCTGCTGCTGCTGTTGTTGTTGCTGTTGTTGCTGTTGTTGTTGCTGTTGCTGCTGAAACGGCGCTTGCCCGTTTGGAAGCTGCTGTTGGTATATAGGTCCGCCCATGGGTCCACCAATGGGTTGGTGACCCTGAGGAGGTTGTTGCTGCTGTTGTCCTTGTGGTTGAGGGGGTTGGCCCTGCGCTTGTGGTCCTTGAGGTGGAAATACCCTTGAATTCGTCTGAGGGGATATATGCTCATTATTAATCTTCTGTTGTTGCGCAGCAACAGCTTGTTGTCTTAAGTTATTCATTTGAGATTGTGCGTGCTGTTGAATTCTGTTTTGTGGAAGACCCTGAGCCTGAGCTTGGGCTTGGGCTTGCGCCTGTGCCTGAGCTTGAGCTTGAGCCTGAGCTTGAGCCTGAGCTTGTGCTTGCTGTTGAAGAAACATTTGTTGCTGCTGTGGAGTTAAATTAACTCCATTAGGCACCATTTGGGGTGGAATTGAAGTACCCTGAGGTAAGTTGACAATTGGTCCTCCCATTTGCCCAGGGACAACTTGCCCAGGGCCCAATTGTCCTAGTCCAGCAGGACCGCCAGGACCACTTTGCCCAGGACCAAGTGGACCAAGCCCCATCTGGCCAGCTTGGTTTGGTTGTCCGTTAGGAGTTGGTTGAGCCAGAGGCTGTTGATTCCCAGGCTGCTGTTGTTGTTGCAGCAGCTGTGGTTGTTGGTTTTGTGGCTGATTCTGTTGAAGTGGTTGATGCTGTTGCTGCTGTTGAAGTTGTTGATTCTGTTGCTGTTGTTGTCTTTGCTGCATCATTTTTTGCATAAGAAGTCTCTGCTGCTCTCCTTGCATTGCACCACCAGGCATTGGCACCTGTCCAGGTTGCCCCTGAAGCTGACCCACTGCTGTCTGCTGCAACATAGTGGGCTGGATATTCAAGCCTTGCATGTCATGCTGTTGTCTTTGCTTCATCAACTGTAACTGGTAGTACTGTGCAGCCAACTGAGAACTTCCCTTCTGGTTCCTGGCATTGAAAACGTCCCAAAACACCTGCCACCACTCAAACAAAAACCCCTGTGGAGCATCCATGGCGATAGACAAGTTGGGCAAATTATTATCCTTTTGAAATTGCTGGTAGGTATTAGGGGTAGGAGGTGTAATATGAGGAGAGTTCTTCTGTGATTGACTCGTTGACGACGAATCTCCGTTGTTCTGCATCAGTGGTACTTCTGCCTCGTTGACGAAAATTCGGGCTGTTTGTGGTAATCTGCTCTTAACAAGGAAGTCATAAACATACGCATTAAGAAGCTGTTTCGTGTTCGTGGCTTGACTATCTGAAATACTCATACTCGAGTCGAGAATTGGTTTCACTCCGACTCCTCCACTCCCATTAGCCTCAGGGGCTAACGGTCCCGGAGTCTTCTTGTTCTGCAAGTGAGGTGTGCTATGGTGACTCATGGTACATATATATATATCTCTATATACATATATGTAAGTAATAATATGCGATATAGATATATATATGCAAATGAACCAGTCTGACGAAGCTACTGAGTGACACTTTGAAAAGAGAGAGAAAAATTGAATCCGATAAAAAAAAACAATAGGAGGGTCCTAACGGAAATGCCAGAAACAAACAGGGCCGATTTTGAGGATTTTTCTCGCTCAGTTAACTTCGATCGAAATGTTAAGACGTTCTGGGTTTTTTTCTTTTTTTTTTTTTCCTTTTTAGAGGGCTACTGGGGTGGACGATTTTTTTCTAGGGAGTGTTATGGGAGAAGATTAGGGGAGAAAAAACAAAAAATAAAAAGAGCAAGAAACGAGCCGCTAATTGGGGCTCGTTTAAGTAGTTATCCTGGAATAGAAGCAGAGCGTCTCGCTATCAGACCAACGCACTCCACGCTAGGTCTGGCGCAATTTGTCTTTGGCTGGATGCTAAGCGAAAATTCCACAGTGTAGAACACGAATAATCAGAAAATTCTATAGCTGCAAACGGATGAGAAGTACGATCGGAATGATTAGCTAATCTGTGAGTTCAGCCACTCAGAGTGCTACATGCCTGAATGATTATTGCGATGGGGTAGCATTTGGCACCCACTACCTACAGCACGTTCGCCTGGTGGGAAAGCTCATGAAGATCATTCTCTTGCAAAGCACACGGCATTATCTGGGCCAGGGCTTTCCTTAAATGAGGGAAGGAGTGTGTTTCATATGGGCCATGGTTTTGGTGTCAACCATGCAAAAAGAAATAAACGCCAGTAGCTCAATTTGGCATGTACCGGGCCACGACTGTTGGAGAGAAAGAGAAAGTGTGAGAGAGCGCGAGTGCTTGACAAAAAGACAATAGATTTGACATGCTTCTCCGTGTAGCAGAAGAATGGGCCTACATGATTGTCTTGAGTGCTTCTCTACATAACTTCCAGTCCCCGTCCAGTCCCCGTCCCGAACCCAGTCCTTGTCCAGTCCCCAGCAACTGGGGTTTCGACTGAGGGGAGCGAGCTTCAAGCGGAAAGCGACAAAGGGCGATTTGATTTTTTTCTTTTATTTTTCCTAGGCTAATCTTTCTTTTCTTTATCAGTGCCGCACGATATTAATTAATTTTCACGTATTGTGGCACTCGGTGCCAGAATCGAATAGATAACCAATCTGGAGCATGGAGAAGATTTCGTATCTCCACTTCCTCCCCTGAACACTCTGTAGGCATACTAGCTGGACGATTGCCTTCACACAGGAAGGATCCCAGAAAACCACTCAAAAGCTGCAGTACCAATTGGACCCAGTACTTACAGTCTGGCAATTGCCAGTGTCATTCACTCGCGTACTTTATTCTTCATTAGGCAATGGGTCATAGATTAATCTTGAAACTGCCAAACAAAAAAATAGACACAAAAAATAGACACAAAAAATAGACACAAAACAGCTGGCTCGAAACACACCCAGGAACCTTCCTGCACTGTCCCATAAGGGTATTCGTGGTAGGGCCCCAGACCAGCTTCCAAGAACCCTTCTATATCTACTACTCTACTCCCAATTATGCTACACTAATTTTCAACCCCATGTGGGCTCAAAACTGAAATTTGTGCGTGCGCTCTACCTGAAAAACTTTTATTTAGACGATCAGTATCATCATAATGCAACACTGAAGTAAAACTGAACTAAACACTATCAAAAACCTCCCAAACCTCTTGGAATGGCAATCCTGCCATTTTCTAAATTAATTACTTTTACATAACTTGTACACTTTTACACATTTCCTTTTTAAATAACTGTCCCATTCACAGTAGTCATCCCTCACCGTAATTTTTCTTTTTTTTTGCTGAACCAAGTCGAAAATTTTCATTCCATGTAATTCCTCAACCCCACACAGTGGTGATACCCTTCTCTCTATTGCCATTACCTGACCCCCAAATGTTCTGAGTATAGTTTGGCTGGAACTCAGTTGCAAACGGATCAAAAGTTGGCTTGGTCGAAACTTGCTTAGCAGAAATGTCCGTACCAATGGAGCCGGTGGAAACTGGCATATTTCCCGATGTAGCTGGGTAATATTGTTGAGAGTAGGTAGGCTCGAGCTGATGCTGGAGCTGATGCGGTTGCTGGTGCTGCTGGTGCTGCGAAAAGCTAAGTTGTTGTTCTTCCAACAGAATCATATGCTGCTGCTGTTGCTGACGATAATTCTGTTGCTGTGGGTTATACTGAAATCGTTGCTGTTGATATTCTGCTTGGTATGATTGTTGTTGTTGAAGTTGCAGCTTTGGCTTTTTCCTAGTGTTCATATACAAAATAGGCATATTTTGCAGCTCTATCCACCTTTTCTCGATAAGGTCCATTTGGTCTCCAAACGGTTCGGATGTTAGCTCCCTACGGGGATAGTTTACAGCCATGGTCGATAAATTCCTACAATACCATTGAAGAAAAGGAACCAATCCACGATATGCTTATTTTATTTTTCTCCCATTATTTTTTCACCAAGAATTTTCATTGCAGAGACTAAATGGGTATATAGGTTGATGATCCAAAAGGGAAACATGTGTGCAGGAAGGAACGCAATGATAGCCGCCGATATTGGGCCGCTCTCTTTGGCCGGAGGCTATGTGCAGGTCACGAACATAGTCCTACATGCAGAGCCCAGAGATCAAGAGGTCCCACTGCAACAACATGGTGGTAGAAGAGGTTGACATTCCACACTATCTCTGTAGTCATGCTGCCACTTATCTCGTGCTCACTTTCTCCCCGCAGGGCGTGCACTACACTACAAATCTCTACTCTCTTTATTACACAGTGCGCTATATGTTTTACTTTTCTCTTACTTACTATCACTGTACTGACTGCTTGCTATGCACCCCACTACACATCTCTATGCTCATTATTCTTTATTACATACTACTCTATCTCTTCTTTTTCTGCTTGATTTCTTCGTCCTTGCACCCGTGCAACTTCACTACGTTTGGATAGTCAGCTCTGTTGCCCTGGAAACCTTGAGACCAATCATAACTCATGGCATACGCAAAGATGGCTCCGCTCTTGTTGAAACATGTAGCAGGGATAGTGGCGTTCACCATAGGGAATGCCTTAAGTCTCTGCTTAGCATCTTTATCCCAGAAACAGAAAGTTCCATCACTTCCTGCGGTACTGAAAGTTCCGTAAATCGGGTGGAATGAAATCGAATTAACGGCATAGATGTGCGACTCATTGGAATTGGCTGAGGCGGACCTTAACGCTGATGAGTTTGTTCCATTACCAGGCCCACCTTGCCCTGGGGTCTTTCTATGACATCTGAAGGAGAATCCCAACTTGCTTTGCTCGTTATCGTCTATGTATTGTATGGCGCATCTTCCTTCAATGGAGCCAATGGCAAACCCGTTTCCTTGTGGGTAACAGCACACTGATCTGGTTTGCCATTTCAATGGCGACATTGTGTTCTTGAACACCTGCTGAGGCTGGTTCAAGTCTATTATACTTATTTGTCTTTCAGCGCAAGCAACCACAAGGAGCTTCTGAGATGAATCCATACTGTACACTCTTTCTTGTAACTGCAATGTAGTGACTGGTTGAGGGGAACGAGTGTCCCAGTAGCGTAATGTCTTATCCCACGATCCTGAAACCACTATAGGAGTATTTGTGGGCCCACATTCTACGTATCTGACTGCTCTCACTGGAGCATCGTGCATTCCAATGGTTGTTGACTGCTGAGATGCCAAGTCAAAAAGCTTCACTTGCTTGTCTGTACCTCCTGAGCAGACTCTAGTCCCATCGGGCGACCATCTTGCGGATAATACTGGGCCATCGTGTTCGAAAAGCGCTCTTCCCTGGTTTTGGCCCGAATTGGAGTCAATCTCATAGATACGGACCTTCTTGTCCCAACTTGCAACAGCTAGCAAGTCCTGCTGAGGTGAAAAGGACAAGTCGGATATAGAGTCTTCTGGAGGGTTATTCAACGTGATATCATTGATCAATTCCTGACCCGTGGATGCAGAGGGTGTTGTCGTAGACGACGAGTTCGTTAGAAAGGAAGACATGCCTGGTAGAGTCGTGATAAAGGGGTCTTCAGTTGTAAAGCTTGATGTTGTTAGTCCTGAAAAAAAAAATGCATTTGAAGATCAGCAAAAAAAAAAAAAAAAACATACTGAAGAGACTATATGCAGTACACGAACACAGGGTATACAGAACACCAGTTCATTAGCGATTGCAAACTGATTTCTGTAGCTACAGGCTGACACTAGAAGCCAAGAGGGTAGATTCGTCGAAAATAATTGCATTTTGTCAAGGTTGTGATTGTAATTGTATTTCCTGCTCAACGATATGTCTGTTGCTGTTAATTTTGCAGATGACATACCTGTGCTAACTTATACTCGACCTCTGGAGGTACGAGACGAATCAAGTTCGGGTTCGAGATCAGGATTGGGGTTTGAATCGGAGGCAGAGCCCCAGTTTCCTTCATCTCCGCTATCAAAGGTAGACGATCTGAAAGATTCAGGATTCACTTACATCAATTGGTCGAAATCGTCGACTCTACATGTTCAGTCAATCACTAACAAGTGGTCCGTCCTTATCATACTGTCGCTCTTGGTAGGCTACATAACTACCTTGATAGATTTGGCTGCAGTTTGGCTCAATGACTTGAAGAAGGGATTCTGTTTCAGTAAAATAGACAAATGGTCGTTGCTTTCACCCTATTCCACCTGCCCTACGGATGACTGGCACAACTGGTCACAAATCATATTTGGCTTGACGGGCATACCGTCTAACATATTCATCAACTTACCTATTTATTCGATATTCGCATTCATTTTCATTGCTGGAGCTTGCTACGTATCGAACAAGGCGCCTGAAATTAACTATTCAGGAATAGCCGAGATTAAGCTCATCATTGCTGGCCTCAACCACCAGGTACTGCAATACTTGGGGTTCCGTACTTTGGTCTACAAAACTATCGGGCTCGTTCTAGTTGTGAGTTCAGGACTCTGGTTAGGTAAAGAGGGCCCTCTTGTCCACGTTTCTTGCTGTATTTTGAACTTGGTATTCAACCTTGTGTATAGGCAGCAAGAAAATGATGAGTTTTTAAGAAGGGAGCTATTGAGTGCTGCTGGAGCTACCGGAATATCAGTTGCGTTCAATGCGCCGATTGGCGGAGTGTTATTTATGTTAGAGTCAGTGCAGTCGTACTTCATGCCCACTAAACTTATGTGGAATTCGTTTATTAGTGCAACGATTGCAGTTGTGGTGTTGACTAGTTTCAAGATTTTTACTGATGGAGAGAACTTCTTGGAGAGAGATTTATTTCTGGTTGAATTTGGGAACTTCAGTTGGTTATTCATAGAATTTATCCCCTTCACATTCCTTGGCGTATTGGGTGGATTTTACGGGTACTGGTTTACTAAACTACATGCAATATACTCCAGTTACGACATTAGGAGGAGAGTTAGAAATGTTTTGAGTAAACTTTTGAAATTGGATGTGGAGAAATATGGAAAATCCTTAGAGGTATTTCTCGTTTTGACTGTCACTATTGCTTTCAATTTCCCCTTTGAAATAACCAGATTACCTCTCCAGGCATACATGAAGTTGTTGTTTACTGATTGCCCTGAGGACGATGACCTGGATGGAAATCCAGCAATTGGAGCAGAAACCTTCATTTGCTCTTCATCAAATCTCTCCGTCTCATTCAAGCTTATATATATATTCATTCAAGGATTTGTTCTTTCTTCTTACACTTATGGATTGAGTCTTCCTGGGGGAGTTCTTATGCCTTCGTTGGCCTTGGGTGCAACAATTGGTCGTTTAATTGGAATTATTTCTCAATCCATACAAAATGGTATTGGTTGGGGAATCACTGAAGAATGTACCAAGAGTTCTTGTTTAGTTTCACCTTCAGCTTATGCCGTCGTAGGTGCTGCCTCATTTATGTCTGGTATAACTAAGCTTACAATGTGTGTGGTTGTAATAATATTCGAACTCACTGGTGCAGTCACGTACGTTCTACCAATTATGATTGCTGTGATGGTTCTGAAATTTGTGAACGACTGGCTCTGTAATGATAACATATATGATCATTGGTTAAAGAATAACTTTAATGTTTTCACCAGCCCTTCGTCCAGTTCTATTACAAATTCTGGAAAAGGTTCGGGTTTAAGTGATTTTGTGAATTCAACTTCAATTGTAAAGAGTAAACTTCCAGATATAATTACTCTGAGAATTATGATCCCGATTTCGAGAGTTAGATGTATCGAGTTAGTGAAGAGCTATTCGATAGAAGATTTGCAAAACCAATTTCTTAACGGAGACAATCACGAGGGATATCCAGTCATTGGAAGTTATCGTAATCCAGTTAGCCTTGGATATGTAAAGAAAGAAGAAATTCGCCGTCAAATTAGCCAACTACAATACGATAATGAGACAGAAATAAGCTTCCAAATAGGATCAGAGAGGCTACCAAACTCAGTGATTTCAGAGCAACTTCGTGATCTACAACAAAAAAGCCCAACATCCACCTCTGCAGATCCATATAAGAAGGTGAGTATTCAAATTGAAAAGTCTTTGATAACGTTACACGAGAAAACCCCTATTGTGACGTTGATTGAAATATTCGAAAAGCTTCATTTCAACTATGGAATAATATTGAAACTGGCTGACAATGACAACTTTGAAGGTGGAAACAGCAACGGAGATCAAATCATGAGTGGGTTCGTAGATCGATTCTTAATTTCGAAGCTTGTTAACCTGCAGTTCGAAGAGCTACACGATGACTTAGCTATTGCATCAGAATATGATCTAGACATCCTTTCTCTAGATAGGCAGAGTACAGAATTGATTACTTAGAGGATGATCAATGGACAAGATAATTCATGTACAATAAGTAAATATATGTACACGTATATCTACAAATACAAATACACACTCGTAAAATGTAAACGTATCGTAGAATATCCCAGAATTAACATTGAATTACTCTTTACTAAAGAATGTGTTGCATTTAGTTTATCAAGACATCGGTGTGGTTCTTAGCATCGCTTGTTTAAATTTCCCCAGTGTTAGTGAGATCAAAAAAAAAAATGAGCTTAGTTCTTTTCACAGAGAGCTACTGGCAAATCACTTAATAATGGGCCAACCTCCTCTATCGACAATCCTAATCGAGGATATTGCATTCAATGGTCCTGGAGAGTTCCTTTTTGGCATTGATCTACAGTTTTTCACTGTAAAAAATAAGTTCAGCGGAGTTAAGAATATTCCTCTGGGAATTCACTTGTTTCATTATGCAACCCCAGTATCAACTGAAAAGGGGACTGGTGAAAGCGTAGTAAGCAATTTGAGGTATGGGTTTTGGTTTGAATGTAAAGAAGGTGATATATTGGTTATAAAATGGGACCCGGAAAATGAGCTGTTTCGAAGAATATATAAAGATGAAATTAAAGACGAGGTGGTTCAGCTAGACTATTCGAAGGCTATCAGCGATCTAGGATCAAAATACACACTTATGATAAATTATCCGCAGAATGATAGCTTGAAACTATGGCAGGATAAACTTTCGGACCATATAGATGAAGAGATCTTGGAAGATTTGTTGGATAATACAAATTTGGAATTGAATACGATTACTGCTTCGAAACAAGAGAACGACTTACTAAAAGATGCGCTACTCAGAAAGCAGGACAATGGAAACCTTTCCAAAGAGTTAGATAGTCAGCCACAAATTAACTACACACCTATTACCTTCAAGCTTAATAAACCGTTCACTTCGGTAGAAGAGGTTACCTCAAATTATTTGGACAAGTCTTGGTATATTAGTGAGCATTATCCTGATAGAGAATTCCTTTTGGCAGAGCTCCAGGTTTCATTTATACATTATGTTGTCTTTGGAAATTATTGCTCCATGGTTCAATGGCTCAACTTGCTCAAAGTGCTACTGATGAGCGGTAAACTATTGCTCTCGTCGAAATCTTTCACATTTACTGTTCTAGGGATATTGAAAGCTCAACTTTCTCAACTACCTAAAGAATATCTCGTTGGAGGCGATTTGCAGAACCAATGTCTGATTGACCTAGAAGTGTACTGTGAAATCATGGAAAACTACATGGAATTGTTCAAGGTTTGGAACGTAGAACTTTGCTGTGGAAAGTTGAAATTACAAGGTATGATAAAGCAAGTCTGGGAAGAGATCTTGGACCTACAGAAACGGGAGTTTGGTTTAGACTTTAATGCTTTGAAAGCTGAGAAAGACCGCGAGATAGAAGATGAAGACGGTCCGGTGATAGTTGCTTATTCACAAGAATAGGTGATATAATGCATAAGGTTGTCGTTATACTGTCTGACCTTGAAAACTTAAAAAACTGTTCAAGCTGTTAATAGAGAGAGCTGGGATGAGCCCAGTGGGTGTATATTAGATCCATAGGTAAACCAAATTTTCAAGAAGTATCTCACTTGCACTCGGATTCGCTCACGAAAAATTCATTAAATCCAGCTAAATTTTTAAATACTCTCATTTAATTTGAAACTTTTGCAATCCATTAGACTTGACACCTCTGCTATATCTGATTGATTTTCAACATTGTGCTATTACTATATTGAATTATCTCTAAACTTTCATTTCATACTCTTTTCAACCATTATGCCTCTCTAACTTCTCTCCCTGAAGCATCCCCCAGACTGGTCTAACGGCCCGCCTAGTAAAATAATGTTCATTTGAACAGGTACACTACCTTTTGTTTGCGTGGTCTACTTAAACTGCTGAAGATTACCCAAAACACAACACGAATGGACAGGAGACTAAACCAGCATGCAAAGAATGACGATGTGAATGACGACAGTCATATCTGCTTCCGAAAAGAGGCAATTAGGCAGAACTTAAGTAAAAAATAATTCAAAATATACATTGTTAATATCAACTAACCAGTGCGATCTTTTCTGTGTTGAATCGCAATGACGCAAACATCCAAGGTGATTTCTTCTGATTTTCATATTGACTAGGCCTTTGTTTAGCGGAGAGTTTATATCAGATTGACTTCTAAGCAGCAACAGTCACACATATAACTTCATAACGATGTAGTCTCGAAAGTTGAACTCTGACAACTGAATCCACAAGCAAAAGCGGAAATGGTTGCACTCATGGCTATATGCAGAATTTGCAGCCAAGTAACTTTTTTAACACTTTGAATGATATCAACATCGGGTGTTGTTGTTTTAGTCATAAGACAATGTGAGGTATTTTGACTTGACTGTCTCATTACGGAGAAGAATTATGAAATAGAGTCTATCTAAACTTTGTAATTTAAAGCACTCCGAGGGCCATTATAAATTCCAATTATCCCAAAAAAGAATCTGGAAGAGAACGATATCAGAGCTACTTCCTGTAAGAAAAGTTCTTAGCACACAGAAGACAAGCTTCTTGTAAAAAATAACACTACTGTCAGTTTCATATATATTCTTGGGTATCCTATTTTTTGTTTTCGAGGGGAGCGATAACTTAGATCTCCATATTAATTCTATGGAGGCTAGGTCCATATTTTGTAGAACCTACAAATTTCGAAGGAGCCTAACAATACCACAGGAGGCCATTCATGATATATCTGAGTAGATTCTACATAGCTTGAAAACCGTCTAAGATAATCCTGGCCCTTGCTCTTCTTCTTCTTCTGCCAAAATGAATGGGCAGGCATCTAGCTTACTCGCTACATGAATTGAGTGTTGATATCATAGAATTCAGAACAGACTACCAGGTGCTAACACATGGTTAACTTTATGTATTTTGATTTTCCACTACATGGTCAACCTTCTATGGATTATGATGACACAACAAGCATCTACTTAACGTCATCTTTGCCCGTGAAGCACATGCATTCACATTAACAAAGAAATAATGATCCTATTTACAATTTATTTTATTTCCTTCTATGCCGATGTTTTCTTCCTAGGCTTCCTTTTCAAATTTTTATCAACAACTTTCCCAGCCGAGATGTCAAAGCCAGATTCTAGCAACTTCCCATATTCGAGTCTATATTTTTCTTTTTCGATTGGGGAAAACTTTTTCCATGATTCAGCTAATATGACCCTTCTACTAGAGCCTTCAGGAACAACTTCAATGGTTTTAGAATATTTCAGAAGATAATAGTTCCATGCCTTCACAGAACCGACATCTGGATATAATTTTTCGTTATCTTTAGGTGGCTCAAAGAGCAACTTGGCTGCCTTCTTTTCAAGGTTTGTTTCGGAGATCATACCAGTCAATTCCGTTGCTATGTTTTCATGTAATGTTGCCAAATAGTCTTTCATATCTTCAGAGTCAGCCCTTGCAAGTTTTTTAGGCTTACTCTTTGAAGGTAGTTTAGTGGTCGCAACCCAGGCATCGATTCCTGATTGAATTGATTTCCGTACTTCAGGTGAGATAGTAATAATGCCTGATTTCTTTATTTCTTTCAATTTTTCTGTGAATATTGGCTCTAGCTGAGGTAAAGTCCAATCTACAATGTTATAATCTTTTGCTACAACAAACCAACCACATTTAGTATACAACGGTACGAACTCATTGGGTTTCTGGCTCAATTCAGTTGAAAGAGGAAGTGCCCTTTTGGTGCGACCAGACCTAGGCTTCCCTTGACCGAGCAGACGAATTGGCACGTAGAACCCGAGCCTGGGATTCAAAATCCGTATTCTTGAGAGCATTTCTCTGAAATTGGTGGTTGCATATCTTGCAAGACTCTTCAAACAATGATCTATGTCTCATCTGATAACTCATCTGAATTTTTCAGGTCCTGCATGGTTTGTATCGCTGTGTCTAGCGAGTGGGTAGTGAGCGTGCAGCAGCTGGGGGACACCACCATGGACACAAAGTTTCTCCCTGCCTAGCGTCTTTTTTAGGGGCTCCAGCTCGGTGGAAATTTCTTTTTAGTTCTGGTTTTGTTTCTTTTTTTTTTTTTTTTTTTGTTTTCTGAAGCCCTCTAAGATGAGTCAAGAACAACTAGGGATCATATTCTAGATGCAAACTAGCCTTCAAATGGTAGACGTACAGCCATTCGGTAGATATTCCGAGTGATTTGAGTGTGCATTTAACACATCTACCGGGAAGTATGGAACAAACCCAGTGCATCTTACCACATATTTCCCTGACGCAACAGTCGCCTAATTAGCGTCTAGTCACATATATTTTTATAGATTGGCGCTGTATCTCACTATATTTTTTTGCCAGCTGATGCGGATAATCGGTCCGGAATAGTTCGTCGTAAATCTCACTGAAATTGGAGTTGGCAAGGGAAGGATCCCCAGCTGACAGGGGACCATAAGACCACGAGTACCCAGTCAAATAGGCTCCAAATAACTCTATCTAGTGTAATTGCGTACCTACATTAGCAAATCTCTGTTTTTTCTAGCCTAGCCTTTCTCTGCACAGCCAATGTAGAGATTTGCTGTTTCCTTTAACATAAATTATCTGTTTTTTTATTTTTTTTTGTGTTTTGTGCCCTTAAAATTCTTTTTTTTTTTTTTTTTTTTTTTTTTTTTTTGATTTTGATTTTCGTTCCAGTGCGGGCCTGATTTTTTCAACTTTGATGCCTATTATCCCTCGGGTTCCTTTAGAAGCACCCACTCTAGAGCCGTTCCTTGAACTATTTGTGCTTATTTTCGTAGTATAAAGACTTGCAGCATTCTTGTAAGAGATTGAATTCAGAACCAAAAAAAGAAAAAGCTGGAATAGTCGCTGTTTTCGATACACTTTGTGCATTCTATTGATAAACCACGATAGGGAAACTTAAACCTGGAGTAAAACGATGAACTCCCCTATATTCCCTCCTGCGCTGTTAACGGCTGCCGAAGACAATAATGAACGATCTTTCATACCGGTATTGCCTGAGAAGCCATTGGTTGCCACTGGATCCATCCAGGTGTTTGTAATACCTGCCGAGAAGAACCTATTCGTTGAAGGATTCCTGGCGGCAGAGTATGGAGATCGACCTCCCACTTTGCTTAGGGGCTGTTTGTACGTGCGAGTATTGAAGCCCACCAAAATCAAGACCATATCTCTTAACTTCAAAGGTATTCAGAGAACAGACTGGCCAGAAGGGATCCCGCCTAAGAAGAACAACTTTGCCGAACTCAATGACATCGTGAACCATACATGGCCGTTCTACAACCAACTTCAAGGAGCAGTGGTAAATGGTGGAGCAGATCATTACCAGGAATTGCCTAAATGCACCACTAGTAAGAATGGAACAGAAGTAGATATAAGTCACTTGAGTCTCTCTGAAACGCAGGCCAGATCCATGTCTCCGCTTCCCAGAACTGCCACTGATTCAAATGTCGCAGCGGCGGCTACCGGATTCGGGGAGTTCTTTGCCAGAACCATTTCCCTTTCGCCTGTGACTGCTGGGATAATGAGAAAGGCAACTACATCTAATGCGCCTTCTGGAAGGTCTTTATCTCCTAGTCCTTCCACCAATTCACTTACATCCTCGGCACTTAACGATCTTCACACCGTATCCACTGACAGTAGCGGGGTTGGACAATTCAATCCTGGTGATTATATTTATAATTTTGAACACCCTGTTCCTCCATCCACCCCTGAATCAGTTAAAGTGACATTTGGTGAGGTCTCATACCACTTAGATGTCAGCATTACACGTCCTGGTACGTTCAAGCTGAATTTACTGGGAAGGCTTCCCATCAATATTGTCAGAATTCCCTCTGAGGATAACTTAGAGGAAAATGAGCCAATCGTGATCTCTCGTGATTGGGAGGATCAATTGAAGTATGAAATTGTGATCGGTAGTAAATCTGTGGTTTTGGACTCCTATTTACCGTTAGCATTCAGATTTATCCCTTTATTTGGGAAAGTAGCATTGCATAGAATTAGAGTGTATTTGTCGGAGAATTTAGAATATTATTGCAATAATAAAAAGGTACACAGAATGGAACCGCCAAAGAAGTTCTTGTTGTTAGAACATAAAGCGTTGAAAGGAAAGTCGTTGTTATCTAAGGCTGGAGGGCTCGACCCCGATGGGACTGATATCCCGTTGACTATAGATGAGGAGGACGAAATCTTACCTCGTGAATTGGAATTTCAAGTGTTTATACCTCACAAATTGCAAGACCGGACAAATCATAAAATTCACCCAGATACTTCATTTGAAGTCATTCAATCACATCATTGGATAAAGATCTGTCTTCGTATATCAAGATTTGATCCTGAAAACCCAGAGAAGAGGAAACATTATGAGATTAGAATTGATTCGCCAATTAATATATTATCGCCATTATGTGTACATGCAAACACTTTGCTCCCGGAATATAATGAAATAGATAGATCCCTTGTCCCCGACAATAATGTTTTATCAATCGATGCAACTACCACACCACCTGTATCTCCTGGCGTGATCCCTGTTGGTGGTAGCGTTTTGAATAACAATTTCCTTCAGACAAATTCTCTTGATGCACTCATGGACCAAGATGGACGAACTGGAAGGTCATTCTTGACAGAGGCATCCGGAAATAGAAGTAGATCACGATCGAACAGCTCAAGTGTTCGTACTTTCCAGCATATTCAAACATCTGGGAATCAAGACGAACCAATTGAAAGAGACTATGATATGCACTTGGAGTCCAACTTGTACAAACCAAAGGATGATGGTGAGTCAATTTACAATTCACCACAGGCAATGCCATTTGAATCACCTGTTGGGTCGCCTATACAAAGACCAATTCATTTACTTAGAAAGCCATCTATAAACCCTCCGACATTCGATCTGATTTCTGGCCCACCTTTGATGACAAATCCTCCGCCTGAGTATGAAGTAGAGGATAGCGGAATTCATAGGAATGACTCCCAAGTCTTTGACGAGGAACTTAATACACCCGTGGATGAAGAGTTAGAAGTGAAAGAAGAGCATTTACTTAGAGGTAGAAGGAGAACTCAAACCGAGGGCGAGACTTTGGTAGAGGGAGGCACTTCGAAATCTAATACTGAGGAGAACGCTATTTCTTTTAAAGTAACCCAGCCGACCCCGATTGAGAGACTGCCACAACAACTTCCACTTGTACCCAGCCAAGTTACTCCATCCATAGATGATGCCATGAATGCTGAAGGCCTTGGGAAAGATTTGGAACAGGACATTGTTGATGGATTCAAGTCGGTACATGGCCCTGTCGCTATCAATCCGGAAAACTTCAATTTACTGCCTAAACTTCGTGCAGTAGGCTCAAGATCTAGATCCACTTCGCCAAGCAGAACGAATGGGGATCAAAGATATAGTTACGACTCTTCTAGAAGATCTTCTATTACATCTACAACGTCATTGAATTCGTCGGTTGGAATGGCTCCACTTATCGAAAGAACACCTTTGTTAAACGAATCATCGGCTTCACTTGAGCATACTACCTCTCTGACCAGTCAGTTTAATGTAGCTGGAAGAAATACCTCGATAATTTCATTATTGCAAGCACATGGCGGTGTAGGAGGTTCTGTCCCCGTCCCTTCTGGAATTGCTGCTAAGAAAATGAGCTTTGGATTAGCGGATTTAAATGATGATATTTATAAAGTCAATGGAAATTTACTACTGCTAAGAAACCCAAGGATAAAGAAGCACTATCAAGATAGTGAACTCGCTAATGGGTCAGATGAAGAATTCGAGCCTCCTGCAACCACGCAAAAATCACGCCAGAAGAGCTTTGGTGTGGTGAATATGAACCATAAACCTATGAATAACACTTCCAATTCGAATTCCAATTCAAACTCATCTGAAAGTGATAATACTAGCACTGAAGATGCAGAGCAATCTACAACTACGTTTGCATACAAAGAAGAAACGCCTCAAAAAGTGACAGGCCTAAATTTGAACTACATTATAGAGTAGATTGATGTCAGGCAAATCTGTTTCACAAAAAATAGTTTATGCATTAAAACCTAATACAAAATTATAATGACAGACTTTTATGTAAATTAAATATAGTCTAAGGTGTAACTGTACGATACATCATGCTTTAACCGTAGCCTTCTCGGTAACACCCACCTTTTCATCGGACTTCTTGGTGTCGATATCTTCCAACCATTCGTAAAATACTCCTAAATCACGATTTGCTAGTTTCTCACTTTCACAAGCTTTGTTGTACCAAAAGCGACCAACATCTCCTAAAAACAATGGTCTGTTGTTTTTTTCAGCGCAGGACGTTGCCAAAACCAAATCTTTTCTAGTAAGTTTCGTGGTAAACCCTCCTTCGTAGCCAATGTCAGCTGGCAATTGTTTCTCCAGTGGATAAGCACCTGGGATGGGGCAATTGTCGACGGCAGCCCAGCATTTTCCAGTGGAGACTGAAACTAACTTGGCGTATGCTTTAAGATCTAAACCAAATGATTTAGCTAACTGGAAAGAATCTGCCACAGCTAAGTTAGTGACAGCTAATAAATAATTGTTTGAAAGCTTTGCAGCTAAGCCAGTTCCATGGGAGGCTCCACAAGGGAAAATGTTTGCACCCATTTTTTTTAATAGAGTTAATAATTTAGGAGAGATATCGTCCATGGATCCTCTAGAAAGCATAAACAGGAGAGTCCCCTTTCTGGCGCCTGCAACTCCTCCCGAAACCGGAGTATCTATGAAATCAAATTCAGGAACTTGTTGCTTGACATACTCATGTATTTCTCTTGAAGTCTGAATGTCGATGGTGGAAGAGTCAAGGAACACTGTGGGGTGGAAGTTTTTAGAGGGTGTCACTTGCTTATACGCTTCTACAAGTGCACTGACAACTCCTGAGACATGACTACCTTCCGGTACCATGGTAACGACGTAATCCAAGGGCTCTTCAACTGTGCTGACCAAATCAGTGAGCTGGTCGACCTTAAACAACTGATGCGCATGGTCTGGAAATGCATCCTTGTTCGTTCTCACAAAGGTGTCTGAAGCAGCACCAACAGTATCATAAACAAAGAGCTTATCCACTGGCTCTAATTTCTCATAAATATGTCTAGCCATATGCTGGCCCATTTGCCCTAATCCCACAAACCCGTAATTTACGAGGACCCTTGATGAGGTACTGAAGTTTCTGGCTAATCCAAATGATCTGAGCATGATATTTCTTTTCAATATTTGTGGTGTTATACAAGTGGTGTGCTATAAAATAGTAAGTAGTAATACAACAACTTTGTTTTCTTTTCTCTGTTTTTTTTTATTCCTTTTCTTTACGTTTAGGACAGATCCATTCTCTATGACCTCAGTCTATTTCTTCCCTCTTTTTTGCCTTTAAAGTTTACTTCGATGTTCATAGCTCATGCTTTATATACTGAAAATTTACCCCACATTTTTAAACTTTTTTTTTTTTTTTCCCAATTTGCGTAGAGCATATGGAACAGTCACTGAGTATCCGGATGAAAATCCCAGCCCCTCCTTCATCTGATTAGGGTCACCTGATCGCTAAAAAGTTAAGGTTATTTCTTATTTATGGAGAGATCAACAAAACGGATGCTGGATGGGCTCGGGGCTAAAGAAGAGTTGATGGGCGGCGCGACTGAAGCATTCCACGGATGGTGAGGGCATTGCATTGTATACAAAATGAGTAAAATAGTATAGCGACCGAGAAATGCACCAGTATGCAGAGCGTACTGAATGACAGAAGGATAGCACGAGGAGAGGGGGGCCTACTAAAGCCCTTTGAGTTTGGACACTAGGCAGATAGAGCTACGCTTACTTTTTTCTCCCCTTTATCCGATTTCTAGAGCGGTTCACACTGCGCTCAGTACATCTTAATCTTGATCTCGATCCATGGGGTTTAACTTTAGGTTGCCATTTTGGGCATCCTCCCAAGTTCGCTATTTTCCGCTTCCGATGCCCTTCTCTCCAATGCCATCTCGCTCGCTTACTTGTGCCTATTTTGCGAGAGCGATCTGCGGAATTCATGCCTAAAGTTACCGATTGGTGCCACAAAATCACCAGCATTGGAAAACCACACCTTAGTCATATAAAGCAGAGGTATCGGAAGGAAATAGGGCTAGTGTAGCAATATAGAAAGAGTCTAGTACAGTAGAAATGACAGAATTAGACGCCTCTTCTTCGCAGACTCCCAAAAAGACCACTTTTGGCTTACCTCGCCCTAAGGCCGCCTACTACCCACATCCTGGCTCTCCACTTTACGCTGATAAGGAATTGTACACTGGAATTTCAAAGGCCCCAAAGACCCACGTAAAAACTTACAGATGTGAGCCTAGATCGGGAATTGCAGTTAAAATTCCTGCTAGATCCGTCTTCAGAATTACTACCCCGGAAGGTCCACAAGTTTGTGATTTAAACATTTGGAATGCACACAACCCAAGAGAAAGATTCTGGGCTGCTAGAACAAGACAGATGCACTCAGCACATGTCTCCACATTTGATCGTTTATGGTCCAACTTACCATACTTAAGACCGTTGGTAACCATCACCGACGACACTTTACTGGCCCGCCACGATGAATGGGGTGGAAGAGTGCACGATACCTTGGGTACTAGGTGTGATCCATACGTAGACAAGCTCCTCTCTGGAGAAGACAACGACTTACATTGTCATCTGAATTTAACTCGTGCTGTTTTACCTTACGGATTGACTGAGTTTGACGTCCATGATGTCTTAAATGTTTTCCAAGTCACCGGATTAAATGAATACGATCAGTACTTTATGGAAACTTGCCCTGCTACCAAGTCCGACTACTTTGAATTGTTTGCAGAACAAGATCTTTTGGTGGCCATCAGTGCTTGTCCAGGTGGAGATTTGTCTCAATGGGGATGGGGAGAATCTGAAGGAGACGAGCTGAAGATGATTGACTGCTGCAGACCATTGGAAATTGAGGTTTACTCGTTGGATGATGAAGAATCCGCTTTAAAGGGCTGGGAAGCACCAAAGGTTGTTGATTACAAGGGTAACCATGGTTTAAAGGGACCACAATAGAGGGTGCAATATAATTTGTGAATATATATATATATATATATATATATATGTATACATATGTATTAATCTATGTCTAGAAGAAAGTCTATTTGGTAAGATATTCTATGTACAAGCGTTGACAAAAAAGATATGACGTTAACTAGTTCCATCTATACTCTCTCCAATCCAATCGCTGATCATATCGTTGATGATAAACCCAGCTACTCCACTTCCTGTGTATTTTAATCTTTCCCCCACAGCTTGATCCTTCCCTTGCTGGATAACTTGGTCGAGATATTCGAAACTTGATTGGATCTTTTCCTTGGAAAGGATGCCGGTATCGTCTTCCGGGAAGGCCAATTCAAAGCCTTCAATCACGGCATTCTTGTCTACGTTAAACTTTATAGAAAACTTGAACTTCTCGTTGGTTAAAGTATGAGCGAACTTTGGAGTGTTTCCATAGATCCAGCCCCATTTCTTCAAGCTTTCAGCCTCATCTATTATGGATTGTGGAAGGGTGACATTGGAATCTATGACAAACGTGGGTATTGAAAGAGTGGATACTGGCGTTGAACTCGACTGGGCAAAGTCAGACAAGTTAAACATTTCATTGAAACTATCAATCTCCGAAGGCTCTTCCTCAGAGACTTCTTTTTTAGATTCAGCAGGCCCCTTAGGATTTTCAAGTAGCTCCTCATCTCTGGTCACCATATTACCAAACCCTTTGGTCACTATCTCAATAAACGTTTCATTGCTTAAGCCTATGTTTGCAACCTTGGATTTGACAGAGCTAATTGAGTTCATTGCATCTACAACCCCCAACTTTTCCTCATCTCTATGAAGCAATTGGCCAAGAATATCGAGCCTCAGATTAAGCAACATGGTTCCGTGGTGATAAGACTTCCCTTTGGAAACCTTGTAGGCAGACCCACTCACTTTTAACGAATCTACATCAGTCACTATATCGCCTCTCTCATTTACTTTCAATTTGACTGCGGACGAGTCTTTATCTGCATTGACGGAGTCTACTACCACGTTAGCGAAGGTGAATCTGTCAAACTGGTGCTTTGATGTCATAAATGAAAAATTCACATTGCCGTTATCGTGGACTACAGTCCCACCACCGGATTTCCTCCTAACCAATGGGATGCGTAGGGACGTCAATAGTGGCAAGTTGACTTCCTTCCAGGGGTTTTGATTCTTCCCTATAACCACACAGGGAGAGTTGACGTAGAACATTAGTCTATTAAATGTTGCCTTCTTGTCCTGGGTGTTTTTAAAGGGCATATTGTTGTAGATGTAATCTTCAATCGCGAGATTGAGGAACGGGTTGGACAACTTAGATACTACAGCAAGCGGGGACCTTATTTTAGATATGGCCTCGAGATCTCTGTGTCCAGATGGCTGTACATGCTCTTGAACTGAATCAGAAGCTGAAACTGCAGTTTCAATATTCTTAAGCTGCTTACGAGTTTGTTCTGTTGGCTCGTAGTGCTTGAAATCTTCCAAGCCAAACGCTTCGTCTTCCAAAGGATCCAAATCATCCTGGAAGGGAACACTACCCAAACGGCGGATGTACCTTTTACCACATCGTACGGGATACTGAGCCAATAACCTAAGGAGCAACATACTGCAAATGTGAACCAACTGACTCGAAATACCAACAACTACCTGATCTACTGAACTACTGTGGAACCATCAGCACCCACAGAAGTGAGAAAGTGAAAAATCCAAAAATAAATAAAAAAAAAAAAAAAATCAATCAAGTTCAGATTGCAAGACAAGAGCTTCTTTATACCAACATTGTCCGTAATGAACAATAATAAACTCGAGAAGCACCTCCTAAGCCGATGCTACTCGTCGGAGGCCAAAGTGCTAGAAGTTCTCTCCTCCAGATACTCCATAAGTGGAGATCAGAAACCGAGCCTCATCCTTACACCAACAGGCTCTACCTCATCAGAGAGAGCGCCATCTACATCACTACTCCATACAAAGAGCACGGACAAAGTGACCAAACCAGCTTCTAAAACTGTGAGCACTAGACTTGAATTGAAGAAATATATATCTACCACCCTCAACAAGCAACGTAAGCTTATCAAGATGATCAACCAAAGCAAGCGTACATCATCGCCTAGCACAGCATTTATAACCAAGAAGCTTTCGCAGTACGAGATACCGAAGTTCGAAGAGTTTACCGGGCTAAACAGTCTATGGCAGGAGTACATGAACAATCTTCTATTCCCGGCCTCATCGCATCAGCAGCACCAGCTTAAACTACCATCGTTGGCCATGTTGTTGCCCAAGCTAACCAGTGCAGACTACACTGGGTGCTTGTTGACAGTCTTACAGGCCAAGAACACACAGTTGGTGGGAATGAGAGGTATTGTGGTGTGGGACACACAGTATCTGTTCATACTATGCATTCCAAGGGACCAGGATTCTAAAGAATACACTGAATCCGTGGAGAACTTGACAGAACTTACGGCATCTACACGGGTAGGAGGGTTAAAGGCTATACCGAAAAAGGGTTGTATATTTGGATTCGATGTGATTACAGACGAATCGAAAGACGAATGCTTGTCATTCAACATTATAGGCTCTAGATTTGAATTCAGGAATGTCGACAGATCGTCCAAGAAATTCAAAAACCACAACGTGAACGACTTGTTGTAGGCCGTCGTTACCATCAGTTCGTGGTAGAGCACGCTCTTCGGCTGTGGGGCACTCTACTGCGAAACATCTAGAAGCACTATTATGAAACACGTAGATAGCTACCACGCAATACATAGACAAGCTGCTATGAAGGCTATAGTAAAGCCACGACGTACAAGTATACTCAACGAAGTTTACACTCCGTTCCGGAAGTTGACATAAGTGCCACTATATCTTAGGCGTATAATTATATAGAATGCAAACATCGGCTCGGCTCTTCCTTAATGTATGTCGTTGTGTATAATACAGATATGGCCACTTCTAAATTGTATGTAGTTGACCATGGTCAGCAAGTACTGGTAGATGTGTAGGGATTTGTCCACTTGAGCAATTTTCATCCCACAGCACTGAATCTTGCTACCACTGCTTTCAACTGGTTTGAAAGCAAACTGTTCTTCCCATCCAACTCACCCAATAGCACATTGATATTTGTGACCAAGGAAGCCTTTTCTTCCTGGCTGACGGGCACATCTGAAGCTAGCAACAAATTGATCTCCCGCTCAAGGGCAGAAGTGTTGATTTCTACATCTTCTTCGTCTTTTCCTCCAATAATGGTCTTAATGCTGCTGGAATCGTCACTCGGTACGTCGATTGACTTCTCAACCAAATCTTCGAACTTTGAGTTGAAGTAAGATACATCAGTGTCCACAAACGATATGAGTTCCTGGAATGTTGCTTCAAGATTCTTCCCGTCTACCACTTTATTGTGTAAATTAATCCCCTGGCCGAACTGGCCAATGTTGCTGCTGCTGGTGGTGCTCTTACTCTTGTGGTTGGCAAGGCTACCCAAGATTTCGCTTAGCTTAATAAGCTCATAGTAATTATCGTATATGATCGACTTCTTTTCAGAATCGTGCGAGTTGAGATTGTGAGCTATGGAGTTCCTGAGCTTGAGAATGTCATGAATGGAGTTCGAATTAAGGTAGCTGGACAACTTTTCAGGGCTGTTCAACAATTCAAGCGAGTTTTCGGTGGTCACAGTCACTGGGTCAAGCAGTTCACTGGCTACAGTTCCACCTTCTTGCTTCTGCTTTTCCTTTTCCTTTTCTTCCTTCTCCTTCAATTCCGCTTGTAGATGATAGAATTCCTGCAATTTCTTTCTTCCCGCCAGAACCTTACGGTTTGCAGGTGCCAGCAATGTTCCTCCAGCTGGTAGAGTAGTAGGAGATTGCGAAGATTGGCTGGCAGTTGAGTGTGGCGCTTCCTCAGCAGCTCTGCTGCCTGGTTTTTTGTATGATAATACTCCGTCGGACATGTCGATAATGGAGAGCTACAATCCAATCTGAAAAAGAACCAATTGGCCGGTCTACTGTCTAGGAATAAACATGTTGTGCCCGTCCAGCGCCAGATCGAACTATGTGGAAAACATATACGCAAGGTGGACTACATGCAGGACACATACATCAAGTGGTTTGGGCCCACCCATTGGGGACAGAAAGGCCGTGGAATTGGCCTGCTCGCGGCCTGGCGTGGCCAGGGTATGAGCTGGGTCTGTTACGTGTCCGATTACTTTCATTATCTATATAAACCGTATATATGTTTTGTATGTTCTCCTGTGTATCATTTTCTCTTTGGCCCTGACTTGGTCTCACTGGTGTATCCATGAGTCCAAGTACACCATGTCCTCGGCACCCTCATCCTCTTCCTGAACAACCACCGAGTTGTTCTCAAATATGGAGAACGACGGGTTTTCAAAGACAGACTTCATATCTGCATACTTGGAGCCTTCCTCCAAGTAGGACCTACCGTAGCCTGCTTCCAACACAGATTGCCATGTTGCCTTGTACGTATCCATGGTTCCGTTGATTAGCTCTAGCTTATCGTCATATACTAGCACTTCACACAAAGATCTGATATCCCCAATCCCCAACTCTATATTAGTGATCTTATTCGAGGTGATGAACTCCATGGCAGCATCCAAGTTGACGTATCCAGTGTGGTTGGCAGGGTAAGATGACTGTACGACATTGACGTTGGAAGAGGGCGGCTGGAATGCATATGGGAACGTCTTGGAGGCAATGTATCTCCAAATAACTGTCAACAACGAGTCGATGAACTCGGTATCCAACTCGTTATCAGTGAACCACGGTCCACCAGTGACTTCTATGGAGGGCTGCAAGTTGTACAACATATATATCTTTCTGGTTGGATTCTTGACGGACTTGATAGATTTGATGAACCTTTGGCTTTCAAGAGACTTCAAGCACTTGAGAACCACATGCTGATGCAAATTAGTCTTCGCTCTGATGGTCTTGGTCCATATCCCTTCTCTGCCTGAGGCTTCTATGTATGAGTAGACCATCACCTCGTCGTTAGACATGGCGGAGATTTTGTTGGCCTCAGCGACTGCCTTGGCCTGGAATTTCAATATGTCGCCCTGCTTCATAAGCTTCACCAAGTTACTATTCACAAGTTCTTGCGCTAAGGTCATGAACTCCACTGGGCTAGTGATATTCACCATCTCTTGAAGCTGTTCCTGGTCGAAGAGGTGCGACGGAGCGTACTCCAACATTTTGGAGTGCAACTTCTGTGCATTTTCGGAGACATTCATCTTACAGACTAGCAGCAGAGGAGCAAGACTAGACAGATAGGTAAGCGACTGAACTGGACTGATGAGCAAGAAGAACGAAGTTGGCAACATTTTTAACTGCCCTGGCGTAAGAGTGAAAAATTCCCGTAAAAACGCCAGTATGCAGGAATCTCATCTACTCAGTTTTTGGAGGGTGCGCTGAGCTCATTGAAAGCGGTGTACTTGGGTGCGAGGAGAAGGGCTTTGATTGGATGGAAGCGACTTCATAATACGAGTATGGATATTGACTTAGAGGGAATTGATACACAGCCAGTGAAAAAGCCAATATTTAAGAAAAAAAGGATACTAGGTAGAGATAAAAGGATCAAGGCTGGCCATGGGAGCCACGACACCTCTGATAATGATACAGGAAACGACGATGTGAGCGATGAACAACTAGGGGCCGAACTTAAAGATAAATTAAAGCCCTTATCCAACTGGAAAAGAGCAGGTGGGTTCAGGACGTTGAAAAAGTTGAAAGTGGACCATTTTAGTTCTGAACCAAGGGCCATCTCCAATGACTCAGCTGCTGTAGTAAACGATGATATGGATCTGGATTCGGGACTGCATACAATGGTGCTGGCACCACTGCTCTTGCTGCTGCATATAAGCCCGCTTCCCATTGCTAACAGCATTGAAGAGGATCCGGGGACCCAATTCAATATACAAGAGAGGGTTTTTGCTCCTCCTGCTGACATATACGATCTTGATCTACCTATTGATCAAGAGGACGAGGGCGGAGAAAGGGAGGGAACTGGCGTGGAGAACGCTAATCTTGTCATAAAACCGCTTCTGGAGCAAATAGAATTTCTTCAAGACCACATTTTTGTTTTGAAAGACAAGCAGTCTGATGCTGAATCCAAGATCAGCAATTTGAGAAGCCGAATTATAGAAGTTAAAGCAAAGAAACTAGAAGTATTGAAAGTGTTCCAGAGTTAGAAGGGGAAGGCCCTGATGTGATCCATCTGAACGTTACACAAAACGATCCGATTCGAGACCGCGCTAAAATTTTTCAATTACCCAATTGAGTGACTCACTGAACTGAAAAAGTGCTATATATATACTACTTATCATCTTGAACCACTTTAAAAGTCATACTAGAAACTGTCTTGGCTAGTTTATTTTCTTTCTAAGTTCTAATATAATCTAATTAACTCAATTTACACCTCGCAGTTCAATTAAAATGCTTCTTTCTAAAAACGCTTTCTCCCAAGTATCCAAGTACTCATCGAGCGTGGTGAATCAATTTTCCACTTCAGCAGTTGCTACTGCCCCTAAACCTCGTCACTTGGTAAGCATGCTTGAATTATCATCTGAAGAACTTGCCAACTTGGTTTCAAAAGCTGGTGCCTTCAAGGCTCAAGTTCGTTCTGGTGAACCTACTCCAGTGGAACAACACCAAAAGCTCTTAGGAAAACTTGCTGCACTCGTATTTTCCAAGAGATCCACCCGTACTAGAATCTCCACCGAAGGTGCTGTCTCATACTTTGGAGGACAACCAATGTTTTTAGGAAAGGACGATATCCAACTTGGAGTCAATGAATCCTTCTATGATACTACCAGAGTTGTCTCTCTGATGACTTCTTGTATCTTTGCTCGTGTTGACAAGCACCTGGAAATCCAAGAGCTATGCGCACATTCTTCTGTCCCAATTATCAATTCATTATGTGACAAGTATCACCCATTGCAGGCCATTGCTGATATCTTAACCATCAAAGAAGCATTTGGAGGTGAAACCCAAGGATTGAAGTTGGCTTGGATTGGTGACTCTAACAATGTCATAAATGACTTGGCTATTGCTTGTGTTAAGTCCGGTATCAATGTATCCATATCAATTCCAAAGGGAATCGAGTTTGATCCTGAGATTGCAGCAAAGGCCGCCGAAATTGCTAACGAGAACCTTGGTACTTTTGAAATTGTCAACGACCCACAAGATGCTTTACCTGGTGCTGATATCATCGTCACCGATACTTGGATTTCAATGGGTGAAGAAGCTCAAAAGGAAGCCAAGTTGAAACAATTTGCAGGCTACCAAATCGACCAAAAGATGATTGCCAACGGTAAAGCCAGTGCTAACTGGAAATTTATGCATTGCTTACCAAGACATCAAGAAGAAGTCGCTGATGATGTATTTTATGATGAATCCAGATCGTTGGTCTTCGAAGAAGCTGAAAACAGATTGTATGCTGCCATGGCTGCAATCGAAGGGTTTGTTAATAACAAAGGTGATTTATTGAAATAGTAAAAAGTTTGAAAAAAAAATAATTAATCAAAAAGAGACATACAAAAACTAAGTGTAATCTCGCAAATGAAAATAAATAAGTATGAGTTTATATCCATTGCTGTAAGGTGTTTTCGCGAATTGTATACATGTTCTCTGGTCTAGTACTGATCACACTGAGGTTCTCTCAGTTAGTCCATGTGCATTTTTTGACAATCCTGCATAAGACTGAAAAATTTAAGCTCATCTCTGTTAACAGTGATCTACTGTTACTTCCTGTGGTCGATCCTTACGCAGTATGAGCCGATTTAATCAAGTGTCCTCTGTTCAAGAGTCCAAATTCAAACCTCTTGAACACTATGGCGCTGTTACTGCTTTAAAAATTTACAAAAACTACATTATTGCTGGGTATGGACCAACTTTGAAGATCTTCGACTCTTCGCTGAATTTCTTGCTAATTTTCAGCAGACAAATCTTCGGAAGGAACAAAATCCATTCGATATCTGTGTCAGGCAGTGATAATGAGCTGATATTTATTGCTGGAGGTAGATCTTTTGCAATTTTAAATTTGAATAATCTCGAGGATATTGATGCTAGCGAGACAATAGAGCACGCTATCAATGAATGGATTGTGTGCGGCCAATTTCTTGACCAGAATACCCTTTTAGTCTTAACTGCCCATAATATCATTTTCAAGATTAATCCGGAAACATTTGAGTTCATTGAAAAGATACACTGTAACGAAAAATCCATCTTATATAGTGGATCTATCCGTATAACTGATTCTGGCCAAGTCATCATAGCTGCCGGGACAGTAATGAGTGGGGTTTTAATTTGGGATTATCATTCAAGGAGAGTCTTGTACAATTTGACAGACCACGAAGGTTCAATCTTTGGAGTTAAAATTGATCCTTCAGCCAATTTCATTATCTCTTGTTCTGACGACAGGTCGATCAAATTGTATGATTTCCATACTGGGAAGCTTTTAAGCACAGGATGGGGCCATGGTTCCAGAATTTGGAATTTAGAGTTCTGTACTGAAATAAACGGTACATTGAGATTATTCAGTACTGGAGAGGACTGCACTGCCAGATTATGGGAGTATTCTGGATCGGAATCATTAAAACTTGTAAGTGTAATGGACTGCCATCTTGGTAAGCACGTTTGGTCCGGTGATATTGACGATAAGTCATTAGAACTTTGCGTAACTGGAGGTGCTGATGGGAGAATCATTATCCATGATCTTTCGGCAAAGACTTCGACCATTAACTCTGTAACTTCTAGCCACACAATGGATGACATTGCTAAGCAAACAGGTGCAACATTCGAGAAGAAGGAGTTGATTAAACAATACTCTGAATTACCTCTCTTGAACATTCTTGTTATCTTGACATCCAAGGGAAAGATATTCACTTTAAACCAAACGTCACAAAAATGGTCCAAATGTGAAACACCCCAATCGACGGAGAAATTAGGAGACTTTGGTCTTATGAAAAGCTTCCCCGAGTCTAATGCTGTTGTTGCTACTTCAAGAAATGGAGATATCTTAGTAATGAACTTTGAAGGAAGCAATGTCCTGAAGAACTACTGGATTGAAGATGAATACCTCTTAGGCAATAAAGTTGCAAATCTCATAATTGAATCCAATTTAGCCAAAAATGAATACTATGTGTTAATAGATTGTCCTAACCCAAAGTCTCCATTAGTACTTAGAACATTCAAGCTCGATGAGGGAACATTTAAGCTTCTGTCGACTAATCTTTTACAACAGCCAGATCAACTGAGCTTTACTACAACTTGCATGTGGAAAGATGAAGTCAACAATTGGCTTTTATTAGGTTCAAGATATGTCAGTGTTGCCATTTATGACTTGGATAGTGAAAAAAATAAAGATGGCCATATTAATTTGGGTCAAATTTTCAAGAAATTATCCATCGGAGATACAATTACATCAGTATCTATAATATCAACCAAAAAGGAAGCTGTTCGGTTCTTGATGACTGTCAGAGATGGTGTATATATGTACATTGATATTGTATTCGAAAATGGCGACTTTCAGTTAAACATTATTCATCACAACAAAATTTCCAGAGGATTCGTGGAAGGAGGTTTTATAGAAAATAATGATTTAATCTTATACGGGTTCAGATCTTCGTATTTTTACGTATTCAATGAATCACAGCAACTAGAAATAACTAATGAACTATGTGGTGGTGCCCACAGACAATGGGAATTTTTAAGGTACAAGGAATGTGATCCTCTAGATTTTAAATTTATCTACATCAATAAATCTACCCTTCATATCAAATGCTTCCAGAACAGATTTCACAAGGTGGCAGGTGTCACAGGAGGAAACATTATAAATTATGGAACCCATGGAAGAGAAATCAGGGATGTCTCAGTTTCGCCGGCTTATCAGAGTAATAATTCTGATTCAACAAGACTCATAATGACCGCTTCCGAAGATACAATTGTTAGACTTGGAAGGATTCATTTTAATGGTAAAATTGAATCCTTCTGGTGTCTCAATGGACATATCTCTGGTTTGCAAAAAGTCAAGTTTTTTACTAGAGAATATGCTGCAAGTTCCGCTGCTAATGAAGAATTTTGCTTATGGAAAATAAATGAATCTGGTGATATTCCTTTAGTAGTGGAATTTGCAAGACTCAAACCAAGCTCAAGCAATCCTGACTTAAGAATTATGGATTTTGATGCAATTCCTCAGTTTGATGAAGGAGGACAAGTTATAGGATTTATTTTATGTACGGTCTATTCCGATTCAAATATCAAAGTATGGTTCTTTGATGTGAGCAAAAAATCTTTCGATCTTTTAGTGGTAGGAAACTATACAACTTGTTGTATTTTGAATGTACACTTCTTAACTATTGAAGAAAAGACATTCATCATGATTGGAGCAACTGATGGTCATATTGCATTATGGGATATTGGAAATCTGATAACTGCAAGAACTTCAACGTGCGATACTTTAGGAAATCCAATTATTAAACAGCAACTTCATCAGTCTGGTATCAAAGCTGTTCTATTATTAAACAAAAAGGATAATGATTATTCAATCGTAACAGGGGGAGATGATAATGCCTTAATCTTGTCAAAATTAACTTATAGAAGCGAGGAAGATGGATTCTTATTAGAAACTGAATCATTTATAGAGAGGGCTGCATCTGCAACCATTACATCTATCTCAAAGTTAGATGAATCGAATGTAATCGTCACATCAGTAGATCAAATTGTCAGAAGGTGGGCAATACAAGAAGACTCGAGTTTAAAGTGTATATCAGCTCGTTATACCACAATAGCTGATACAGGTTGCAGCGACGTCGCACATTTCGGTGGTAAGAGCATTGCTGTTATTGGAGGTGCTGGTTTGAGCTCGTGGGAATGTAAATAGAATTATAAAATATAGAATTAAAGATTAATTCAATTCAGTTAATTCTTTTAACATTAATAATCATTTATCGTACCTCTTCTTATCGGACCTACAATGAATAATTTTCTTTTCTTTTTTTTTTTTTTTTTTAATTATATTTATAGCTATACAACATAGTCTAGGGCCAGTAATGGATCATTAGCTAAGTCGACAAACGACTCGCATCTGAGATCTGCTTCAAAATTCACACATTCAAGAGTAGGTGGATGGGCTACATTAGCAAACAAAACGAGCCCATACTCTTCATACTTTCCATCGGAGCTTATAATCCTTTCCCACATTTCTTCACTTTCAAAACTGTTACTATTACTTCTATAGGCTACCTTACGCATTCTTGCGTTTGGGAAAGAAATATAATTGATCTTTGCAAACACCTGTAGTCTATTCCCTTGTGGGTAAGTGCAACTTATGCTAAATGAATTAGAAACCAGAATGTCAACTGTATCTATACCAGTATTTAACGAAATTCCAGCAATGACAACACCCCACCTTACCCATCTTGAAATTCCTATTGATATCGTGTGCCCTATTGTTGTCGATAAGACGGTGCTACCAGATCCTGATGTCAACTCTGCCAGCTTACAGTAGCTGACCGGGATGTTTAATGCATCTAACTTAACTCCTTCACCATAGTCAACTTCTAATAATTCAATGTCTCGTCTTGGTTTATAAATCCATTCTGGTAGAAATGATTGGCCAGTTGGTAGTTGCATTTCCGACTCACCGAAATGATACACCGATCCTGTCTCTTCTATCTTCAACACAAATCTACCTGCTCGTTGCGGATTTTTCTTCCTCTGAAGCTCCCTCCAGAAAATAGAATCAAATAATTCATCCTCTGTTTGAAAAATTAGTTGACCAGCATGTTCATTTAGGAATCCTGAGTTAGATCCTATATTTGTAGCCGGAAAGTAAGAGTAATCTTCTGGCGATGAACCGAAGTCAGCAGATATTTTATCCAATAGCGACGAAGAATTTGTTGAATCTCCATTAACTACCGCAATTGCAAAGGTGAAACAAACAAAAGTTTTGAATAGATACATGAATGGCACTGATATTCCTTATCTGTTCCCTGAATACTTTAAATGAGCAGGATATCTCGAGTCTTTAAATACTGAACATCAAATTCTAAAGCTGCCTGGCATTCTAAGAAACAATATTGAACATAGTAAAATTTGCACCCAAGTTTGAAAAAAAAAATTATGCAACCATTTTGTCGCATATCAATTTTTTGTGCATACATAATATTTGTTCCACCTCCCACTCAACTATACTCTCACCCTTTGAGCTGAACTATTACAATATTTGTTTTAATTTATTATTTATTACATTACTTGATTTAACATATTTCTAATTACATCGCCCCCTGTTTCTTAGAGTTTTAACAACCTCAACTTGAAGGCAGTATCATTAATGGATTGGACTTCCTCAACAATGACCTTCTCTTCACTTTCACCTTCAGTGAACTTGGTTAATGCTCTTTTGGTTGTCTTTAACAACATGGCTCCATTGTCTTCAATAACCTTTTCAAATTCGATTGTATCCTTGACTAACTCATATTGAACTCTAACATCGTCAGTTGTATTTAATCCAGCAGACTTTCTCAATCTTTGGATACGATTGATCAATTCTCTGGCGTAACCTTCATTTTGCAACTCAGGATAGATTTCTACGTCTAAAATGATTAAAACATCTCTATCAGTTCTAACTTCCTTACCAGCAGACTTGTCAGCTGGTAAACCTCTTTGAACTTGTAAATCTTCCGTCACCAAATCAATACCTGCTACAGTAATCTTACCAGACTTCACAAATTCTTGAACTTCATTTGAAGTAACATTTGGTAAAGCTGCTTTGACAACCTTAGCATCCTTCTTCAACTTCTTTCCTAAGACAGGCCAGTCGGCAACAGCAGTGTATTGGACACCATATTTAACCTCGTCCGAAGTAATGACTAAGTTTCTGACGTTTAATTCATCAACAATGTAGGTCTTCAATGATTCAACATCTTCTAAGTATGATGGGTCGGAATGTAAAATGATCAATTCCTTTAATGGAGTCTTCAAGGATATAGTCTTACTTTCTCTGATGTTACGGCCCAAATCAATAACCTTTTGCATTCTTCCGACGGCGATTTCGATCTTTTCATCGAATAATTCTTCTTTTGCTTCTGGGTAGTGCAAGAAATGGATAGATCCAGTATCCTTAGCCTTAGCAGGGTTAAGACAAAGAGATTCTAATTCTTCAATTGGGAAGTAAGATTTCATTCTTTGATACAAGTTTTCTGCAAGGTAAGGGGTGAAAGGAGCCATTGCTCTGTTAAGGGTGAATAAAGCTTCGCATAATGTGTTGAGAGCCTTCTTGGTGTCATCCACATCGTTTGATGATCCCTTGAGTCTTGATCTATTCAATCTAATGTACCAGTTAGTCAATAAAGAGATGAATGATAAAAGTCTTGGGACAACAGTATATAATCTGTAGCCTTGCATTTCTTCGTGAATAAATTTAATTAAAGATTGCAATGAAGCTAAAATCCATCTGTCAAAAACGTTAGTGGATCTCAACTTGGAGTTGTATTGGAAGTCAACACCTTGATCCTTTCTGAAAACATCAATAGAGTCCTTCAAGAAGTTGTAAGAGTTGTACCATGGTAACAAGACGGTTGCAACAACATCCTTAACACCTTCTTCTCTGAATTTCAAGGTTTCAGCTCTAAGCACTGGGGAATTGATCATGTACAATCTCAAAGCATCAGCTCCATATTTTTCCAACATAATGTTAGGATCTGGGTAATTCTTTAATCTCTTGGACATCTTCTTACCATCACTTGCCAATACAATTCCTGACACAATAACATTTTTATAAGGGGCAGTGTTGAATAAATGAGTTCCCAAAACAGTTAATGTGTAAAACCAACCTCTAGTTTGATCTAAACCTTCAGAAATGAAATTAGCTGGGAATGCATTGTTAAAAGAAGCATTACCATCAGTCTTTTCTTCGAATGGGTAATGCTTTGAAGCATACGGCATACTACCAGATTCGAACCAACAATCGAAAACTTCTTCAATTCTCTTTAATTGGCCCTTACCTTGTCTTGAAGGGATAGTAATATGGTCAATGCTATCACGATGGATATCAGTGATAGTGTTATCTCCCGATAATTCTCTCAATTCTTCAATAGATCCAACACAAACAATTTCTTGTCCATCTTCACTGATCCACAATGGGATTGGGGTACCCCAGTATCTGTTTCTGGAAATATTCCAGTCTCTGGCGTTGGCAATCCAATTAGTAAATCTCTTGGATCTAACGTGTCCAGGAACCCAGTTAGTATCTTCAATGTTTTTTAACATGTCTGGTACAATGTTAGTAATACGAACGAACCAAGCTGGAACAGTTCTGTATAACAATGGAGTATCAGATCTCCAACAGAATGGATAACTATGGTTAATTTGACTAGCTAATAATAATCTTCCATTTTCCGTCAATTTCTTTATAATCAACTTGTCAGCATCCTTGACATAAATACCTTTGAAGTCAGGGACTTCGTTAGTAAATTTACCTTGGTCATCAACTGGGTTTGGTGGTGGTCTCTTTTCATTAATGACACCAGCAGCAGTAGAAGCTTCGAAATCGATTTCACCGAAGGCTGGAGATTGATGAACAATACCAGTACCAGATTCAGCAGATACAAAATCGGCTACAATGACCTTGAACCCGTAGTCCTTAAAGTCTTCGTAGAAATAGTCGAAGATTGGCACATACTTGACATTTTCCAAGGTTTTACCCTTGAATCTATCTACAACCTTGTACTTAACCAGTTGTGGCTTCTTGTACAATGTCTTCAATAAAGATTCGATCAAGATATAGTTTCTTTGCTTTTCTTCGTCAAATATCTTAACATACTCAAGTTCTGGGTGGACGGCCAAACCGATATTGGAAGGTAAAGTCCATGGAGTAGTGGTCCATGCTACCAACCAGGTGTTCTCGTCACCTACAATTGGGAAACCAATGGTTACACATGGATCGTTGACATCCTTATAATTTTGAGAAGCTTCGAAATTAGACAATGGAGTAGTTAAGCCAGTGGAGTAAGGCATGACTCTCAATCCCTTGTAAACTTGGTCCTTCTTGAACAACTCCTTGAATGCCCACCAACAGGATTCCATGAATTCAGGGTACAAGGTCTTGTAATCGTTATCCATATCGATCCATCTGGCCATTCTTCTGATGGTTCTTCTCCATTCGTCAGCGTATCTCATGACAATAGCTCTACATTCATTGTTATACTTGTCAATACCCAACTTCATAACGTCGTCCTTTCCAGTGATACCCAATTTCTTGTCAATTTCGTATTCAACTGGTAAACCGTGAGTATCCCAACCAAAACGTCTTTCTACATGGTGACCGTTCATGGTGGCATATCTGGGGATAATATCCTTCACAGTGGAAGCCAAAAGATGCCCATAATGAGGAGTACCTGTGGCAAATGGTGGCCCATCGAAAAATGCAAACGATGGTAAGCCTTCAGTCAACTCAAGAGATCTTTGAAAAGCGTTTAACTCGTCCCACTTTTCAAGCATCTTCTCTTCTTCCCTTGGGAAGGAGAAACGATCATCAGACATATTGTAAAAATCTTTTCTATGTAAAATAAGTCCAAAATCGATTAGATAATGTGTTCCTCTATACCTCTCTTCCTACAACCTTGACTCGCTTTTTTTTTGGTGAGTAATCGTTGAAAATTTTGAGAATGAAAAAAATGTCAAAATGTCTCGTTTGTGTCACCTGTATTATGTGCAGGTTGTATGAGACTGGGTTGTTGTAGGGGCCTCTCTTGTGCCAAATCTATAGCAGTTGAGTCTGGTGTATTTGGTAAGTGTATGGCACCTGTAGCTATAATGCTGTCTCTGGAAGCATGTAAGATTTTCGAATTTTATTTGCTTTACAAATTCTCTTTTTATCTACTATTTTATGTCTGTGAATGGGATAATGATTAGTCACTATGACTCAGTGTGGACTCAGTGTGTACTGTCTGAGGAAAAAATGTAACACACCAGACAGAACCTTAATATTGATGCATGGTACCTCACACCGTTGCAACTTAAGTGATGAGAGATTGTAGGGGTCAACCTCTTATCTGCATGTAATCTGGATCTCATCTAATACCCACGATATTAGGTAGATATATCTCCTAACTCGTGCTGGTGTCATATTTGTCGTTTTGTTTTACACTTGGCTGCAAAAGAAAAGTAGGAAGATGTATAGTTGGTCACGTGATCATATATGGCTTTAATCTCTTCTGCCTTTTAGTTGCATTTCAAAGAGCAGGCATCTACTTTAGATCTATACTTAGGGCTCTCTAGCTGACCCATTTACATATGTACATGCCTATATCGAGTGAGGTGTTTGCTCAGGTCATAGGGAAATATTTCCCTAAGGGCGTACCGCCGCTGGTCATTGCGTTATCCGGAGGAGTCGATTCCATGTGCCTAGCTTACCTTCTATCTCAGCACAAGAAGCTATACCAGCCAGATATGAGTATACTGGCTATGACGATAGATCACGCTTATAGGATAGATTCTGAAAAAGAGGCTACTGCGGTTGGGGATCTTGTTTCCAAATGGGGTCTTACCCACAACATCAAGAGGCTACACTACGAAACTACGAACGTCATCAAATCAACTAAATTTGAAGAAATCGCAAGGCAGAAAAGGTACCAAGAGCTTAAGCAATATTGCAACGAGAATCATGTACGGAACATTTTCGTAGCTCATAATCTCAATGATCAATTTGAGACATATCTATATAGACTATTAGGAGAATCCACCATATTGGGCCTCAGATCATTAAAGCCCATATCATTGATCCCAGTAGAGCCAGAAACTCCCACGGAAGTGACTCCATATATCATCCGTCCTCTATTGGAGTTTAGTAAAAGCGAAATTATTGATACATGTAAACTGAACGGCATCAGATGGTTTGAAGACCCTACCAATAAAGATACGAATCTAACTATCCGAAATAAGCTAAGGTATTATATTCTGGAGTATGTTCCGCAAAACATTCAGAAAGATCCAAGTTTAGAAGTACTAAGCACTTCAAATCTTAAACTGACCATTGATAAAATAAGTGAGTTAGATGACTATATTAAAAGGCAGGCAATTAAATTGGAGAATCAGCTCATAAGCGAAAACAGACTCGAATTTCTTGAAGATGAATGTAAAATGAAGATAATATTCACTTATGAAGAGTTTGAATCAAACAGTACACCAGTATTGAGTAGATTGTTATATGGAAATATTTACCCCGTGGCAAGTACTGTGGAGTACCATTGGAAGTACGCTAGACTTGAAAGGGCAGCAGTACCAAAATTCAAGAAACTCTTCGATGATCTAAGGAATTCAGACACTTTAAATACGCTAGTGGAAAATATGACATTCCTAAACATATTGTTTACTGTTACAGTTGATGATATATCACTGCGCATAATGATAGAATTGAGGCGAGCTCCAGTAGCCAACAATATGTTGGAACATGTGGCGAAGACTTTCAGCAGTAAAGACCAATGGGGCAATTGGTTCTTGTGGGACAATAGATATTGGATGAAAATCAAAGTAGACGAGAGTGAAAATCAAGTTATTAGCTCTATCACTATAACTCCCTTCGTAAAGAAGTTGCATTTGAAGATCTTACAACTGAAGTTTTACGATTTTGGAGCGTCCGATGGCGCAAGATTAGGACAAGATCCAATGATAATAGTCAAATATAAGAATTCGATAACAGGAGAACTAGACTATGATATTTGTGTTCCAAAAAAGATCACTTCCAATCCTAAACTAAGAGCAGAAATGGAATTGAAGAAGAATATTTTCAAGAATATCATGGAGATCAATGATGATTATAATGATGAAGTCGGTAAGATCAGCACTGGTGTGTATGAGTACGAACAGCCTAAAGTACACGAACTGAGCACTAAATTCATCATGGACAATATAATCAAGAAGGCGTTTTCAGGAGAGCAACTCCAGGGAAAGCTGTGACTGGTGGTGGAACAAATAGAAAACGTGCTCACAGGATGTACAGCACCATTGTAAATAGTTAGGTGACCGAAAATATAAATAAAAAATCCCACACTTCTCCAAAATACTCTACGGCCTATACACTGAATTAGTCTTAACTTCTATGACTGGAAATGAGCTCCTATGTACCTTTAACTCTCTATGAACTATCTCCTGCCCTACAAGTCATGCAAGATTGCAGCCTATCTCGAAATGTACAGATATTGTTATATGCAGTACTATCAAACATTTATTCTCCATTTTTCTCAAAACTCAAAGAAAAATTTAGAGGACGACAACACCAAGAGGTTGATAAAGTAATACTCTAGTAGCCCAATTGGAAACCCTTATAGATGCCCTCTGATCTAACGAGTATGCTGCTTTCAACTCATACGCCGAGGAATATCAAGGCTGCAAAATCTTCGTCCAAGAATGTTAATCTTCTGACCCAAAACTTGAAGGTGCTGCACCAAAGGGTGGTGCTTGACGTTGATCTTTCAAAAGATCGCCTCTATGGATTCACAGAGATCACCATCATCCCACACGTCAATAATTTGAAACATGTGAAGCTTGATTGTAGAGAAATGAAGATAAAGGGGGTTACTGTTAATGGAAAAAAGTCAAACTTCGTGTTTCAAGACTATCTCTACTTGAATGAACACAAAGCCGACCCTAAGGTGGTCAATTTATTTGACTATTATAGTGATAACATAGGGATAAATCAGCATCATATGATTAAGCAGAAGCTTGCATACATATTTGGAGAGCACAACTACGATCCGAGAGACCCTCCGAAGGAACACACTAATGGTAATACTGAAGAGCTATCTGTATTGATTCCAGACTCAATCAAGCTAGAGCTAACCAGTGAGGCTTCATTGATGACTCCAGGTAGTCGACCTGGCGTGGCCCCTGGAGCAGGACCTGGCTCTGTCGCTCATTTCCACCTAACTGGAACTCCTATGAGGACCAACAAAAATACATTCTCAATGGAGACCTACACACCGCTTGTAATTAAAATAGAATACGAAATAATCAATCCCAAAAATGGAGTTAATTTTGTCACTAGTGACAAGCAGAACAAACGAAACTGGCATGCATATACAATGAATTCTGAGTATAATATATCGACATCTTCATGGGTTCCCTGTATTGACAACTTGTGGGAGAGGCTGACATGGAGTATGGAATTGAGTATTCCCAGGACTGTAAATGACATTGGATTCGAAAGAGTAATAGGGACAAAAGAAGCCATGATAAAAAGGAAGAAAAAGAAACCAAGAATTATACATGAAGATGGAGAAGTGGATGTTAACGAGGATGTAGAGGGTGAAGATGACGAAGACAGTGATGACGAAGAAGATGACAACTACGATTTATCAGTTTGCACTGGAGATTTCAACAACATCAAGGAAACACCTCACCCCATAGATTTGTCTAAAAAGGTTGTAATGTGGTCTATATTCAATCCTATATGTGCGCATCATATTGGATGGGCAGTGGGTCCCTTTGAGAGTGTAACTTTACCTTCAACTAAACAGGAAACAGAAGATGCTGGTAACAGCGGAGGTGGTTTAGATTCAGGAAACATCACCAATGATGGTGATGATGATAAGGACAATGGAGACATCCCATTAACAGTCTATTGTTTGCCTGGCGCAAGGGAGTTGGCTTTAAACCTGTGCATATTTTTCAATAAGTCGATGGATTTCTTTCTGAAAGAGTTCGGTTCCTATCCCTTTTCATCATACGCAATGGCATTCGTTCAACGTAACCCGTCCACTAATCATGACTTTGCGGGACTTTCCATATGTAGTGACAAATTATTATACCCAGCTGACTTGATTGAGCCCATTTTAACGTCGACAGAATTGTTGTTGGAATGCATAGCAGTTCAATGGTCTGGTATTAATGTGGTTGCCCAACAATTCAATGATCTCTGGTGCACCATTGGTATTACAAAGTATATGTCCATGCAATTTATTCGAAAATTGATGGGAAATAATGAGTATCGATTCAGAATAAAAAGCCGAATGAATGAGGTGGTAGAGCTGGACATTGGAGACAAAAATCCATTAGCATTACAGTTTTTCAAATTCCCAACATCAACAAACGATTTTGACTTCATCAAGTTGAAAGCGCCCTTAGTTTTATTTATTCTCGATAAAAGAATGACGAAGACAGATAAGTCTTTTGGGTTATCTAGAGTCTTGCCTAAGATTTTCCTTCAGGCTATGTCTGGAGATTTACCCAATGGTACTCTATCTACCCTGCATTTCCAATATGTTTGTGAAAAAGTGAATAGAAACAAATTAGACTCCTTCTTCAAGCAATGGGTGTATGGTGCAGGGGTTCCGATTTTCCATGTTACCCAGAAGTTTAATAAGAAGAGATCAATGATTGAAATGAGTATTAGACAAGTACAACAGCAAGAAACCAAGCAATTACACCCCAAACCAGAGACATTCATAAATGACTCTGTGGCATTCTTAGAAGATGAACCTTCATTTATGATTAGACCTGTATTTTCTGGTCCTATGACTATAAGAGTCCATGAAGCGGATGGTGTGCCATATGAACATATAGTGGAAATTAAAGAAGGGAATGTTAAGTTGGACATTCAATATAATTCTAAATTTAGAAGAAAGAAAAGAGACGATGATGAGCCTGTTACTATCGCTTCTAACAATGACTTTAGCAAGCTTGGGGATGTTCTTACGTCTCAAAGACAAGCCGATGAATGGGGATTAGTAGAATGGACAACTCGAGATGATGAGGAAATCTACAATGATGCATTTGAATGGATTCGGGTTGATGCTGATTTCGAATGGATCGCCAAGGTATTTGTTCAACAACCTGATTATATGTATGGCTCTCAACTTCAACATGATCGTGACGTTGAAGCTCAATATGAGGCTATTAGGTACTTTGGTGATCGTGAAAAGACAACCCCCACTCATTGTACTGTCTTGACTAGAACTATTATGGATAAGAGATATTACTATGGGGTAAGGATTGCGGCAGCCAAGGCGTTGGCAGAATTGTCTAAAGCTGGTAATTCCTTCATTGGTGTGAAATATCTTATTAAAATTTTCAAAGAATTATACTGTTTTAAAGGATCATCGATCCCGAAAAGCAATAATTTCAGTAACTTCAATGATTTCTTCCTACAGAGATCCATTCCTGAAGCTTTGAGTCGTATAAGAGATGAAGATGGAAATGTACCTTTTATTATCAAAAATCTTCTATTAAATTTGGTAAAGTTTAATGACAATTCAAATAATGAATTCCAAGATTGCCTTTATGTGAGTGATTTGTTGATAGCTTTGACTAATGCTACATTACCCGAAAGTGGTATTGAAGGAGAAACAACAAGTACCGATGAGCAAAGTAAGAAGTTTGTGAATGATGTCATAGTCGAAATTTCTAGAATTCAAAAATTGGATGAATGGGTTCCCTCCTACCAATCTGTCGTATCGGTTACATGCTTAAGACAGAAAGTTAGGTTGACAGTACAAAATAAATTCAAGTTACTGTTCGAAGACTTATTGTTTTATACTTTGGCAAAGCATCATGAAGATGTTAGAATTGAGGCTTTTAGGGGGTTATTTATTTTGGGTGCGTTGAAGAACAAAAGTATTTTACAATATTACCTCAGTGTAATATTGCTTGGTTCTGACGGCCCTTACTTCCGGAAAAGATTAATTGAAGTGTTATCAGAATCTATATGTATTAGTGCCATTAACGGGACACCTTCTACTTTGGATGACGCTGAATTTAGACCTTTTGATAAGTACATAGATGAACGTTCTAATTCTGCAGGAACAGGAGAAAATGGTACTTTATCTACTACAAGTGGAATTGTGATTGAAGATGGTGGATCTCTGAAAGCAGAAATACATGCAAGAAGGGATGCATTTGCAAGAGCTACGTTACAAGGTGCTATTGAGATTCTTCGTAGAGATTATGCCATAGGAAAGGGGTTAAAAGAAACCCTTTGGGAATTGCTTCATAGCTCATTATTAAGTATATTTGAAAGAAGAAATATCTTTACATTGTGTGAATTGTTATACCAAGAGGCAGATTCTTTCACTATTAGCTTGGAAATTCCACCATTACCGTTCGAAGAGATGAAGAAAAAAATCGTGGTTAAAAAGCTTGGGCATGGAAAGATTTTGATGAAAAGAGAAGGAAGAAATAAGATTCTTTTTGGAAAGAAGGAAGAGCCGAAAAAGAGTATAGTTCCAGAGATCAAGCCTGTTACGAGCAATGATATCCCCCCACCTTCTAAAAAGGTGGAACCGCCAGCTGCTGCTGGCGGTGAAGTGAAATTAAAATTGAAGCTTGGCGGTTCTGGCTCAAGTAAGAAACCACTTTCCATTAATTTGTCTAAACCTAAGGAAAAAGCCGCTGCTCCACCACCTCCTTCTCCAGTACAACATGCACCACCTAAAAAGGAACGCAAGCCCCCTGCTGCAACACAGTCCAAAGTTAATAAATTGGTCCGGGTCAACAAGAGTAACATTATTTTCAAGCTTTCCAAGGCCAAATTGAAGAAAACAATTAACAATGTGTCAGTATTCGATTTGCCGGCTCGAAATAAGCAAAACGTAGAATCCTTGGTCCAAATCGACGGAACTAAGATTGTGATTTCTTTAGCAAAGAAGAACCTTGCCAATGGAGCAACCCATAAAGTTACATCAACTAAAGAAGAAGAAGGAGAAGCAGAAAATAGAAATGAGAATGGAAATGGAAATGCAATTGCATCTGCCGGTGCTCCAAGATACGTGAGGATTCTGCTCAAGGAAGGTAAGGCATATGTCTCAGCTAACCCGTTCACCTAGATGTATATAAGTGTATATTAGCTATTTTTTAGTATTTTTTTTTTTATTTTGATTAGTTAGCAGTATAGTCCTCTCTATTCAATGATATGTATACTACTTCATTGTCTCTGCCCTGAACCATGGTACCTCTCTCCACCAACTAATCCATGTACCTTCTCTTAGCCTTCCTGTATGTAGCCACAGTTTTCTTTTGAGATCAACTTGATTTTTTTTCGGCTGCCTCGCTCTTTGATTAGCATCGAGAGGGATAGCCAAGCGACAAGGCGACATTCTCAGGGAGATACACACATTTGGAGGCTTTTTTATGTCAATTAGAGCAGTCGAGGCATAAGGGTATATCTAAGTAGTTAATTATAACTTGAGACCTTGTGATTGTAGAGAAGTATAATCAGAATGTCATCTAACCATCCTGTGTTCAATATCTCGAAGTCTACTCCTACGACTTCGACTTCAAACGAGAACACAGTATCAGGGAACAATACTCCTGGACCCTCAGATGTCAACGGGGGCTCACCATTGATCAAAAACATTCTAACTAGAGGTGCTCCAAGTGCAAAAGGAAGCAATTCTGTCGAGACATCATCGAGCAACACTCCAATCTTTGCACCGACTAACCCGGTAGCAATCTCCAGTGTCTCTCCTACATTTGTGACTTCTGAATTCGATTCGGGGAAAGTTGAGGGCAAGCCAGACTTAATTGGACTCTTTGATAAGTTTGATATAAATAAATCGGAAACCAAGTTGGACGATGTCCAGAGCGTAGAAAACGCATTGGGATCAGATGACGAAGAAGTTAAAAACGAAAAGGGTGGAAACGGAAATCATGGAGATGGCACCGGCACAGAGGCTGGCTCAAGTGAAAAGGCTGCCGAAAACGATCATGACAAGGAGAAGTATGACGAGGATGTGGAGGATTTGGAGCATCAGCGTAGAATAGATGCAGCCCTCGGGAATTTGGAGATGGAAGATGTTCGAGATATTGTACAAGAAGCGGAGAGTCTAGAGGAACAAGACAATAAGCTGGAACACCAAGAGATAGACCAGCAGCGTACTCCTGAGCAACAACCTGATGCAGAGCAACCGTCTGAGATAGAGCAGGAACAGGAATCAGAGGAGACAGACTCAAAGAAAGACCAAAGTGATCGACTGGGAGCTACAGATCTCGAAACCCCTTCAAATGAGGAAGAATTTACTTCTTTAAATGACGAAGGAGCTAAGGAAATACCTAGTAATGATCCAACTGACAGTGCATCCACTTCTAGAGAACCCCTTTCTCTGAGCCATAATGGACCTGAGAAAAGGGAACGTGCAGGCGTGGCCAGTCTTCCAGTAGCATCCACCGCTTCTACTTCGAATCAAGGGAGACCAGTTCCTAAAAGGGCACTTTCCAAAATTGACCCTGTGGAGCAATATCAGCAATCTCACAAGCCATTTGATTTCCAGAATTTTCTCGTTCAATTGAAGAAAAAGAGTGCCGAACCAATCGTAAGATACATACGATCTCTCTTGGTTTCATTCTCTCGTCAAGCGCATACCTTTACATATAAGCAGAAGATCAAGATTATCACTGACTTCAAAATATTCATAAGTGAGAAGTACCTTCTTTACGAGCCATTTGCATCAATGGATGACATAGATTTGGAAAATTCAAGAGAAGGTTTAGAAAAGCTAGTAATGAATAGGTTGTACGAATTTTGTTTCCCACCTGCCATCGCTAAACTAGCTTTAAGTAATGGTCAAAAGGTTTCCAGAGATTTGGTTAAAGACGATTTAATACAGGATGATGCTTTCAATCAGTCAGTGGAAAAATTCAGCTGGGTCAATGGGATTCATCTCGATGTAGATTTGGATGACTTGCATTTACAAAAAGGTACCAATGGTTTGAATTTCATTGAATATGCTGTCGTGGAATTGAACAAGATAAACAATTATAGGGCTCCCAGAGACAAGATTATATGTGTACTCAACCTGTGCAAGATAATTTTTGGATGGTTGAAAGTAAGCAAACAAGAGACAAATGCCGACTCTTTTGTACCAATTTTGATCCTAGTAATAATAAAGGCCAAAACGGCTAACCTTGTGAGCAATATGCACTATATTGAAAATTATAGAGGCGAAGAATGGCTTTCTCATGGAGAAACTAGTTATTATTTATCTTCTCTACAAGGTGCAATTGGTTTCATTCAAAACTTGAGCTTTGATGACTTGACAATTAGTGAAGATGAATACAATGCACATATAGAAGCTTGGGAAGCTCTGCAGAAGCAAATAGCAAGAGAACGGGAAAGAGAAGTAAAATCACATCAAGACTTGATTGATCTTTCAGAATCTTCGTCTGCCTCTGAGTCTACGAGACCAGTTTCCATACATCAACCCCAACCCTTACATGCAAGTGAGGAAGGCCCCACGAGTTTGTCGCCTTCAAATGTTTTGTTGAATAGTGCTGGAATTGTAAGTAAGTCAATTGCAAACTTTTTATCGCCTTCTCCACAGCCTGAGGCCCAATCGGTCTCTCATACACCAGCAAATAACAACCCCACAGTACATACCTCGATTCAAAATTCCCCAGGTGTCATACAGGACACTCCAACTACAAGAGAGGCTTTTGACACTCTTTTACAAATGTTTCCAAATATTGACAAGGCAATTCTACAAGATTTGGTTTATATCAAGCACGGGAATATAGATGAATGTGTTGATACTTGCTTAGAGTTGGTTGCTGAAACATGAATTCCCTTTATTTGAAAATTTTGGCAGAATGTAATACAGGACAAGGATTTCTTTTTCATCAGGCACTGGTAATTTAAGAAGGATATACAGTTGTTAACGCCATATGCAACTCACTAATTAATGAAAATATTTCAATTCTGAATTTTGTTGTAGGGACTTGCAAGAGCCACTAAATACTTTTCTAAGCGCTTTAAGTAATCTCCAACGTAGAAAATATGGTTTTGAAACCCGAAGAGCCTACAGAGGGTAGCAATCATATTAAAACTATGAAAGGTTAGGCTTAGGAGAGTATTGCAAAAAAAAATGTGGACTCCTCATCAGGGGCTCGAACCCTGGACATTTCGGTCGACTCTTTAAAATTGTCGAAAGAAAATTTCCTTAAAAGCCGAACGCTCTACCAACTGAGCTAATAAGGATGGTTCCACAACTGGTTTTCTTACACTATTCGCTATATATTCGAGAGTGCTACATGTTAGAAGCAACCTATAACTATCACGGTAATCATATGTAATAACTAATTATGTCTACAAAATTTGGGTTTGTTGTGATACTGATCAAAATCTTTCATCAGTTAATAGAGACCAATATTGATTTTGTGTATTTCATCCATATATACTTTTAAAAGCCATCTCTTATTTCGAAATCTCCATGTTTGAATGTAGCATCAGTCTTTCTTTCATAGTTGGGAAGATCATGGTAGTTCTTCACTCTCAGTCTAACGTATTCGGTACCAGTAATAGGCTTGGTCTCTTTATAAAGACCTAGTCTTCTTAACAAAGGCGAGTCTGCAATAGAGATAAGTCCTGCTGGGCGCACAAAGTAAAACGAACCAATCCTAGGTGCATTGATTTGGTCAGGTGGAGGTCTAACAACTCTATGAATGGTTGATTTAAAGTAACCACCACTCCAAAATGACAAGGTGTCACCAATATTGCAAATGATTCCTCCTTTTACTGGCTTAACATACTTCCAAGAGCCATCACCTACTTGGATTTGCAATCCAGCCACAAGCTGATTGTATAATAATGTCAACAGTCCAAAATCTGTGTGGCCCCTCGCCCAAATGTTATCAACTTTTGCATCGTCCTCTTCGCTTCTGGGATGATATTTCATATATCTCAAGTGGTCATCACTTGGTTCATCATACAAATGCTTGAGTACAAAATAGTTTTCATCAAGCTCCAAAATCAAAGCGAAAAGTATCAAAAGTTTTCTTGCAACTTCCCAGGACCTTCTGGAAACCAATTCTAATTGTTCTCTGTAGTCGTGAATGTAATTTTGTTTGAAATATTCATCATAATCACCTGCTTTCGTAAATTTGGCAATGTTTAGTGTCTCTACATTATCCTTTACGTCTGTGCCAAACACGGTCTTAATATCCTTAGGTTTATATCCAAAATAATTTCCTTCCTCAAAGTTTACTAATTGTCTCAGTTTATCATCAAGTTCATAGTCACTAAAGAACTTCAGTCCCAACTTAAATTGATCATTGATTTCTTCTTCAGATATACCTGTTCCAACAGCTGCCCAAAATCCGTCTTTTTTGACAGCTTCACCCAATTCTTGGACAAGTTCTTTTCTACCTTGTACGTCATCAAATTTGGAAAGATCGATCACAGTCAAGTTGGCCCAATCCAAATCAAAAGAAGTCTCCTTTGGGGTTTTCCATTCGGGAGAAGAAATGGTCATTTTTCTACTCTTTTCTCTCTTTTTTAGATTAGAAGTATTGCAAGAATACCCACAAGTTAGCAAGAGCTATTTATATCAACCTCTGCTTCGTTCACCCTTGTATTCCAGTACTGAATGCTAAATCAGTACAAATTAGGTTTAGTTGCACAGTACATTTGTTATCGCGCAATGTGTGGCTGCAAATCAGACAAAATTTGCTACTTATGCAACAATTAAACTTAATATGCACATGTTGCACATAATTTTATTACATAATCGTGCAACCATTGTAGTTCAGCAACCTAACTTCATATGCATAAGTTGCAATATGTAGAATGTTACAATAGGCAGAAGCAATCCTATTGGGCTTTTTTCGAACTAACGTGTAAAAATGCTACATCAGATTGCAAAGATCATAACCTTCGTGAGCCACATTTGTATGATGGGGGGGGGCAGTTTCAGTGGCATGTCTTTTAGGTAATTTACATAGTACACCTTTTGAAGTGTTTCAAGGAGTAGAATTATTCAAATGGAATATGAAAGCATTTAAAGAAGAGAAATTCGCCTCAAAAAAGGTAGAAAGTGATCGATTTAGAAAGATTCAATCCAAGCTATGACGGTTAATGAAAAGAATGGTAGAGCTGAGATTGCTTATCTAGATGTAGAAGATCAAACCTCTCTGGGCACCTTGCCCTATCTTTCGTACAAGAAAGTACTTCGCAAAGTAGACAGGAAACTATTGATTTTGTACTCGGTGGTTTACCTATTTACGCAATTAGATAAGAATAATATTAGTAACTCGGCGATAATGAATCTCGAAGCTGCTCATGGTATTAAAAAGCAATTAGATCTTTCTTCGCAACAGTGGGCATGGGTACTCGCTGCGTTCTATTATCCATACCTATTTTTTGAACCGCTTGCAACTTTATTGCTAAAGTATTTCACTCCCAGAATCTGGCAATCTAGGATTATGCTTACCTGGGGTGGAATCTCCATGTGTCAAGCCGCCACTAAAAACTTCCAGGGGTTGGTCGCTGTAAGGTTTTTCCTTGGTCTTGCAGAAGCAGGATACTATACACTGGTACTATACCATTTAAGCTTCTGGATCAAACCTAGAGAATTGCCTAAAAGAATTGCATTTTTTTATTCTGTGGGGATGTTGTCTGGTGCAGTTTCCGGGATTTTGGCCTATGGAATCTCTTACTTGGATCAAAAGGCTGGTTTGGCTGGTTGGCAATGGCTCTTTATATTGGAAGGTTTACCAACAGTATTGCTTGGAATTTTCACGTTCTTTTTCCTACCTAACTTTATTGAAGATGCAAAATTTCTAACAGATGATGAAAAGGAATTGTTGAAATCCAATCTTCCAGAATCTGCACCAACTAAAGGAGAGAAGGACTTCAATTGGCTGCAGATTAAAGACTTATTGAAAGTTCCAACTTTTTACACCTACACTTTGATCTGGTTTTTCCAGGGTATTGGAGGCTGGGGTATATCTTTCGTTTTACCAACTATTATATATCAGCTAGGATTCACTGATACTGCAAAAACACAGTTGATGGCCATGCCACCTTCCATTGCGGGGGTAATCTTATTAAATATTTTGGGTCAATTGGCACATAAGAGGATAATTAAACCATTCCTAACTGCTTTTATTATGTCACTTATTCAAATCATATGTTACATAGTATTACTAACAGTAAACAGCAATTATGCCAAGTATGTGATGCTAATTATTGCCACAGCTATTTCGAATTCTTTATATCCAATACTTTGGCCAGATAGATTAAGAGTACTCAGAGGCTCTACTGCAGCAGGCATTGCTATTGGAGTCACAAATGGCTCCACTCTGTTTATGGGTATCATAGGGCCACAAATCTATCAATCTAAATTTGGTCCAAAGTATCATGTAAGTTATTCATGTTCAATAGCTTTATGTAGTGTAGTGCTGGTCATGATTGCCCTTACTTGGTGGCTAGTAGCAAGAGATGGTTTGTTGGAAACTGAGGGTGCATTAAAAGATGAAAGCAGCTTCGATAAGAACGACGAAGAATACAGCTCTTGAGTTATCATTGTGAGTATTCTAAAATAGTATAAATATCCATGGAGAAGTCATAGAATATGTATTACATTATCAATATTATCCGTGATAGTTTTACATTGGTTCAAAGACATTATTTGTAAAGACTAGAGTTTAGTCGATGGGGAAAAAATCCAATTATGGATAAAGAGTCCCAAAGTAGTGTTAGAGGGCTGATGGAGTATAAGGTGGAAATTAGAATGTAATGTAACCAGAAATTAATAAAGGATCACAAAATCAAAGAGCATTTCTTCTGGAAATCACTCAATAAGAGAACCACCAAGAAGTACTGCTTTAGTGGTACACTATTACACTATCCGACGGCCTGTAGGGAAGAGTCTTTGAAGTGAAGCTAGCTTGAGCGGAATTATGGTGTTTTATGTGCAGTACATTCAGGATTTTTTTTCCCGTTTAGTACTAGATAAGAGGCACCTTAGCATACACTCCAACTTAAACTGATTTGGGAAGTTAAATGCCAGGATGATAAGCTAAGCTAATGAATAATGATTATTATAGATACTATTCGTGAGAGATTTATTACATATAAATATATAAACCTTATCCCAACTTTGTAAAAAAATAGAAGTTTTATTTGTTTCAGTAACAACTTGGAAAGAACATTTCTAGTACTTTTCATTATCTTCACTTAAATACAATAATTCAATATGCCTATGTCCTACAAAGCAGCCGCTGAAGGTAAAGCTGTAAAGCCACCTCCATTGGAATCTCCTGGTAACAACTCTTTCTTAGGTGATACTTTCTATTCTGATGCTCCAGCTGACAAACAAATGTCTTGTGGTTTCTACAAGCAAGAAAAGGGTGAACCATTGGTCTACAACTACACTTACGATGAAATGAAGATCATTGTTGAAGTATCTGGTGAATTTTTCATTAGTGACGAAACCGGATTCAAGGTTTCAGCTTCTCCAGGTGATGTTTTTTACTTCAAGAAAGGTACTACTATCACTTTTGAAGCTACTGACTACGCTTTAGCATTCTTCACCGGTTTGAGACCACCAATCTAATTGTTTCATTTTTGACAAAAACAGAGCAATTTGATAAAAACAAAAAATAAAAGCAGCGGGCTAATTAACTATATAGTATATATCTAATGCATTTTTAAGAACTTGAAACTACCATAAGATAGTGTAAATTGTTAGACCAAATTCACACCACTCGAGTGCAACTGAGGTTCCATACAGCTCATTTGCAGCCATTGTGCAGGTACTGTGCATAAAGCTCCAAACTCGCATAATAAGCACAACGGTCGATGCTCAATCACAGTACTGTGACTTCAGCGACTAAAGATCCAAGAATTTGATCCATTTGAGCCATTGAGCATTGAGTCGATCTAGAATATCCCCGGAAGCAGGATTAGGTGTTGATATCAAATATTTAAAAACTCCTCAATCTCCCTATTCCTTTGTCTTTTGATCCTCTCCACTCAACCCACCTCTATCGAATTTTTCAGCTCCTGCATCAAAATGCAGAATCTTCCAGAAAGCACGTACACTAAAAAATGCATGAAAGAAAATTGAACACAAGTTTGATAAGCTGTAGTTGTGGTCTTACTTGTAGATTTCTTGTAGCAAAGTAAGTTAACAGCAATTCAAAATGCCTATTGACTACTCTAAGTGGGATAAAATCGAAATTTCTGACGATTCTGATGTTGAAGTTCATCCAAACGTTGATAAGTCTTCCTTCATCAAGTGGAAGCAAAGAGACATCCATGAAAAACGTCAACAAAGAAACATCGAGATCAAGTCTATTTTGGTCCAATTAACCATGTATGTTAAACTTAATGAAAGAGTTGACTATATTTTAAAAAATGCCACTGATGATCAATTACTTGACAACGCTTTCATCGTAAAGGCAATCAACTCGAAGTTTGATCCAAAGGAGAAATTTAGCTATGAAAAGTTGAAGGAGGAGAAGGGTTCGGAGTTGAGAAAAGGACTTCGTGACTTAACGTTTGACGCTGAAGAAATTGACAACACTCCTTGTTACAATGAGATGATAGAAGATTTGTTCATTCAGATCAAGGAAGATCACGAAGATGCTAGGAATGATGGAGCTAGGATCAGGGAATATGTGAAGGAACATAGAACAAAGATAGACGACGTTTTGCTGAAGCTGACAATTAAACTAGATGATCTATTGTACCAAAAGTCTATGTTAGTTACTAGTGAAGACCTTCACACCGGATTTGACAAGACATTTATGAATAAGTCGACTGATGAGCCGGAAACCAGTGCTGAACAGCCAACAGTAGCAAAGGAAGCGCCACCAGCTACCGAGTCGTCTGAAAAGACAAACACCATTAAGAATACACCACTGCCATCTAGTAAGTCTGAAGCTTCCAGGTCAGACCCAGCTGCATTACCTAGTGCTTCTGCTCCTGTTGCTTCTACTCCTTCTAACACTGTAGTTGCCGCTCCTACGGCTGATACTACACCTTCTTCGGAGTCGGATGAATTAACTATACATCCTGATACACTTGCCTACTCAAAAATCACCTCAGTTCAAGCTTCGGCCGAATTTCTTATCAGACACACTTACATTTGTACAGAAGAGCAGAAAGATGCCCTCTTGATGTCCGCATTTGATGCACAGCTTTCTGGAGATTCTGCACTTGCCCTTCGTGTAATTCATCAGTCCTTAATCCTTCAATACGTTGCCCAGTTAGCTGGTCCCAAACCCCCAAGAGATCAAACAATAAAGGCAATCAAATTGTTCTGCGGTAAAATTGCAGATAAGTCAACCCCAGCTAGTAATGGATTCTTACAAGATGTTCAAAATACATTCAACCATATTGTACAAAGATGTGAAGTGATCAAGGCAGAGCACGCATCTGGTGGTACTGATGGCGATGAAGGTGAAGCTCAAATTCAACTTAAAGCTCTTGATGATGATACCCAACTTCTGGTTAATCTCCCAGAACCGAACACTCCTCAATATGAAATCTTCACGACCCAAATACCAGTGGAGATGCAGACGGCAGTGAAGACAGGCTCTTTGGATGAGGTCAATAAAGTTTTCGCATCCATGAAAGTAGAGGAAGCCGAGCATATCTTGGAATTGTTTGATCAATGTGGTGTCATTGGTATCAATGCATATTTGGAAGATGAAAATGAATTTAAGCAACTTCAAGATCAATACAACGAAAACTTACACCTTAAGGAAGAAGATACTGAAAAGTTCACCCAAGAGTATAATACAGTTGATGAAGTTGATTGAGAATTTAGTACGAAGTACAATGATTCGGAAATACAGGTATGAAGTTAATTAAAAGTATCTAGTATATATATTTTACAAGAGTATATTAAAGATCCTATTATTCAGAAGTTGAAATGACTATGAGGGAAATGTAATAAAAATATCATGTAGAGACTCTAAGGTTTCAACGTTGTCCATTTAATCTTTGCAATGTGTCCAATAAACTTTCCGTCTGGGATTGGGAATTTTGGAAGTTAGGAGGTTGGTTACTTTGCAATTGAGATAAAAGAGAGTCAAGCTGGGATTTAGGGGGTTGAGTTTGGGTTTGAGGTGGGTCTGGTGCATAGTTTGGGTTCGGTGAAGAGAAACCACTAGGATTTTGGGAAGCGCTACCGTAGTTTGCGTTTTGCGGAAATTGCTTCTGATACTGAAACTGCTGTTGTTGCTGAGGATGATGTTGTGGGGTATTGATTTGTTGCTGTTGCTGTTGTTGTTGTAAAAGAGATATCATATTTTGCATTGCCGAAGGGTCCATGTTTTGTAGGGTTTTCATGAGCTGGGCATTTGGGTCACTGGCAACTTGCTGTTGCTGCTGCTGAGGTAGAGTCGCAGGTTGATGTTGCCCAAAAGGAACTCCATAAGGGTTATGATTAGCTGGTGGAGGGGGTGGAGCGCCATAAGTTGGAACCCCAAATCCAGGTTGCGCAGTGAATGACTGGCCCGGAGGAACCTGGTTTTGATAACCTTGACTTTGTACAAGATGTTGACTCCGGGTTGGAGATGGTTGGTAAGGGAATGCTTGAGTTGGGATTTGTTGATGATGATGGGCTTGAGGCACTGCAGGTAAAGTTTGAGGAAAAGGTTCGTTGTTTGCGTAATTGAAAGATCCATAACTATTTACTGGAACAGTTGGTGGGGCATGTTGGCCAACTCTCTGATTCTTAACTCTCTGGTTTCTGCCTCGAGAGTACTGGTTCTCATAGGCATTATTGTTACCGTTTGGATTACCATTGTTAATAATAACTGGCGCATTGAGTTTTTTGGGAATGGCTGGTAATGAAGGAGCAGGGACCTTTGGGATGGTAGAGGGTGCCTGATTGCTGATAGAGGGAACTTCTTTGCGTGGACCAGTCAGAGATGCCTTCTTTTTACTTTTGTACTTGGCCAAAATCTCAACTGCTACCTCAGGTTCAATGCCTTCGTATTCGTCAAATTTAATCCCGCCATCAGGGGTACTTTCAAAAGTTTGTAAGTCTACCTTCAGTTCCTTGATTACACATGCCCCAATGATTCCAGTATAAGCAGCATCACTGATTACTTCGGTGATGTCTTGATCACTTACGTCTTCGAATTCAAAAACAATCTCAGATTTAGAAAAGACTTCATTACACTTCTTGACAACAGTAGATTGAGAATCGCTAGTTATGTATATATAGCATTCTGGTTCCAGATCCTCGTCGTCGTCTTCTTCGCCTTCATCATCATCGCCATCGAAATCGGCTTCTTTTCCAGTGTCTTGAGCGTCCACAGTCAGTTCTTTGGTAATTTGATACGTTTTGTCATCCAACTTTGTTCTTTTGTTACTTTGGTCATCGTCAACTTCTTCGGAAGTTGTTCTTTCTCTACCTCTTGACAAAATTGGACTGCTTGAGCTCCCACTTTTTTGGGGCCTTGATGCATCTAGTCTCATAATCTTATTGTGCAATGGGACGTCTGTCTCACCCTTTATACATTCCAAACATGCTTCAGTAGTTCTGAATTGCACAAATCCAAAACCTGCCTTTATCACAATCTGAATGACTTCACCGTACTGACTGAATATCCTGTACAAATCTTGCTTGGTGATTGTATTGGCGGGTAAATTCCCAACAAACAACCTCAGTTTATCAGGGAACTCATCCCAATTATTGGCAGAATTATAGCGCAACTCAGTCTGAACAAACGCTTCGTAATCCTTCTCCTCCTGTGGAGTCATAGGAATAGTTATGTTTGGACGGCGGCAAAATTCATTCACTGGAACCAATGGAATCCTATCCTTGATATGCTTGAATGGTTTGTTATAAGAGTACACCTGATCGTAGTTTTTGTAATCGGTGCTGTTGCTGGGTGGCTTTTGGTCAGGTAAATGCACTCCTTGTTTGGCTAATTGTTCTTGGATGATTTTCATTTGTTCCACTTGGGAGAGCTTAATGAAGTTAGGGTCCTTGACCACGTCGCTGGTCATGATAGCTTCCATGGCCTCATTTAGAGTCATCTGTCTTGCAGGAGCAGAACTAGGAGCTAGGCCCCCAGTTGGAACCGTCTTACTGTGACCAATTCGGACAGCTCTGACAGGAGGTCTGGGTGGAAGGCCTGGTATTCCAGAGCTTCTAATCGCAGGAGCAGGAGCGGGAGCAGCAGCAGGCTTATGGACAGTAGCAGTGGGAGGTTTATTCACCACAGGAGCAAACTCCTCTGGATCGTAATCAGAGTCATCAGACTTCGACTCCGTTTTCCTGGTCGCTTGTCCACTATCTACGGCTGGCGACTCATCTCTATAGGATGTCTCCGGATCGTACATCTCTTCTTCTTCTTCTTCTTCTTCTTCTTCTTCATCTTCGTGTTTATTCTCATCCTCATTGCCTTTCTTTTGTGCTGTCCCTATTTCTCTATCTATTTTGTCTACATTTTCAGCTTTTTGCAGTACTACTCCCTCAAGCTCTTCGTCGACCGTTTCGCTTTGCGCTGGCCCGTTTGCTTGGGGAGCTTGCAAGTCACTCAGATCTACGCCATCGGTCCCAGAGTCTTCGCTTTTTTTGGCTAAACTTACAGGATTGACTTCCATGTGTACCAAGTTCTAATATTTACAGGATACAGTAGTAAACGTCTGCTGAATGAAGAGAAGAAACCATTATATCTAATTGATTTTAGCAGATACAAAAATTAAAAAATTTTGGGAAGAGAAATTATGTGGACCTGCACATAGACGTTATCGGTTAGCTCTGCAGGAAAGGTGATAACGACGAATGAACGGTTAGAGAGTCTGCTACGGCCCTTGATAGAGAGGCAGTCAAGGTGGTCGTATCTGTCGGCGAATGAACAGGCTCTTGGTTCTGAACCACTAGTACTCTGAACCGAATCTGAGGACTTATTTTGAGGGGATTTTCACTTATCTTAAGCTGACCCAACCCTCATGTACTCGGAAATTGCAACACAAAATTAAGAACTTGTCACTGTGCAGGGTTCTCCATACAGATGAGATGTTGCAATTACCCAGCTAGTGTAGAGCCAAATAGGAGTAGGGTGTTGAGAATGGGAATCGCCTGGCTGTGAATTATTTCTGTTTCAGGATTGTTACTTAAATGGTAAACTATGTATAGAAGGTTAGAGATCACAGTAGTGGCATTCTTGTATATATTGATCATCTTGCAAAAGTAAAGAAGAAATTTAAACAATTTATTCTCGTAAAAATGCTTTCTTTACCAATTATTACCATGACCAGAACCAATTGCAAAGAGTACGTTATTTCTTAGCCTCGCATGAGCAAGAAAATTAGGAATAATGCAGGATAACTACAACAGGCTCGAATTCCGGTATCAAGTATTTCACTTTCACATGTGTAGTACTGGTCCTAGGTGTCCTTTCTCATCTGGAACACCCTGGCCCATCCAAGTTCGCAGCCATTCACTCCGAGGTTGCTACGTCCTTGCGTTTTTTTTTTTCACCTCTTTGTTTTTGCTTGTCACTCTTTCACCCAAGGTTATTCCGGATATGCAAGCGTTCTATTCATAGATCTATTGTATTTTGACTCTTCAGTACCGAGAGCCTCGCCTAAACTACATTATGATTAGTAATAACACCACCAAGTGTAAGTATACTGTAACATCACCTTCGCAGATCCCCCACGCCAGGGCTCTACAGAAGCTAAGAAAGAAATTATTTTTCAGGGTTCTGCATAAATTTTTCGATCTCAACGTTCGAGAGGCTAGTACGCTGGAGAAGTACCACCAGCAGTACACTTTCTGGTGGCTGAAAAGTTCGATAACTGTTCTGCAAAGCACAGAAGACGTAAAGATCGATGTATTGCCTTGCCAAAGGGTCCGATTTTCCGCTACCTATAAAAAATCGTCCATGCTTTTTAACCTTTACCCCAACCCACTTGTACATTGCACCCCACTGGTCTAAGGGTTGCGGCGTTCTCGGATAAACTTCCTAATTTTCCCCACTATGATTTAGTATGCCCAGGTTAAATTCTATGCAAGGGCATTCCTAGGACAGGTGGTGTGGATGTATAAAAGGCTCGGACTTCGCTCGGTATAATCAAATATTCAAGGGTGGATTTTCCGAATCACAAATTAATATCTTTCAATTAATTTTAACCCAATTTTCAGAATTATAAATACTAAAATGTCTCCATTAAACGTAGGTATCGTTGGTACCGGTATTTTTGCTACCGACACCCATCTTCCAACCTTCTCCAAGATTCCAGATATCAAACCAGTTGCCTGTTACAATAGAACTAAAGCCAAGGCTGAAACATTCGCAACGAAGGCCAGCATTCCTCAAGAACAAGTGTACGATTCCCTTGAGTCAATTTTTGAGGCTAAGGATGTCGACTTTATCGATGCCTTGCTCCCAGTACAATTCAATTTAGATGCTGTGAAGTTAGCCGTCAAGAATAAGAAGCCAATTGCTTTAGAAAAGCCAATTGCTGCCAACATGGAGCAAGCAAGGAGTATAGTTAACTTGTCCAGAGAAACAGACTTACCAATCGCCATTTTGGAAAATTGGTCTTACAGAAAGTCAATTGATATTTTAAAGAAAGAGATCATCCCAAAGATCGGTGAAGTTGTTTCATTTACATACAAATCTACTGGTCCATGGAATGACAATAACAAGTACTTGGCCACTTCTTGGAGACAAAAGCCAGAACATATTGGAGGTTTTCTCTCCGATGGTGGTGTACATCAATTGGCATTACTTACAGATGTGTTGGGACCAGTGGAAAGTGTCTCTGGATTGACCAAGCAACTCAGAAAGGAAAGTGGTACTGACGATGTGCTCTTCTCCACTTTTAAGTTGGCCAGTGGTGTTATTGGTACTTTCACATACGGTTCTTCCTTTGGAGCTACCGAGAAGTCAACCTCTTTCATCATTTATGGTTTGGAAGGATCATTAACCTATGACTTTTCTCCACATTTGGCTAAACCAACTATCACCTACCAAACTGGCGCAGGTTCTGCTAGTGCTTCCGAGCCAATTGTTGTGGAGGTTGATGAGGCTAATACCTTTGTTGCTGAATTCGAAAACTTTGTTTCTGCGGTGAAGTCTGGTAACAAGGGTGACGTGCATGTTAAGCCAGAGAATGCGTTCCACCACTTAGCCATCGTTGCAGCTGCGTTAGAAAGTAGTGCTAAGGGAGGTGACAATGTCAAAGTTGAAACTATATAAGAGGAAAAAGAAATCGATAAGGTAATGAAATGAAAAGTATAATAACAGAGAATTGATTTGTAGAAAAACCAGAGAGAAAACATGAATTGTTCTAAATTGCACCATGTTGACCTAAAATTTACGTACGGTATTAATTTACATATACACTCACAATTCGTCTTTAACCAATTCTGTAGCTTGAGAAACTATATCCTCCCAGGTTTCAATGGCAGAGCTTTCGTCGATGCTCATAGCGTATTCGTTTTCCAAGTCAATTGATGAGACGAGTGTAGAAACTGCCGATGTAACGGATGATATGACTGCAGACGCAAGTACAGTAGTAGTAGTAGCGGTGGAGGAAGAAGCAGAAGTAGTCCCTATTCGAATCATCGAGCTCGAACTAATTTCAGCGGCGATAGGAGGAATAAGCAATTCGCTCAGGCCAGCTGGAAGCAACCAAGTGAAAATTCTGAATACTTTCAACAAAGTCCATAACATGAAATACACAGGTAGCTTCAATATTCTCCTCCATATAACCCAGCAGCACACTACGGCCAAGAACCCGAGACTCATGTATATCCTATTCTTATCACTTCTGTCCTGTTTCTGGATAAACTGAACAATCGCCCTGGATCTGGTCAAAAGATCATTGAAGTCGCTGAACTTGTCGTTCAATTGGCCCAAATCCTTGGATTGTTGGTCAATTGTGTCTATATTAAGCTCTGTATGCATGATGGATGTGGACATCATTTGACGTGTAGCCTGCAAAGAGGCTGTGATTGCTTTGTTCTTCTCTAAGAGTTGAGTTTGGCCAGACAACTTATTAATCCCTGTTTCGCTAACACCCTTGCCCTGATTGCTACCTTTGAACAATTCCTCCTTTGCGTCTTCCAATGACTTCTCCTTTTGACAATACTCTTCAATTCTTTGCTTGTGAATTATCGTGTTTGCTGCAGCTCGTGATCGAACTTGTGCCTCCCTTAGGCGTACTTTGAGATCTGCTAGTTTGTCTACATAGATTTGGTAGGTCAAATTATCTTCATCGGTCTTATTTAATGTCTTCGCTACTGCAAGCAAGTTCTTGAACTCAGACATGACAGAGTATGCCTGTTCCTTTACCTCTTCTTTATCACTGAATATGCCTTTAATTTTAGAGAGTGCCTCATTTTGAAGCTCATCAAGCTGAAGGTAAATAGACATGATGGTATACCCGTACAGCTCTTGCCTCGCAATGGATAAAAAGCAATAAAGATGTGAAGATTCACAGATCGGTGGTGAAGAAAAAAAGAATTGGTTAAAGTTTTGATTTTCTTTGTTTTTTAAGATCACTCTCGTAATTTTGTTAATGATGAGTTCTTAAATCCATAAGATTGCTTACAAGGGCATGCCGTTCAGAAAAAAAGTCTTTCGTGCAATGATCACCGGTCGCAGTTAGTACAAAATCAAGACATTCCAAAACTTAGTTACAACTCAGCTCTTACGGAAACTACCACATCATGCAAGATGCCATGGGGAGTATTCCCGACAAGGTAACTGCGAAGTATGGGAAAAAGTGAAAAATTTCTGAAAACCACCTGGTTCTACATTCTTTCTTCACCGACAGAGTCATGGCTAAAGATAAGGGCGGCAAGTCCAAAGGCAGACCTTCTCCAGAAGAGATTGCCGAAATAAGACGTCTACGCAAAGTTAAGAAAGAAGAAGAGAGACAAAAGCTCATCGAACGAGGTATAGATCCAGATGAAGTGAATAAACCACCAGAATTGAGGTTCATCAAGAGAAAGCTCTTGCAAATACCCTCCTCTGAGGTAGAAGCAGAAGCAGGCACTGAGCCAGAGTCGTTAAGAATCAAAATCATGTCCTACAATATGCTTGCACAGGCATTGATTAGACGTAAGCTATTCCCAACTAGTGGAACTGCATTGAAGTGGTCTACCAGATCTCAAGTGCTTATATCTGAAATCAAATACTACGACCCAGAAATCATGTGTCTACAAGAAGTTGATTTCATTCAATTCAATTCGTACTGGAAAGTGCAATTCGATCAATTGGGTTATGACTGTAAGTACTATAGGTCTGGATCTAAGAACCACGGTTTAGCTATAGCTTATAAAAGAGACATTTTCATAAATACTCATTTGTCTCACATAAACTACGATAAGGAAGAAACATCCAATTTAAAGCCTAGTTGTATTACAAACAATGTTGGTCTCTTGGCTAGTTTGACATTCACTCCCAAGGTATTATCGAAATATAAGAAAATAAGCAAGAAAGGTGTTATAATTGGAACTACACATTTGTTCTGGCATCCTTTCGGAACCTATGAAAGAACAAGACAAACTTACATCATATTGAAGAAGGTAAAAGAGTTCCAAAATACACTCGCAACAATAGAAGGTAGTGGTGATTGGTATACATTATTTGCTGGGGATTTTAACTCTCAACCGTACGATGTTCCTTATTTGTCCATTACTTCGAAACCAGTCAAGTACGTGGAAAGAGGTAAACTTGTCTTGGGATGTTCATTATCTTACCAATACTCGAAAAATAGGGGTAAGGTTGATCAAGGTGACGAGGGTGAAGGTGTTGAAGTGGAAGAAGAAGATGAAGAACAAGAAGTAGAAGAGGAGGAGGAGGAGGAAGAGGGTGGTAATGTTGAAAAATATGGAACCAATCAGCCGAAGGACCCTGTGCCCGAGACCTTTGATTTCACTGACGAACAGCTACAAACGGTACATGACATGGAAGATCTACACAATTCACTAGATGTTAGAGCAACTTCGTTATATTCAGTTGGTTACGAAATCGTAGACCCTAAAAATTCTGGAATAGACAACGATAGAAAAGAACCGTTCTTCTCTAACTGGGCACATGCCTGGAGAGGATTACTTGACTATATTTTCGTCATCAGCAAATGGGACATGGAGACCGATAACTCTCAAGTTGATACCATAGAACAGGTACAAAAACAATTCGGGATAAAGCTTGTAGGTTTACTTCAATTGCCCCATCCCGATGATATGGGACCCGAGCCTTCAGGTCAGCCTCGTCTTGGTCAATTTCCATCTGACCACTTATGTATAATGTCCGAAATTGAACTTTCCTGAGGCAATCAAAAGCATCGAATTTAAAGTTTTTGACTTTGAACAAGTAGATTAGATTATAGAATAAATAGATGCATGACCTCCATATCCACCGTGGGCGACAACCTGCTTGTCGCCAATAGTTAAAATATTGAAACACAGCTTACATACATCTTCTTCACGAAAAAATCAGAAGTGTTCCACTACTCCTGTTTGAATGCACGTACCTCTCTACCTAGAACTGATCATTGTATCAACCAAATCGTCTAATGGACCGTAATCCTTCGTACTGATTAACAGAAACTCGTTACTAAACAAAACGAAATGCTTCAAACTGGTATTCAAGTGACTCTGAAGTCCCAATTCTGAGATCTCGTGGAAATGATGACAGTAGATATGTGCATAGATTCTAAACAATCTCTTGAAAATGGTCTTTATGAGAGCCTGGAATTGCAGAGGGAATGGTGCTCCTACCTTGGAAGGGAAGATGTTATCGTTATCAAAAAAATTTTGAATCCAATTCATTAAATTTTCAATGTACTCGCTCGCAGGGAGTGAAACTGGACGCTTGGGCAGGATAGAGCCACTGGAGCCACTAGCTGAAGAGTTTGACTCTTGCCAGAGGTATTCATATTCCTCAGTGGCAATCATCCTGGGGCAAGTTATAGGTGAACAAAATTCTGTTATTGCTCCGTAAAGCATATTGATCTGGTTATAGAAATCAACCAGGTGAACTGCGAGCCACTCGTTGAGATCCTCGTCCTGTGGGAGTTTCACTGCCTGGATCAACGCATTGTCTGATCCAAGAGTTTGCTCAGCGTAAGACCTAATATCACGGTGTGATGATACAGGCTGGCCACCAGCATCATTGCCATTGGAATCAAGTTGCTTATTGTTACTTTTTATGGTTTGAAAGACCTCATTATTCTGATACTGCTGAGGTATTTGTGGAGTCGATGGGAACGCACTATTGGAAATGGGCTGTGGTGAGGAAATAGGAGACGATTGCTTGAGTTTGAAACCTCTGGTCGATCTCAAGGAGTGAGTGTTGAAATTCTGAAAGAATGACATAACAATATGTATGAAAAGTTTTAGGTACCTAACAGATGAATAAGTCCTACCAGGGATCACTTTTGGGTATGTATACTCCGGGTGGTTTAATTTTTTTTTTGTTATTCATTTTCAAATGTTTGATCTGTCGCTTTGTGAAGGTGCACGGGTGTATTAATTGAACATTGAATTTGTTTACAAAATTTCCATTTTAAGAAACAAAACAAAAATAAAACGAGGTCATGCAGGAACAACCCATTTCCGAAATTCACTAAGAAAGGGGACCTGAGCATCCAGGGCCAGAGAGTCTCTCACGTAAAGAGAGGCTAAATGAGAAGCAGACTAGAATGAAAAACAGACGGCATTGTTTTCGAATGCCGAGAATGTATAGAAGTATAGAAGCTTAATTTGTAACTCAAAGGACAGGTGTGCTCAGCCTTTCAGGGCAGGATATTTTATTAACCATAGTGAAACGTTTCTAGATAGTCAGACCCTGTAATGTTTGAAATTTCTCACATGTATTTTCCATGCTCGCTTCCAAGAGGTTTGTCTGCTCTTTGACGTAGAAATTCTGTTTTGGTGCATGAAAATGCTGCACGAAGACCCTTTTATTTTCTTGCACCGTTCCAGAGTATTGAATTAAGCACCACCACCCCCCACGTTTTACGCTGAGGTGTTTAGGATGAAGAATGCTTTTTTGGGCGTTTCTAAGCCCGTTTGTGTCGTTCCTAAGATTCGCCAATGCGTATTGTAAGCCCGGTTTTAACAGGGCATATGCCGAACATGTAGCGAATATATGGTTGTTGTTTGGCGTTTCCATGCATTAGCAGGCGGATATAGACTTTCAGTAGTCATAACTTTTCAGATGCTTCCCAGCATGCAATAAATTTCTTACATGTATATATATAAAGGTGGGTTCTACCCCTGCATTAGACACTTTCCCTGTTTTCTTTTCCCTTCTCCACCAACCTTTTCCAATAAAATATTAAAGATGCAAAAATATTTATTCTTAGCTTCACTTGTGGCCATTGTTTCAGCTGCTACTGAGACCGCTGCTGATGATTCTGCCACCACAGACGCTGCTGAATACTCCATCGATTATGCTCAATTATCTTCACTTTATGGTGAACTCGCCAACACTCAATATCTTTTGTCTGCCTATTCTGCTGAACTTGAAGCCGTCTACGGAACTACCTGGTCTGAAGCTGCTGCCGCCATCCTTGCGGAAGCAACATCTCTGGGAGCAGACCAGTTGGCTCTCGCATCTTCCTTAGCTGATGTTTATGAATCTTATGCCTCGACAGCAGTAGAATCAGGTGCAATCACTACTCCAGTGGAATCTACTCTTTCTGATTTCAGTTCCCAAACTAATTCAGTAATTGAAACTGACTCGAGCGCCGATTCATCTGCCGCTTCATCAGGCTCAGCATCTGATTCAGCATCAGACTCTAGTACTGGTACTAGTTCATCATCTGGATCTTCATCAACTGCTGGCGCTTCTTCAACAGGTTCTTCATCATCTGCTGGTGCCCAAGCTATTGCTGTTGTTCCATTTGTTGGTACTTTTGCTGCATTACTTGCTGCATTATTCTAAAATTGATACCCAATGAAAATGCCTCAATTAGTATCCCAAAGTGGATCTTACAGTTATATAAGATTAACAGTTTAATACTAAAATGATTGATATAATAAAAACCTTTTACTTGATGTAACCAATCTTTCAGAATCGTGGACTATGTAAATTTTGTTCTAGTGTAGGGAAATCCCAAGGTAATTTGTATTCATATTTAGATAATTGTTACTTCATTCCAATAGGTATGCATAAATGCTGAGACATTTCTGGATTGAATTCTCGCCAGTAGTAATATAATTTGCACGGCTGCAAATGACTACATGTGCCCGAATTGTTGAGCTATCAAAACAACTCTTCTTTATCTAGGATGTAAAACGATACTGAGAGTAAACTTACGCTGTAGTTACATATAAAGGTGGCAGGTGCTGACGCTGTATATTTATAAAAAATAATTATTTTTCAGATTTCTTAGTATTTCGATCACCTTTAAAGCTTGAATAATTGATCTCGGTTGAACTAACATTCTTTCTAAATCCATGATCTGATCCATGTAATTTTGCTCTTCACTAAAAATTATGATTTTAGCTACATTTGCCTATTCAATTTGTAAAAACTCTTTATTCATTTCATTTATTGGCCCAAGACTAAGACATTAATAGTCAATCCCCTTGCTCCACTACAGCAAAACGTATATCCAAAGCACTCCATTAAATTTCTGAATTTTTTGCTATTCCATTATATTGATACTTGTGGCTGTAGCAGCTGGCACTCCTTCACTCCATCTTGAGTTTGTTGATGACTAAGACATGTTGCATGGGGCCATGAAGATGTAGTACCCCATGCACCTATACCTTGACCAATTGACCAATTTTCCGTCTTCACTGATTTTTCCTGTACACCAATATTGGTGTAAGATTTCTCAATACTCTAGTATTCTCTAGAAAGCAAAGGAGCCATCTCGATCAGATGTCATCAAATCTGGGAATTACGCCTCTTTCTATTTATGGTCTTGAGGCAGAGGATATGAGGAACTTTGAAGAACTCTCTGCCAAACAATTCTGCCAACAAATACTGGCCCTTTGGTCCCGATATCCTTGCTTTGAACTACAATGCTTGATTCCGTTAGTAACAACTCAACTATTACAGCCAGTTCTACTTCTGCTAACAACAAGAACGACAATAGCGAAGATAGTATCGGAAGTTCTTAATGCGGGTTCAATTTATTTGTTTCTTTTATGTAGCTGGAGACACATTTGGTGTAGTTTCATATTGAAAACAGCATGAGAATCGTATTGCAATTTAATTATATAGCTTTAAATGTATAACCTCTGTGTATTTTAGTCCATCCTTTGTTCAATGTATATAAAGTGTGCAAGTACAAAGTTGAATTACTTAAAAGTTATCGTGAGTTCCGTTTATAAATGATTGAATTTGGTGCAAATATATCGTGGCTTAGAAGTGTTGCACAGTTCAGCCGTTCCTTGCGGCTGAAAATCTCAACGCTCAAACAAATAAAATTATGCAACAGAGATTGGTAACGGTTTGGTAGCAACTGGAGGGCTCTCATCTCAACGGAAATGGTACTATGATCCTCTTCAGTTATATTTTAATATGAGAAAACAAGAAAGAAATCCAATACTTCCTTCCTTTTGTGATGGAGCAGCGTCCTCACTTTTTTGCTTCGTCCTCAGAAGTTTTAACTTACAGATCAAATATGTGCCATATTCAAGAGGTATTCACTATGATCAAATCTTCAACAGAAGGCTCCTAGGTATCATTACATGGCACATTATTTCTTAGAAAATTTCATGTAGTATAATAACAGCTGACAATCGGCAGTAATTGATACAATAATTGTGAGTGACTGCAGACATTAAAACCTACTTCGTGGAGAATCACACTCAGGTTGAAGCACAGTATCCAGACCCCTTAAATGAGTAAAAGATATACCTCTATAAATAGACTAATAATATTCTAAGTGCCTTAGAACCATATTATTGTGATCAATGTAAGGTTTGAAAAATAAATTGCATCTGAAAAAGTGGTAATTCCCTTCCGAGTGAAATATTTCTGATCGGAAATGCACAGCACTATGCTTAAGAAGATATGTAATCGATTACTGATTTCGTTCTAGTAAAGTAATTACTTTATGAAATCAAAAAGAAGCTCCCTTCACTATTAAACTATCATAAAGAAATAGGAGACAGTCAAAAAGAGGTATATAGTTTTGTCAGATTCACTAAAATATTCTTGGCCATTACATTATTTTTTAATACTGTTACGAAACTTTAAATAGGATACGTAATATGAGTAATTTGAAATCAATTCCTTTTGGTACTCTAAAGTCGACGAAAAGATTCCCATGAGCTCTAAAATGATGGCACAAGTAGACTACTTGTGATGGTTCGTTTCAAAACTAGAATTTACAAGTACATCCTTATAAAGCTTAATTTTTCGATTTAACCAGTTTGCAATTTCAGAAGAAGTATCTCTACTTATCACTTTGGATTCTTTCTATGAGATGCGAACCAACTGAATGAAGCAGCATTTATATTACATAAATTCAAATGAATGATATATTTTTGCTCAACCAAAGAGAAAAGTTGTATAAATTGTAAATGGTCTGATTTTTGAAGCAATAATCACCCTTCAATAAGTGAAAACCTTAAATATGGACCACCCTCGAAATTCTATGAGACTACATAACTTGCAAGAATTAAACTTACCTCCCTCTTAAAACTAAGGTGTTGTAATCTCAGAGCCAAGAATTACCATAAAATAGTAAGAAGGTATCCTATAGAACCCTTCAATTGAGTTGTCAGATTTACTTCAATCACCCTTCTTATACAGAGACTCTAACTTACTTGAGAGCTAGTTGGTAACTCTTAAATGAATCTTATATTCGAATCTCTGTCCATCAAACACTCTGGTACCTGTTTGTGTTTCTAATAGAAATGGTCTTCTGAGCTAAAAGATTATCTCTATAGAATGCACTTACGAAACTTAATAGTGAATTAGGACTTTGATCACAAAATTGCTTGGCAAATTGAGTTACATCGTAGCTGCAAAGTTGAAGTTGATAAATATAAGATACCTTCCGCATAAGTTTCAATATTCAAGTCCGAATCATTTCCTGATAAGAACAGTTGAGCTAAAATTAATTATAATGACAAAAATACTAATATTAATAGTTCATTTGGTGAATATTTTAATTCTGGTAGGGGCTGCAAATGTTCAGCCAGTTGAATTGAGAAAGAGAGCTCTGACTTCCATAACATCCGATGATCATGGATATGGGTATACGTTTGTTGACGGCGTTTTAATGAATGGTTTACTAACAGACGGAGGAGAGACACCAACCCCAGGTGGAGGTGAGACACCAACTCCAGGTGGAGGTGAGACACCAACTCCAGGCGGAGGTGAGACACCAACTCCAGGAGGAGGCAACACACCAACTCCAGATGGAGGTGAGACACCAGCCCCAGGCGGAGGTGAAACCCCAACTCCAGGCGAAGGTGAGACACCAACTCCAGGAGGAGGTGAGACACCAACTCCAGGAGGAGGCAACACACCTACCCCAGGTGGAGGCAACACACCTACCCCAGGTGGAGGTGAGACCCCAACTCCAGGTGGAGGTGAGACCCCAACTCCAGGTGGAGGCGAAACTCCAACTCCTGGAGGAGGCGAAACACCAACACCTGGGGGCGACACACCAACACCTGGAGGCGACACACCAACACCTGGAGGCGACACACCAACACCTGGAGGAGGCGACACACCAACACCAGGTGGAGGCAGTACACCAAATCCCGGTGGAGGCAATACAACTACCCCAGGCGGAGGAAGCACACCAACCCCTGGCGCTAAAGTTAATTCCAGTACCACTTCTACCGCTGGATTTGCAACTTACGAGCCAATAGCTGGTACTTTACTAGGAACAATAGCAATCATTATTGCGATGTTACTTTAGCAATGTCAAGTTATATCTATATTGAGTCTTAACCATACCATAGTTAATCAATAACATTTTTAAGAAAACAAACTCAATTAATTGTTTGAATAAATGAAATTTTAATGAAATCTAAATCCTCTGAAATGTACTCTCGATGCATAAGATCTACACTGTCTCGCAGCACAAACTATAAGACCCAGGCTATAAATTGTCGAGGTCAGAGTTTTTCCAAATCAGGATAATCTGGTTGTCAAAGGGATTGAAATTGAATTTATCGGTAGATCAGATTAAAAGTGAGAACTACCATTCATGGTCTGATCCACTTTTTCAATGAGTTAAAATAGTTTAACATATTTCTTTCCCCTGCTAAGCTTTACCTTATCCTTTCTTTTCAAACTATTTCTGAAGAATACCGTAGATCTCGTTCTTTCACTATTTAATTTAACAAAAGATTCTTCGATAGCCTCAATCAAGAAGAAAGTTACGCTATACGCATTCTGACGAAGTGAACCAACAGAATCACCAAATGAAATTAAAGCATTTATTGCAGGAAATGAATCATTTTTCAAGGAAGTATCATTACTTATTACCTGCATCACATCTAGTGAGTTATACCCAGATTGAATTTTACAATGAAGCTTCCACAAGTCCTTAAGAACTAGCATGTCATGGGTCAATTCATAATTACCCTGGCAACCTAGAAGTAGTTCATTTATGTCTCTTTTCATCCACGGGAAAGATTCACTAAATAATCTTCTCCCGTAGTAGGAAAATACGAACGGATACTGTAACTCTAGCTTAACTATAATTGAGGAAATTGAATATTCAATTGCTTCAACCATCTCGACAAGGTTCAATGTTGAGCCAGGAATGAAGTATTTAAAGTCAATAATAATTTTATCCATTTGCTTCACATTTTCGGTTCCTAATGACATTATTTCAGAGTAGTACGAATCAAAAATTCTACAATTCATTTTTAACTCAATGGTATATGATTCGTTGTGCACTATCTTCGGTGAAAAATGAAGATCTTTGAAATATTCGCTTGCTCTAAAGCAAATAGCAAATGAATCTCCCAATTCTCGGGGAATTTTAAAGCCATTATAAGATATAAGAAAGAAAATCTTTACAATAGGTTGCTATGTTAATATTTTGACCAAAATGCCAAACAAAATAGAAATTGTTAAAAATTGTGCATGGTATCTCTCACTCTAAATGATGGGCTAGGAATCACAAGTGATGTGCCCTCAAGGACTTCGCTATTACTTTGGGCTTGATACGTCATTTGGAACATTTCTCTATTCTTTCCAGAACATCTAATGCTATCAAACATGTTATTCTCTAGTGAAAAGAATGGATAGTTTAATTCATAGTTTGTTTCATTATCTCTATGCTGCAAAAAAGGAAATCTGTACTGGTCATCCATATGCACTACCTTCGAAGATGAACATAAAACGATATGGCTCATCAGAGCTTCATCATCTTGGCTCCAATAAACCAGCTGAATTGAAAGTAGTAGTATACGTAGGGTGATGTCGTTTCCAATAGTCTCAAAGTTTGGAGTTCTAGTGCCGAAATCGTATACTATAACGTACTCTTCCATAGAAAACTTCTCTTATAAAAAGCAATTGCTTGTGCTATATAAAAGATTTTACAAGCTCCGACTTTACCAGGCTGATAGCCATAGTAAAATGAACTACGTGAAATATCTTAAGAGGAAAATCAAATACGAAGATTTCAACCTAAGAAGAAGAATATTTCTCGAACAGAATTGTGTTGAAGACCTATCTCCTACTGATATAGTTAGACGAATGGTCAATACCTTAGCATTTGTTCAGAATGCCTCAGTTTTCAACCGAACGTACGAAAACGAAGCAAGATTGAATGGAAACAAAAATTCTTCCAAAGAAACTAGTGGTTTATACGCGGGGACAATAGAATCTCAAATTCTTGCTACCATCTTACATATGGAGTACTCTATGCCTACTAGCGTGAAGGTGGACCACAAGTTCTCTTGGGTTGATAAGCTCAATATGGTAGTACTGCAGATAGAGACTCCGCTCAAGTTTGAAAAGTCATCACTCAAGATGGAGAGCACACTAGTACTTATGGGGTATATAGATTATCAAGAAAATTTGATGAGTTTGAATGAAAGCTACCGAATATGCCTATAGAAGCAAATAATACAGAAAATAGATAAAAATAAAAATAGAATGGTTGAAGAAGTTAAAGAAGTTTAGTGTGCTTAGAATCCCTCAGCGAAGATCGTTCATACTTCATCAAATGTGTCACACCTCGAACAACTAGTTAAACTGAAGAGGGAATGAACAAGCTAATACCCAAGTTGTGGTCAAGTGTATATTAGTATAATAGAAATAACTTGGAGAATTAAATAGCGTTCATCTCTCTATTAGACCAGCCCCTATATGTATACGTATACACATCCATGTAACTACTATGCGTTTAATGCACCTTCCAAAGAGATACTAACGTGCTCCTACTCTCAGACGAAAAAAAGTGTGGATTATTTCGTATGTATTCATCTCTCGTTTATCTAGGAACGTCAACCTACTCAACACTTCTTATTTTCACACATTTCGTCACTCAGCTACAAAACTACCACATTCTGTTGAAACACAATTTGCATGGTTGCACCCATCTGTTGCACCCACCTGTTGCGTGCACTTATCAAATCGAATTCTCTGCACGCATTCTTTCCCCATAATTTGAACTTTTCACTTGAACATCAGCAATAAAACTTGGTGGCGGGTCACCATCTACCTACTCCCAGTGCTTCCTGTAATATCAGCTCCAGTTTTAAATATCCGATGGCCTGGTTCTCTTCTAAACCTTCAAATCCCTCGTCGGAACCAACTCAATTGGAACAAAAGTCCCATCTCCCGCTTAACATTGCCCCTGGCTCAGATATCTCCACTACGTTGAACCAGATTTCTGACCACCCTAGTGACATCAAGATTACTGAAATCTCTAACCGTGAAAATATAAATCAATCAGTGTCAGATTTTGTAGCTCAGCGTCCGTCAAACTTGTTCGTTATTGATGGTGAGAAGGATAAAAAGGAAAGTATTATATGTACTAGCAACTCTACTGGTGGGAAGACTTGTTTAAAGTTAGGATATAATTCAATTGAACTATTTAAGCATATGCAAAAGTTGGAGTACTTCTGTTCCTTACCAGATGATATAAATGCCACTTACTTCGAGTGCCGTAAGATCCAATAAATATATTAAACCAGTACATAGTTTCTACATACACACACTCACACGCACACATGCAAATTTAAATTGAAAATAAGTATATATTATTAATTTTTATCTATGAATGCAGAATACAACATCATCGTAAATTTCCAAAATAAATATAGACAACTTCTATTGTAGGACTCTTGTTGGATTGTATATACGGAGATGTTTTAAAATTATAGCCAATAGTTTCTCTTTCGATATCTTAAATGAATAAGCCTGCAACTAGCGCCAATGCTGCGGTGAAAATAGAACCACCATTGAGCCCAGCTTTGTTTTCGCAATCAGTAGTAACCACAGAAGCAAAGCTAGAGTTGGTGAAATTACCTTCAGTTCCAAAGTCTATTCCATTGTATGTTCCATTCAAAGTGGAATTGAAATCTCCGTCGGTGACTTTGAGTAATTCTGAATTTCCAACTACAACCGGGGCAACAGCAGCTAATATCGAATGCTCCTCTATTGAGACAGCAGCTTCCTTAGCAGAAAAATCATCCTGTGCACCAAATTCCACCTCATTTAAGTCATATTCGTCATTTTCCAAACCGAACACTTCCAAGTTTCCCTTTTCTTTATACGATTCTAAGAGCGTAGCAGTTCTTGCAGAACTTGCTAATTCAATGTTTGCGCAGGCAAACTTTGTAAGATTGGCGAAATGGAAAACAACTGACTTACCAACGATATACGAAGGAGATGCTGGGTTCAATGAAAGGTATGGATCGTAGTATTTAGTTTCAAAGCAAGTAGTATCGATCCAGCCATGCTTTCCAGACAAATCACCAACTTGACAGTAACTGTCGTCACGTTGATCCTCACAGGCAGGTGGAGCACTAAAAGGATTGAAATGTTGCCCAACAGCATTACAATCGCCGCTAGGAGGAACAGGCAGGTCGTGGATATGATATTGGAAGGGACCACCAGATTCTGGCAAGCCTGTAATATCAACGTGCACTTTTACCTTATTACCACGCTTGACATAAAATACAATGGTTCCTTTTGGAAAGTCTGCAATTGCAATAGTTCCAGGAGTGTTGTCGGTGTTTTGGGGCGCCTGGTCTGCAACAGCAAACGCAAGAATGGAGAGAAGGGCGGGAGTTGAGAACTTCATAGTTAAATTGATGGTTAGTGTATAAATTGAAAGTTAAGAAAAGGTTATATCAAGGAAATCAAGAGTACTTAAAACCTCACTTCTAGATAAAGCACATATCAGAACATAAGCACAAAAGCCATTATTTGGACAAGATCCAAGACACAGATACATTCGAACGTACTTGGTATGGCCATAGAAGTTGCACAAATGGCTGCAAATTAGGTTATCGATGTCCTGCATGTAGCCCGTTCGATTTTTGAAACTCGAAATAAAAAAATTATAGACAGCAACTTGGCGGGTCCGAAATCGCACAAGTCCCAAAAGGGAAACAGCTGCAGCGGAGTATGGAAGAGAGTGAACTGGACAAGGGCCTTCTGATTGAGCTGCCTTACTAGAGTATAGGGAGTGTCAAAGCAATGTCAATTGGAGCTTACTGAGGTAAGTAAGGACCAGATAATTTATGGGATCACTTAGACTCCGCTTTTCTCAATGTCAGCACTGTTACAGCTGTTCCATAGTACTTCTACACTTCTACACTTCTTTTCTCATTGCTACATGTACAAGGAAAGCCTTCCCTTAATGTCTACAACTCACTTTCTCTTTCACTTGACTTCTAGTCGTGTAATAAATAGTATCCACCCAAATTGAGTAAATACAAAAATATATAATTATGTATCGTAGATATTCGTTATGCTAATGTTTATGTATGTTTATGGGGCACCCTGTATGCTTATACCATGAAGGACTCTCCACAGCCACAGGTTCCCTTGGAGTTTGGATTTCTAAAGATAAATCTAGATGAAAGTTTGTCATCCAACCAGTCCATTTGAGATCCAACAATTGAGAAAAGTGCTTTGGAATCAATAAGAACCTTGACTCCGTCTTGTTCTACAAGCTCGTCAAACTTTCCTCCCTCTGTCACATACTCGAGATGGTATGTAAGTCCGGAACACCCTCTGTTCTTAACACCAATTCTTATAAGTTTGGGTTCAGGTTGGTCAATGAGCGCCTGAAGATGGTGCACAGCGGATGGTGTGAGTGTAATAAGGGCCTTTCTTGGTCTGAGCGTTCTCTTCTTCTTAGCTGGCGCTGGTGCTGCCGCTTGTATTGGGGCCAGTGCAGTAGCTGTTGTGACTTCTGGTGTTACTGGAGCAGCCTTATTGGCTTCAGTTGAGGCACTGGCCTTGGTAAGCACCGACTCGGAAGCAGGTGCAGTGGCCACTGGCGCCGTCGAACTAGTCTGTGATTGAGTTTGAGGAGAAGCTCTGTCCTTGAACCTACTGGCTCTCGACCTTCTCTTATGCTGTGGTTGGGAAATTTCTATAATTGTGGATGCCTGTTGCTGTTGTTGCTGCTGTTGCTTTTGCTGTTGGGTACTTATTTGCTGTGGTGCTGACAACGAATGTGCTGCCCATTTCGAACCGAAACTCTTGCTGGCGCTTGCAGATGAACTACCACGGCCTTGTACTGGATCAATCAGGTAATTCAATCCAGTGAATTCATTTGATTTGTTGCCAGAGTTCGATATTGGAATGGTTCTCAAAAACCGTCTGCCCCCGTTGACCGATTCTCCTCCGGAAATCGACCTCAACGAAGCAACGCTTTGCTTGGTGCTGATAATATGTCTGAATGGCGATGTTACTCTCAACATATTACTTGTTTAACTTGATATAGACGAAGATCAACTGAATTGCTAGGAAAGAAGTGTGGTCTCTATTTTTTTTTCTGCCTTTGTCAGCCCGGGGGATAAAAGGAAGAAGAAAAATTGTTTTTGGGGAGAATTGCACTGCATATAGTGCTTACTCATAGTTTAGCTGACTATGAATGATCCATGTGGGTCGTGCCGGAGCCAAGAATACAGTAAGCAAACATTTGCGTGAGATTATTGGCTGAGAGAAAAGAAGAAAAAAATCTGTTTGGGGGTCATGCAGGACGAATGGGCCAGTGGAACTGTAGTGTTGCACATTGTGAGCAACTATGCTAGCTGGGGTCAGTGGAACTCTTTGAGGAATTGAGCTTGTGGTAGGATGTATTTGTGGGTCGTGATCTAGGGCTAGTGGGAGAAATACGTAACTTTGAGTATTTAAAATTAAGGAAAACCATTACCAACTGCCCAGTATTATGATTATTTTGCTGTGAGGTTGCTCCCGTGTCTCATATATATTACGGTGCAGCTCTACAAAACATTGGTTCTGCTATAGTGGCCGAAGAAGAGTAAATAAAAAAGAGGAAAAGAAATGGTACCAGTGCGTACACTGTTCTCATCAATGATATATGACCCTTATACGTAACTTACTATGCTACCTTCCCATCTTCTACCTCTCCAATCGTAGATCTCTGTACTTAGACTGTACCTGCACCATGGAGCGTTAAGGTTTATGCGGCTCGGCGATTAAAAAATAATTGCAGCCATTCTGATCTACTCACAGTTTAGTGTAGGCAGATGTCTACATAGATCTTTAGTGATAGGGTATGTATTTTCAGGTGTCTACTCTACTCACGTCACTAATATTATTTTTCGGAGAACAATAATTATTCCTTTCATAGCTTTGATGTTATATATCTAGGTCGAGTACCTGAACTTTGGATTCTCTCCGTCAGTTAAATCGAGAAACTCTGAATTTTCAACTCCATCATCTTCTAGCATTTCCTTCTTCTTATTTTCCCAAATGTAAGCCATCCAAGTTAAAACGAGGACAACTAGTGCTACCAGCCCACATGCAACGATTCCAATCTTTGCTTTGTTATAAAGTGGAGCATCGGTAGATCTGAAAGTTTGCGGTCCAATCAAGTTACCAGTACAGTACCCGATTAAGAAAATAGCATTAGTTGTAACTTTCTTCGTGTGCCCTCCTACATTAGATGCAACGAGCGACAATACGCAAATGAATCCAATTGGGCCAATTCCAGCTAATGTGTAACCGCAGAATTGTAGTGTCGTATTAGAGCCAAAAGCCAAGAAACACTGTGCCATCAACGTTATCGACATCCCCAATGTTGCCCAGAAGAATCTAGACTTCACGTATTTATGACAAAATGCAAATAAAATACATCCCGCAAATTCAATTGCCCCACTTGGCATTTGCATGAGTAAGGCTTTCTTGGTGGTATACCCCAAACTATCAGTAAGTAAAATACTAGCAAAATTGGTCGTACCACCATTGGGGATATCATCTGCCAATGCAAAAATAAACAAGAGCCATGTTTTGTAATCAGTAAGGGCTTCTATAAATTGATATTTTTTGAATGTTTTGTTCCCAAAACCTTGCTGATTCACTCTAATACGTTCTACTACCAATAACTTCTCTTCTTCCGTCAAAAACCATGCCTTGGGTGGACTATCGGGTATGTGGAATAAAATGACAAATCCCATACAAATGGTCAAACAACCGGTGATGATGAAAACTAATTTCCATGCTTCAATTGAATAGGCGTCTTGGTGAGAGTAAAGTCCAAATGCAAGACCGGACCCAAGAATAATCCCAAGTCCATTACAAGCAAACCAAATAGTGACTCTCAAAAATTGTTCTTCCTTAGTATACCATTGGGAAGTTATAATTGTAAAGGCAGGGGTAATAGATGATTCAAGCATGCCTAAAATTGTTCTTAAAGTAATAAAACCAGCATATTGGGGAACTGCATGCAAAGCTAATATGACCCCCCATAATACAATAAACAAAGACACCATTTTAGCAACTGGGAATCTTTGTAAGAGAAGGACGGCTGGGAACTCAAAAAATAAATACCCCAAGTAAAAAGATGTCCCAGTCCAGGTGTACATGTTTCCTACCATGGCTAAGTCTGTTTGCAATCCCATAATAGAGGCATACGAGTTGGAAACTTTATCCATAAATTGGAAACAGTAAAGAAGACATAAAACAGGAAGCAAGTAGAAATCGATTTTCCGAAGAAGTTTCTTGTCAGTCTCATCATCTATTACAATATTTTCCTCCTTATTGTGGATAGCCAATTTCATTGCTTCATCTACTTTACTTAAATCTACATCTTTCTCGATACTAATAGCATCTTCAACTGCCACTGTAACGGCAACTCCTTTTTTATCTTCCAGCATTATGATCCTATATTATTTTTATACTTCTCTCTACCGTTAGGGATATTACTTAGGGAAGAGGACGAATCCTAGGATGAATTGCAGCTGTTTTATATTCATTACAACTTGCTGTGGTTCATATTGCAACATCGTTAGATAAGGTTGCATATCTGAAATTTGGAAATTCCGTTCCATTATCTATATTTCGGCCCATCCTATTGTCATCCCGGTTATCTTTGTGTCAATCATAGCTTCATGAACACACGGAATGGAGTCTTAACCAGGCTTAGGATCCTTACTCAAAGACTCGAATTTTGCGATGTGTGATAAGCAAAAGGGGAGGCTCATGTGGCTCTATACCGATTTGGTGGTTTTTATGCGTCACCGGGCAATCAATCGTTACTCGCAGATGCAAGTAGATTAGATTGCATGAAATCACCACCAGATGATGTGCAACTTCTGATGCAAGGCCAACGATCTCCGAGGGAGATGATATGCAAGGAGATAGTTTAATTTCTTTAATATGCTAGTAAATGAATTTATTTTACAGGATCCATTGTCTTTATCTATTTATTTATTTCGAAATATTACTCTAGTAATCATTTATTTACGAGGCTAAGTTAATTTCTCGGCAAGTAATTTTATTTAGTAAAAAAAATAAAAATATTGCTTAACTGCTAACAAAATGGAGGGTGGGGTCAATAATCTACCGAATATTTGAGACTTGCTTTACCAGACTTCATCTTAAAGTGGTGCGGTCTCCCTCTTCAACCATTTGTATTCCAAACTATTAGCAACAAAACTGGAACTCAAATCGTTCCAAACAGTTTGATGATATTCATTTATCCACTTCTTTTCTTGTTCAGTCAACAACTTTAAATCAATCAATTTGCGGCAAAATGGAACCCTTGTAACAGTCTCAAATTCTAAAAAGTTCTTACCATTGTATGAGGTTCCAGATTCCTTCACAAACATCACATTTTCTATTCTGATACCATATTCCCCATCTTCGTAGTATCCTGGCTCATTGGAGAGTAAATGACCTGGCTTTAAAAATGACTTGGCAGCATTTGGTCTAGGTCCAATACCTATTGGACCCTCGTGCACATTTAAGAATGATCCAATACCATGAGAAGTACCATGGCCATAGTCAAGAGAATACGACCAAAGATGCTGTCTTGCAATCGAATCGATTAAAGCCCCCGTAGTGTTCTCTGGGAACTTCAATGACCCAAGTGCAATATTACCCTTCAATACTAAAGTGTAGCTTTGGATTTCTTCTGGCTTTGGTGTACCAAAGTGGATAGTTCTAGTGGTATCGGTTGTACCTTCTAAAAATTGAGATCCACTGTCATTAAGGTAAATTTTATCTGGGTTAATTACTGAGCATTCACCCTTGACTGGCTTGTAGTGGATAACTGCTCCATTGGCCCCGGTGGCTGAAATAGTGGTAAATGATAACCCCTCAAAGTTGGCTTCTTGCTGCCTAAAGGAAGTTAATTTATCATCAGCTTCAATTTCATCTATAAGTTCACTATGATTGACTAACTGATCTTCCAACCAGGCAAACGTACGAACCAACGCACGTCCATCTTTGAGATGTGCAGACTTTGCTCCTGCGAGCTCAGTTGCATTCTTGATACTTTTCAAGTCTTCCACAGGAGATCTGCTCTGTTCAGTGGAGCACTTGAGAGTACGGGAAACTTGCCACGATACAGTTTCTGGTATTAAAAGTTTAGATTGGGTGTTGGAAAGCTTGAAAGATGAGGAGAGCTGTGCAAGGTCCTTCCAGAATGCATCGTATGGTTTGACGGATATCTTATTACCCTTGAGGTATTCAGCAGTCTTTTCCAATATTCTTTCTGAGTCAGTGAATAATGTTACACCATCATCTATGGTCAAGATAAGATAGGAGTAAAATACAGGGTTGAATTCTATATCTGAACCTCTAAGGTTCAACAACCAAGCAATTTCATCTAATGCAGTCACAACCAAACCGTTAGTATTCTTAGCCTTAAGTTCTTTGATGGTAGCATCAATCTTATCCTGTGCGTCTTTACCGTGGTATTCCTGGCTCAATACTCTGACTGGGTTACGAGGTCTTTGGGGTAATTCTTCAAATTGCGGCCAAATCTTGTCAACCAAATTTTCTTCGATAGCCATCAACTTGACTTCTGCCTTGGAATATTTGCTTATACTAAGCTTCTCAGTTATGATCTTCTCTATTTTCTCAGCAGCGGTGGAAGTAATTAACTTGGGATCAACACCAATGAAAATCTCAGATCCGGAATCAAGAGACAATTGGATTGCCTGGATTACAGCCCATTCTTCCCAGGTTGGTTCATCTTTGGCGCCTTGTTTAAGTAAGAGCCAGTTGAAATCTAATTCGTTTGTGGCTTGGTTGAAGTATCTACCGTCAGTTGACAAGGCAGCAAGTCCCTCAGGAACATCGTTCATGCACATGACATCTCTGGTGACAATAGCAACACCAGCAGATCCCTGGAATCCTGAAATGAAACTCCTACGTTGATCCACAGATGAGGTGTATTCACTCTGGTGCTGGTCTTCGCTGGGTACTATGTAAACTCCTAACGAAGTGTCATGCTCCTGCATGGCATTCCTGAGACTGCTGAGTCTCTGAGATGTGTTAACCTCCTTAATTTCGGGGAGACATAATGAGGCAACGTCCAAATTAAACACAGATCCCTTTCTGGAAGGAGAAGAAGGAATAGACCCACTTGGAGTTCTCTTCAACGAAATTCTTCTATTAAGCAACGATGACCTTCTATTTGTACGAGAGAGTAATCCTGGCGAGCAGGTACAGTTAGCACATTGGGCTCTATTAACTTTTTTCATCTTTTAGTTTTTTTACAATTTTCCTTATCAAATAAAATATTAAAGAAAAGGTGTTTGTAAAATATTTTACTTTATAACTTAGATGAGATTAAGTATCGGTCACTGGTTGACTTTGCTAACCACCTGAAGCGGCTCCAAATTTTTCTGAATTTTTTTTCCCTACTCTTTCAGAATCTGCCAGTGCTGCATGCGGTTTACTAATCAGCTGGTTTCATTGGCATATACAGGCAGTCACGTGTAATTTGTGAGAAATATGCAGTATGGCAACACACAACACAGCTTGATGGAATGATGCCTGGAGAGATAAAAGCCAACAAAAAAGAAACAAGAGGTTGAAAAGAAAGAACAGAAAAGAAACGAGAAAAAATGTGACTATGGGAAAACGAAATACAGTATGTTTGATTCTGGCTAGGATGACAAAATAGCTGAAATCGGTGTCGGTGTCGGAGTTGATCATGCCCTACTGTTGCTCCATTCTGGTTGAACCCGGGATCGCTGAAGTCTAGCGCGATATGCAGGATGTATTCAGGATGCGATGATATCAGATGCTATCTTGGATTATCTGGGAATACATGCAGGTCCCTATGTGAGTAGAAGAGTGTCTTTCTCAGGTAGAAAGTGTGTGTGCATACTAGGTAAGAAGGTAGGTTTACATATAAAGGATCAGTTCAGATGCATGGCGCTCACTATGGCCCGAATTCGAGTACTTTTCAATTCAACCATTTATTCAAGAATTATTTACACTTCTGGGGCAACATGTTTGTGCTCTCCTCTCTCTCTCTCTCTCTTGCTATGTGTTGAACTGTTGCTGCACACGCTCACAAAATATGTCCTGCATATTTAATCTGGATGCGATATGGATATGGATGTGTCGCAGAGAACTGACTGAAGAGCATTCTCTGATCTGTTTGAGGCATACCATTGGTACCAATATCATGTCAAGCTGGGATATAGAGGCTGTTGTTCAAGTATGTGCAAATTACCCTGCATTTTGTTTTGTAAAATTCTTTAAATTTACTAACTAAATTTTTCTCTTGTAGTCCATTGAAACGTTATATTCCACAAATGATCCAGAGAAAGTGAAAAGCATCCAACACTCACTTCAGGATTTACAGAAGTCTTCCGATGGATTGAAATTGGCAGAAATTTTGATAAATACGGAAAGTTCCAGTAATTGTCAATTCTTTGGTGCCTTGACTTATACTGTAGTACTCAATAGCAGTGATCAGTTGACTAACGAAGATGTGGACCAGTTTGTAGAAGTTCAAGGAGATCACATATTAAGACTTGCTCATAACTTGAGCCCAAATTTGTTTATTATTCGTAAACTCCTCTCAAATGTTTCATTGGCATTTATTAAATATTCAAATCATTTTGATAGCCCGATGAAATGGCTACTTCGAATAATAACTGGAGCAGTCGATGAGGTTGCCGGGGATTCTGCTGAACAAGTAGAATTGTTAAATACGCTTTCCAGAGAATATTTATCCATCTTGATATATTTTTCTTCTATTATTGTAGAAGATATTTGCAAGTTGGAATGTCCTAATAGGATTCATGAGTTGGTCGTTAGTGGCCAAACTTTTGGAATTACAGAATCAATCTTTAGATTACTTGGTGGAAATATACCAAATGGATTGGAAGTAATTGGCTTGGATTGTATAAATTCCTGGGTAACTTACACTTCCTTAGCAGAGGATACTTCCATAGTGAGATATCCGAACTTTGAAGTGGAGGGAACTAATACAACCCATAGTGTGATTTTGCTGTTTCTTTTCAAGCACTTCAACGTAAATTTAGATTCGGATATCATTAATAAGGCAATACTTGTAGCCACAGAAATTATAGAGATTAATCCAAGACTTCTCAATCATGAATCTAGGGATTACCTAAAGTTGAGAATGTTTGGACAAGATGAGTTTGGCTCGATGTACATTCGTAACCTCATAGATGAGGGCTTCCAAGAGGAGCTATTAACTTTGGTGAGTCTTTTCATTGCAATACTAAGAAATGATATTTTGCATTTAGCTAAAACAGTAGACACTGATGAAACTCGCCATATTTTGTCTATGTTGGTTGAACTCACCAATGTTCCAGGTATTCCAGTTGAAGATGAACAGATTTCTGACTTGACTTTGGAATTTTGGGAAGAATTGGCCAATGTTTTCATTGACGACGAAGAAACTTTCGATGTTCTATTTAGTAACAGGCTGAAAGAGGAGAAGCAAAGTTTCATATCTACGAGAAATTCCATATTTGAAGAAATATGCTACATATATTGGAATAAGATTCATATACCTTCAGACCCAGGCATTTTCAATTCAATAAGATCTGAGTTTCTACATTACAGAAGTAACGTTTCTGACTTTTTTATAGTGATTTACTCCTTACTAAAGGAGCCCTTCTATGAAAAGTTAACTGATAACATTTGCACAGAAATTGCCAACAGGAACTTGATAGATTTGGAAAGTAGTCTATTTCTTTTGTATAAGGTAACTGATGATATCCTGTACTTGGAATCCCAAAGCTCAGTCTTGTTGAAATATATCCAACGAATCTTCAATTCAGGGTTGCTACTGCTCATATCTAATAGTTCATATAATAATTATCACCTATATTCTACTGCTATTAATTTTTTATCAAGTGTGCAATTCTTTTTCAAGCATGAAACTGGAACTGGAAGCTTGAGTGAAGTTTTCGACTTGTTGTTCAGGGTGCTTCTTCATGACTCCAAAGGATCTCTCTCCTTACATTGCTCCAAGACTATATTGAAAATTTGTCAGGAATGTAGAGAAAAGTTGGTTGATTTCTTGCCAAACTTAGAGCAATTGCTTGTAGAAATGTTGAGAAATAAGGACTTAGATAATATGATAAGACAAAGGATGGTCAATAGTTATACATCGATTGGTAGATGTGTGAGATATGAAAAACAATTTGGAGAAATTGTGAAGAATGAATTAGTTGAAATCAATGACAGAGTGAAATATACCCTTCCCATTCTGTTATCTTCTGTTGAAGATGATATGTTTGATTACCTCCTTTCATTACTTAGCTGCATTGTGGAAATGGGCAAAGCTTCTCAAATTCCTAACGAAGTAGATGAATTTTTCACTCCAGAACAGCAACAATTCACAACTTCATACTGGAGGGAGGATCCGTTGCAGGTCCAGTCGTTGATTTTCTCAATTATTAAACAGTTTTCATTCAGTTCTGAAAAGTTTGATTCACTTGTAACTGAAAAATGCTGTTTGATATTGAAAAGCGGACTTGGTGAATCAATTCCTGGTCCATTCGTCTTCCCATTGCCTACAATACTCGAATACGTCGTCATGAAAGTGGAAAACTGTATTGAGCCCAACTCTCCATCATCCCCTTCATCAATACCCTTTCTTTATTCACTAATTGAAAGTATAGTCCTCACATCTTCATCCTCCCAGGAACTCTCTTCAGAGTTAATGACATCCTTACTTTTGTCTATTTTCGATTCTCATTTCCAATTTCTCCAATCGGATCCAGACTTGATCCAATGTTGCATTTCATTATTCGCAACCATACTAGAGAAGAAACCTTCTCTAATTGTTCATAATCCCAACTTTTCCAATTCAATAATTCCGTTCGCATTGGATGGACTCCTAGCAAAGGAACTCTTCGTACTCAAGGTCACCCTGAAGTTTTGGCTCACTTTGTTAACATTGAAAAAGGGTAACATGCAAGATCAAACAACTGTCAAGAATCTAATGGTTGAATCACCTGTAGGGCAAGTATTTGTATACAGCTTGATCAAGTCTTTTATAAATTCAACAAGATCAAACTTGGATTGTTACTACCAGGTGTTCCGTAATTTGATCTCGAAATATCCAACTCAATTTAAAACATGGACAACTACTAGTTTCGAAAAGTTGCAGTTAGAAAAGGAGGGTAGGACTATCGAAAAGGCTACTTCTGACAAATTCATCAGTAAGTTAGTCGTATCTAGAGGCATGAGAAGTGCTAACGACGTCTTGAAAAGCTTTTGGTTGGAAAGCAACGGATTGATTGAGTTTAACTCAAGATCTTATTGATGATGCTGATCGAGGGGGCCTATGCAATAGTGTCCAGTGAGTTGGTTTTTCATGTTAAAGAGTTCTTAATAGAGCTCGCTAACTGTATATATTACTTAAAAATTTTTAAACTTAAATTTGTACATTACTATCCATATAAAAAAATAATTCAAAATTCATTCAAAATCATCATTAGACCGTTAACACGTAGTTATTACTGTAGTGGAAAACAAAACTTCACTACTATTAGTATGTGGATACGAAAGTACTCGAGCCAAATATTGCAAAACCATCCCCTTCAATGATTTGGCTTATTTAAGCCAACATTGAGTCCAACTCCTTACATAATAAGTCACACTCAGCACTGAAATCAACAGGTGAAATTGCCATCCCTTGGTATCTTATCCTTGTTACACCATTATAACTATCTTGTCTAGCTTTAACTCTAAAACTGTACTCCTTCATGGTGACCTTTTCAATTACTTGTTGGAATTCAGCATTTTCATTATTATCGCTCTGCTCCTTTAACTTACGTAATTCGTTTGCAGACAAGCCTAATAAAGTGTTTGCTTCTTTGTCGAATAAAGTCATCCAAAGCTGTCCTGTAGAGTCCATCACCGATATGTTCAAAATATACCTATATTCAGGTTCTGCGAATGTGATATCACATCTTTCACATCTCCAACCGTCGTTGTGTGTATCTACTACTTTACGATTACATGGAGAACCATTAACATCGTTATTACATGATGGGTAGCAAAAGTTTCCATCATTGGTCTTCAAGAAAGAAATTGTTGCCTTGATGTTGAAGAAATCAGGCTTTTCGTTTAGTCCTAAATTCTCATCTTGTGCTTGAAGAATAGTTTTACGGTCAGACGATAACGAATTGGATCCAGCACCTGCTTCAGATTTCATAGTCTGATAAGTTTCATTCTTACCCTTATTGTCGTACCAACCCTTTAATTGAAATGCTTCTGCAGTATCGGGACTTGTAATGAAGCTTCCACCGGGTGTCAATGATAACGATCTACCCCCAAAATCTGATACCTTACAACCTTTGAATGCAACCACAGATCCTTCTGGAGTGCTGAAATCAACTGCTGTCTGATTCCAAAGACCGACTGAGATTGCAAAGTTTGAATCATCTACTATGGTAACATTACGTCTATCGAAAGGCTTACCGGTGGATTTAGCAGTAATTTGGAAAACAGGTTCAACTTTTTGTAACACACCAATTACATCAGTTATGGAGTTTGGTTCTATGTTCTGTAATTGATCCAATTTTACAAAATTGTAGTTGATTTTTGGCACGTCATTACTACTAACGTCGAAGCACTCTTCCACAATGGTGTCTCTATCAAGAGAAAGCTCATAAGGATGAGATAAATGAGAGAATTGGGGTTTGGCTTGTTGAATCCTTGCTTTCGAGACGTAGTACACCTTACCCTCTTCGAGCTCTTGGAAGTACTTATCAGCCATATCGTTGAACGCAGTAGCTCTAATTTCATCGGATTCATCAAGTAAGTTCACATTGAAAAGCTTACCTTCACCACGAGCATTAGACCACTTACGGATGTCTCCCTTGTATGAAACACGAGCCTTGATGGTCCACTGGTTTTGGTAAGGTGAGAGCTGTTCGATGGCGTTAACATGGCGAAGAGGTGGCGATACAGCGTTTCCATGTCCCTTAGCTGTAGCAGGAGTTGGGGTATTGTCAAAGGGAGGAGAAGTCGACTTAACTGCTTGCTGTTGCTGCTGCTTTTTGGCCAACTCTAAAGTGTCTTCTTCAGGGTGCTCTTCGTAGTAACTATCAACGCTTATCAAAGTACCACCAAATTTAGCACTACTGGCCTGCTTAACTTCTAAATCTTGGATCACCATAATGTGCTTCTGGCCAGTAACCAACTCATATTTTTTGATGTTGATGACAGAGGTCTTCTTGAAGCCGTGGCTTTCACAGTATGGAACACATTCACTTGGAATGACTCCGTGCAATGAGTATGCACCGTCATTCAACAATACTCTATATCTGACTGATGTTTGGCCCTGGTCATCTTTGTGGTCGATGATCTTGACATTGGAAACTTGTGCTACAATGGGTTTGTTTGCATACAACTGCGATTCCTTGTTGGATAGGATCCCCTTGAGGGCTCCGGTAGTTAAATTAAGATCCGATGTCATTGTCTGGTTGGTTATAGTAGAAAGACCTAATGTACTTAGAAAGAAAGCGGCACGTCCTGTTCGCTTTTAGGCAACCAAAACAAAAAAATTCAAAAATCAAAACGCACGCCACTAAACGCGTCGATCCTGCATGTGGGTCTGTTGGTATGCAGGCGCATCGGCCGTAACAACTAGCAAGATCTGGTAGATTTGGCTGTTCCAGTGGTTCATATGGACATGATAGGTTTACAGAAGGATAAGGCAGTTATCAAGGTTTTTCAGATTGTATATATATTGGCTCAACCTTATATGTGTTCTATTTAAATTACAAACTTATCCTAAAACGAATTGATCGTTTACTTTATTTTTCTGTTTTATTTCTTGAATTCATTCATACCTTCAGATGCAACACCTTCGTTCTATTTCTCTTTCTTTCTTTCCTTCTTTCTTTCTTTCCTTCTTTCTTTCTTTCTCTCTTTCTTTCTCTCTTTCATTCATTCATT